AAAAAAAAAAAAAAAAAAAAAGATTGGCATTGCCAGTTCTTTCCATTTGCATGGAGCAAATACTGGGCAAAATGCATGATAATAAAAAAAATTTTTTCTGATAAGGGGCAGTGACACTTACAATGATTTTTCATGTGTTAGCACTCCTATTTATTTAAATATATATCATATTATGATCCACAGGCATTAACACGAAAAGTTAAGGTGTAAATATGACCAACATTGATTTTAAATGCAAGAAATGAGTCAATAGGACTATTTCTCACATCGAAAGTAACTCTCCAGTTGAGCTCAAAATTACATGCACTGTGCAACTTCTAGTCAATATATGGTTCTGTGTGGTTGTTTGTTTTCTGGCAGGCAAATATCTCACAACATGATTTGACTTTCTTCACAAGTTAAATGACAGTCTTCACAATGGGTATATGATTTCAAGACAGTATATAACAAACAGATGAAACATACTTATAAATTGGTTGACTTTTCAGCAGCATGTGACTTCAGTAGGTGAAAGGTAATACAATGATTTGACAGCTCCAGCTCCAGGCTGGACACACTAGCTAACTGTCAATGCACAGTTATCTCAACCTTTATCTTTCTTGTATTAGGTCATATAATGCACATTAAAAAACATCAATAGGAGTGCTCACGTGAATTTTTGTATAGTGATGCTCTGAAAAGTGAGGTAACCTTCCATTCTTGGTGTCTGAATATTGTCAGTTTTGACATAAAAATGAGGATAACAGATACAAAAAGCTCTTCCCCTCATTTTAAACTTGAATATTAATTCTGAGCAGTCTTTTCTAGCAAACTTCAGCACCTCACATATTCAATTTTTTTTCTTTCTTTCTTTTTTTTTTCTTTTTTGCCTATGACAAAAACTGTACGGGGGGTGGGGCAGACAAACTGGGCTTTATTGAAAATCATACATAGTATTTGCCTCACATAGCAATTTCATTTACCAGTAATTAGAGCATCGAAACAGAGTATTTTTTACATATTCATTTAACATAACCTACAATCACTTAGTGTGTGTATGTGTGAGTGTTTGTAAGGAATATGTACCACTGGACAAAAAGAATATGTACCAATTGATTTATAAACCTCACATTAAGAGCATTTCTTGAAATGACTCATCTTTCCAGCCACTGTACCTTTAAACCAATTATGTCAGTGTTCCCAGACAGTTCCCATTAGACATTACACATTTACAGCAGATCTTTCTTTTACTGTAATTTTCGTAAGATACGAAATGGTTAAAATGGATTATTATTACACTTAGTAGGCAAACACGCATTGGATAATACATACCTGGGACCAGCGTTTGGCCTTGGTTTTCCTCTTCTATTCATCGTGGACTCGTGCCTTTGCAGTTCGTGTGTTCCACTCACTTTTTAACTGAAGTTTACTTTTTACTGATATTCGTGACAGTTCCTAAAATCCTTTTCAGTGCTATATTTTTTGGATCATCGAATCAATGTGGCCATGTAACCTCTAGGTTGGCCTTGCTAGAATCTACCTTACCATAGAATAAATAATAATTATAAATGATCCAACTGATGAATACTGTCAAGTTTTGTTCGGATGCTGTCCTCACTAAGTCGGAAAGGATATCCAATATGGAGGATAGAACTACTTTCATGATGCGACCACTAATGAAAATCTAGAGAACTAAAACTTCCGGGTGTTAACCTTTTAAAGTAAGGCGTTAAGTTTTGATACAACTTTTATTAAAAATGCTTCAATGAAAATTTAATTCTTAATGATGTTTGCTTTGTTCGGTTTTAATTTTTGCGCATGTATACAGAGCACCTGTCACCGAGGTAAATAGGTCAAGATGGCGCGCTTTTGTGCTCGTGAATGTTACGTGTTCATAAGATTTTATTATCTGCAATCTAATTTCTCTTTTGGTCAAATGTGGCTTATGTGTAGAATTTTTTGTTGATTTCTTGAAAAATTTATTTTGTCTAGTTTAAAGTATTAATGAAATTGTTAACGACAATGTGGTTGCATATAAGGTTGAGACCTCTAAACTCGAACAAACATGTCTACTAATCAAATCATTAATGTATCGTTAATAAAAGGGGTTTGTCATAATTTCCACCTGAATGAGATGCCTGTTCACGTAATATTAACTTGATCTTCACAATTCCACTACCCCCTCCCGCCCTCACAAACATATATTGGCACGCATATTCTCACGAACCCTTCCTTATCTTTTTGTGTTATAAGAAATCAAACAAATACAAAAATCCATTTTTCTTAGACGAAAATAAAAAGCTTGAAATCTAATCATAAATTTGGGACGTTGTTAGCGGTGTCACCGTTGAAACCCTTTCCGCAATACTGCCCTATTTATTCCAGTCTTTAGTTGGCCCGAACATGCGCATTTGACATACTTGATACTTCCGGAAACAATTGGTTGAAGGAAGATGTACTTCAAAACAGAATCTGTGAATTGTATTCATAGGTAAAATATGTGACCGAAACGTAGAACGGATATGTTCTTCCGGAAAACAGGTAAAGTTCATTTTGCAACAGTTACATTTAATATGCAGTCGATGATGTTAGGCAAACTGTTTGAATTCTTGCTTCCTTTCCTGATACTTCCCTGCCACTGCCCTTTACACTACACACAGTCACTAGCCTTGGATGGTGATTCAGACGTGAAGAAGTTACACCCATCTTTGCATCTTTTCGCTTACAATAGCCAGCGGATAATGAAATATCTTGCATCGTTGATATGTGCATGAGATCTAGAAACAGAGACATAAAAGAACTAATGAGTACCATAAATAAAGGTGTAACCAACTTTGAGGTACTTCTGAAGTAGTAATATATACTGTTGAAATGTTTTGGTCCAGCCAATTTTTTCTCTGACAGCAGGAGCACCTGCATACTTTTGAAAATTTTATGTACAACAGACATCAAAGACAAAAAGTGAAGTAAATTCTGATCAGGTGATGCTGCGGAGATAGCTATCAACAGCCAACAATTAGTAGGCAGGATTATATGCTAATGATGTCATTATGGTTTTGCCTTTTGTGCCTCATTAGCTTCTTGGTATGTATTCATTTTTAAACCCACATTTTTTACCAGTATTTTAATCTAATATCTTGAGACATACCTACACAGAAAAAAAAAACATTTTTTTAGGAAAAAAGTTGTACACACATCCTGAACTTATAAGTGGTACAGCTAGTTTATATCATTTGATGTTTTGACCATACCCAGATTTCTGTCTCTAGCCTATTGACAGAAATTACACTAAATTCAAGAAGATGAATGTCTATGGCAAAGTGTGTAAAAAAAAAAATATATGTAGGAAAATCTCAACCCAAAATATGTCTAAATAAAAGAGAAGAATGATGAAATCATCTTAAGTTATATTTTTAAATCAGATTGGGTTGACATATCTTTAAAGATTGTCTTGTAATTGTTTGCTCATCATATTTACTTGAACCCTCAGTTACAATACAAATGGGAGATGGGTGTATTGCAGAAAACTTTGACTTGTTGTTTGTTTTGAGCTAATCCTAATGAGAAATGTTGACCAAACTTCACAAGAAACACAACTTAATATTACTTTTTACAAAAGAAATNCTAGTAAAATGATACATGAAGAGAAAGGACAGTGTTGTTGCTCTAATTAAAGCTCTTTATTTCTTCATTTAAAAACATGAAATGGCTGATAAGCACGCTTTCTTTTGAAAAGAATCCATGTTTTACCAAGGAATATGAAGTATACATAAGAATATAAAGGTCATATTTTAATATGACTTTTGCAGACACTTTAAAATACCTACAAGTTCATAATAATTTTACAGATATTTGAGTCACTTGGTACACTCTTTTGTTCAATGATTCTCATTTTAACATGAAGGAATCAATTCATAATTTAAATCAAAAGTTTTCACAAGCCATGTATATGCTTGGCTAGCAAGCTGTGGCAGAAGAAATCTTAAAAAAAAAAAAAAAAAAAAAAAAAAAGGAACTGAAATTTTATAATTTAGACCTACAAATGATTTGCTTGTAATTTTGTAACCTATGCTGGTTTATAAATATTGATCCTTTCGCTAGTGAGCTTGGGCAAGCTTAGAATTGCCTCTTAGTATTGTAAAAAGACAATTTATGTGTAACTGTGTAGATAAACAGTGCAGTCTGAGTCATGTATTTCATAAATTAAGTTTTTTAGAATCTAGTAATGGACTTACACTTTAGTCCATGCAGTGCTGTTGCATTCCCCTTATAGAAACTTTAGCCTTTATCATGGAATCACAATGATGTAACAAGACTGAGTTTAGTTCCACCTGTACTCTTAAGCTATTGCATATTAATAAAAGGACTGGGAAATTTTTAACATAATTGAAAGGTTACTGTGAATGTAAAATGGAAAAGAACCTTACTAGTACCTGTAGGGTGTTAATAATGTACAATATCTTACTTGCAGTGAATGATATCTTGGCCTTCACATAAATGAACCACGATGGCAAATGCTGTGAATCCTCATGATCACTTTGATCCTGATGCCATACACTATGAAGATGAGGTAGACATGGAAGACAGTGAGGAGGAAGAGGAAGAAGCTTCCAATAAGCAAAATGGTGCATTGAAAACAGATCGTTATGGTTTCATGGGAGGAGGACAGTTTACAGACCCTGAATTGTAAGTAGTAGTGTGCCCTTATAGTTGTTATGAACAAAATGCCAAATAAAATTAAAAAGTAAGGAAAAGTAAATTAATAATTCACATTTACAAATTTTTCTTCTCTGAAAAAAAAGTCAAGTATGGGACGTACAGTATACATGACAGTAGCACTCATCCCTAGATTACAAATTCGTGTCATGTGTTGATTAACTGTTGATGATTTGGTATGGATTGTTAATATTTCACAAATCTTTGCAGTTATTTACACTTGTTTTTCCCCTAATTGTAGATTTTATTACAGATTCATATTATCTAGACAAAGGTCTAAGCTCATATTACTTTGCTCTTTTGTGAGCCTAGAGACTGTCTGATGTTTTGATTCTTAGAAGTCATGACTGAAAGAAAAGCAGTCAAATATTAACTTATCATTCTAGTATATTGTTTATTGTGTTATATCACATTCTTTTAACATTTTCCATCTAAAAGGTATGAAAAACTAACCAAAGGGGGGAAATTGAAACCAGGCATTAAGATTATGTATTAACACATATTGGTAGAATGTGAGAAATAGTTTGTTTTCTCCAGTTAACCTTGTATGACAGATGGCTCGTGATGTGATATGGCCTGGTGTGATTGACTTAATGAGTTTTGTTTAGGTAGTTTCCTATGCAGGCTTCATAGTGCTTTAAAAGATAAAGGTCAAGCTGTTGAGATTGTTTATAGTGAGATGTTTTTCAGTATATTTATGTGCGTGTGTTTATTAAATTTTAAGATTATTATACCTATAGGTATATTACTAGTAGTTACATGTAAACAAACAAAAAAATGATAACAAGAAAAGCCTTGAAACCTTTCTTATCAGTACAACCATACTTTTTTTCTGGGGATGATTTATTTCAAATTTGGAATCACAGTTTGGAAGAAAAAGCAATGTTTGCTTTAACCCTAAGACCTGTAGTTGCCTTAATCTGCTTGGCTAATTCAGTCATAAAGGCAAAGCATTGATTTGATCCTTATAAATACACCAGCTCATATTTCAGTCTACATTGAAACTAGCTTATTGATATCTTATCTGCAAGTTGGCAGAAGTGGAGTGGTACTTCAACAATTCAAATACCAAGTTTCTGTAGAGATAGAAAAGTCAAAGGTTTATACTTGAAGTCTTGCAGCCAAGTGCAGAAATTAGCCCTGTATATTTTCTTAAAAATGTTTTTTTTTCTTGGCATGCTAAGAATATAATTTATGTCCAAAATTATCTTATAGTTCATAATTTGAACACTGCAGTATAAAAAGTATTTTAATAATATTTTAATCTTAAAAGATCATTTCAAGTTACCAACTGTGCAATAGGTTTTTTATCAACTTCCTTAAGACTTAATTTAATTAATGATAGCCGATAGAGTAAGATAAGAAAACCTAACATTAAGCAATGGTAAGGAGAGTGTTATATAACTCCCTGGTGAAGCACTCTAGCTGGCCTCTCTATAGTTACAACTGATAAAGTCTCCTGTCACTCAATTTGTCTGAATGCAAGATCCGGAGAAGATGTATCAACACACCTAATTACAATACAAATCAATAAATAACCTGCTTAATGGGCAGTCTTAGTTGGTTCAGAATGTAGTGCATTAATTATCTGTCTGCACTAGCAGGTTCGCCTCTGGAATGTGACATATGGCAGAACAAAGAGGTCACTGGTGCACTTGTTTTTATTGACATGATGAAGAATGTGTTAATTGGGTTTTTGTTAAGATGTCTGTGAAAAATCAATGTCTGATTTACTATTTACATGCATCATTACAATCTCTTTCTCTCTCTCTCTCTCTCTTTTTCCTCCAGAAAAACATTAAAAATCATTATATGAAGTAAAATTAAAATATATTTAAAATTGGAAAAAGGCATCAAATTCATTTGTCATTTGTTGATATGGAAAAGCAAAAACTCAATAAATCTTTCATTTATTTAAAATTCTTTAAGCATGTTATCAAGGTGTGTTTGTATTAGGTAGATAAGAACACGTGATTTGTGATATTTTTTCCTGATATACATTGTGCACTGTATGTGGCAGTATCTATTTGGCAGTTTGTATTAAAGCTGACTCAGACAAACACTTCCTCTTAGCTCTTGATTCGTGAAGTCACCATTATGTTCACTACTATCACACCTGAAATACTGGAGTGTATTTAATAATACCACAGGTTTTTATTATCCTGGCAAACATTACTCCAGCATGATCCATCCTTACACAGTAAACTGATTTTTCTAGGAGGATAAATGTCAGTTGACGCTCTTATTTGTCGGAATAACATGTTTCGTGTCTGAATGTTTGCATTGACTGTAACTTATCTGAACTCTTCCCCGAATACATGGAGACTGTGGTTACCATGGCAATAAAGAGATCCTGGAGTGTTTCTTTATAAGATCAAAATTGGGATCAGGTGTTCTTATAGCACTGGGAAAATTTACATGTCCTGTGAAGGATTCAATACCTCACATTTATTGATAAGTGATAATAAGTTGCTGGCAGTGTGTGTGTACCAGACACTTTGTGGGTTACTGAAATTCTTCAGTGTTGTAGTTAATACTGTGTGTGTGTGTGTGTGTGTGTGTGTGTAAGATCGAGAGTAAAGATAATGTCATAGTGTATGTTCAACATGAATAAAATTTTGAAAAAATAACGATGAACATTAGTGATAATCAGTACATTGAGGGTTTTTTTTTTATAAAAAATAGTTAAACGTACTTTTTGTTCCCCTTTTTGGAAAACTTGCATCAAGAGCAGATGACATGTTCTTTATTTTGGTCAGTAAAAATAAGTTTTGTTGTCTTTTCTGATAATTCTTGTTAAGTTTCTTACGTAGTTGTTACTGCACAAAATATTTTTTTTGTTTTTTGTAGAGAATCACCCATTCCATTGGAAATTTTAAGGAAGCGAGAATTAAAATGGTTAGATATGTTAGAAAATTGGGAAAAATGGATGAGCAAAAGATTTAAGAAGGTAAATTCAATAAAGGCTATCAACAAATGTTTTTGAATTATAGTAAAGTAAAGTTTAAGCCATGAAATATACTTTGCAATTTTGGTCTCTTCTACAATTAACTTTTAATTAAGAAATGCCAAAAAACTTAACTTGTTTTGAGAGCATGCCCAGTGCAACATTAAACCATACATAGCAGATGCTACATGAATGAATTTTTGTGAATGTGAACTCAATTGAAAATTTATTTTTTGATACAATTTTTTTTCCCTTCAGGTAAAAGAGCGATGTCGTAAAGGTATCCCTCCTTCCATACGACCAAGAGCATGGCAGTATCTGTGTGGGAGCAAGTATTTAATGGAACATAACAGAGGAGTGTATGAGGTATATATGCAAATCTCTATATCAATAACAGCTTAAACCAATTGAGTCATTGTTTGAAATAAATTCTTTTCTACCCTTTCAAATATCACTGTGATACAAAAATATGCACACAGAAAGTTTGTTATCAGACATGACCTTTTTCTGTGGAAAAGCAGAATTTTTTAATTTAATTCTGATGGTTCCTGAGATTTGTCAAAGTTAGGTGTTAGGTCCCATGATAAATGTTCAGACATTTTTTTGAAACCTAGGCTCATGTCTGTGTTATGATGACTTTTCTTACTTTCAAGATTTTATAGTCAAAATTGGTGACTTTGTTTCCAGGCTTACTTAAAGGAACAGGGGGAGCCCAGGTGGATAGATGATATTAAAAAAGATCTTCACAGACAGTTTCCCTTCCATGAAATGTTTGCTGCCAGGGGAGGGCATGGGTAGGTTCATTTTTATTAATACTTTGCTGTGCAACGATCCTGATAAAACCTTCATATGAGACACTTTAATTATATAGTTTTTGGTTAGATATGATTTTTAAATTAATCTTGCATCTTAATTGAAATTTGCTAGCTTTGTTATTAATCCAGTTTACCCTATTTCATTGCTCATTCTCAGAATGTATTATAGCATATTTTGTGATGGATTTGTAGTTGATATGTGTTTGCATAGTAAGGTTTATGCTTATTTCCCAAAAATAACAAAATGCCTGTTTCATAGATATCAGTTATACCCAATCTTGTAACAACGTCGTGACATGAAATGGTGTAAGTGAAGGCTGCATAAACATTATCATACATAATTGTTTTAGGCAAGAAGATTTGTTCAGAATATTAAAAGCCTACACCATTCACAACCCAAAGGATGGGTATTGTCAGGCCCAAGGGCCAATAGCTGCAGTGTTGCTGATGCACATGCCTGCAGAGCAAGCTTTTTGGTGCTTAGTCTCCATCTGTGACAAATACCTGCCTGGGTATTACAGTCCAGGACTGGTCAGTAGAAAGTGATGCCCTATTACAGAGAGTCATTAATCTGTTTTGATTCTTTACATAAATAGAATAAATTGCAAAATGGGGATGCTGCTTTGAGTTAAATATTCTTATTGTAGAAAGGCATTACCTTTTAACTGGAAGTTTTTTTTCAAAAAATGTCATTAAGTATTTTTGTTTAACAAATATCTTAATAAATGTCATTACTTTTAGGAAGCAGTTCAGACAGACGGGGACGTTCTGTATGGTTTGCTGAAAAAAGTGGTGCCCGCAACATATAAACATTTGGTAAGTTGTCTTGATAATCTGCTCTTCATTGAGCTACTCATTTTTTTATTGCCAGATTTTGTATCATTATACAAGAAGTGTCTTATAATTGTATTCTTACTAAATTTAAGTAAGTAAAGGGCATATTTAGAAATCAAGTTTTTTTTAATGTCAGTGGTTGAGGATGAAATTGAGGAAGATGTATATATATAATGCTGTATGAAGCATGCCAACCCACATTGGATAATGGTTGAATTCTCACTTGTGATTAACATCGTATATTAGACTATTGAAATTAAGGTTACCTAAATGATTATATCTAGCTTTTGTTTGTGTAAGACTGAGCATTTCAGATTTATGAAGATTTTTTTGTTGATTTCATTGTATACTATGTTTTTTTTTTTTTTTTCAGAAAAAGCAAAAGGTTGATCCAATTTTATATATGACAGAATGGTTTATGTGTGTGTTCACCCGGACTCTGCCATGGTCATCAGTATTGAGAGTGTGGGATATGTTCTTTTGTGAAGGTAAATAGTTNGATTTTTTTGATGATTTTTTGAAAATATTATTTTGCCTCGTTTAAAGTATTAATGAAATTGTTAACGACAATGTGGTTGCATATAAGGTTGAGACCTCTAAACTCGAACAAACATGTCTGCTAATCAAATCATTAATGTATCGTTAATAAAAGGTGTTTGTCATAATTTCCACCTGAATGAGATGCCTGTTCACGTAATATTAACTTGATCTTCACACTTCAACTACCCCCTCCCCCCCTCACAAACATTGGCACGCACACTCACGAACCCTTCCTTATCTCTTTGTGTTATAAGAAATCAAACAAATACAAAAATCCATTTTTCTTAGACGAAAATAAAAAGGTTGAAATCTAGTCATAAATTTGGGACGTTGTTAGCGGTGTCACCGTTGAAACCCTTTCCGCAATACTGCCCTATTTATTCCAGTCTTTAGTTGGCCCGAACATGCGCATTTGACATACTTGATACTTCCGGAAACAATTGGTTGAAGGAAGATGTACTTCAAAACAGAATCTGTGAATTGTATTCATAGGTAAAATATGTGACCGAAACGTAGAACGGATATGTTCTTCCGGAAAACAGGTAAAGTTCATTATGCAACAGTTACATTTAATATGCAGTCGATGATGTTAGGCAAATTGTTTGAATTCTTGCTTCCTTTCCTGATACTTCCCTGCCACTGCCCTTTACACTACACACAGTCACTAGCCTAGGATGGTGATTCAGACGTGAAGAAGTTACACCCATCTTTGCATCTTTTCGCTTACAATAGCCAGCGGATAATGAAATATCTTGCATCGTTGATATGTGCATGAGATCTAGAAACAGAGGCATAAAAGAACTAATGAGTACCATAAATAAAGGTGTAACCAACTTTGAGGTACTTATTTTGTTCCTTCTGAAGTAGTAATATATACTGTTGAAATGTTTTGGTCCAGCCAATTTTTTCTCTGACAGCAGGAGCACCTGCACACTTTTGAAAATTTTACGTACAACAGACATCAAAGACAAAAAGTGAAGTAAATTTTGATCAAGTGATGGTGCAGAGACAGCTATCAACAGCCAACAATTAGTAGGCAGGATATGCTAATAATGTCATTATGGTTTTGCCTTTTGTACCTCGTTAGCTTCTTGGTATGTATTCATTTTTAAACCCACATTTTTTACCAGTATTTTTATCTAAAATCTTGAGACATACCTACACAGAAAAAAATAACATTTTTGTAGGAAAAAAGTTGTACACACATCCTGAACTTATAAGCAGTACAGCTAGTTTACATCATTTGATGTTTTGACCATACCCAGATATCTGTCTCTAGCCTATTGACAGAGATCACACTAAAGTCAAGAAGATGAATGTCTATGGCAGAGTGTGTAAAAAAAAAATATATATATATGTAGGAAAATCTCAACCCAAAATATGTCTAAATAAAAGAGAAGAACGATGAAATCATCTTAAGTTATATTTTTTAATCAGATTGGGTTGACATATCTTTAAAGATTGTCTTGTAATTGTTTGCTCACCATATATACTTGAACCCTCAGTTACAATACAAATGGAAGATGGGTGTATTGCAGAAAACTTTGATTTGTTGTTTGTTTTGAGCTAATCCTAATGAGAAATGTTGACAAAACTTCACAAGAAACACAACTTAATATTACATTTTACAAAAGAAATCTTAAAAAAAAAAATGTAATATCACATTCTTTAAAAAAAGGAACTGAAATTTTATTATATAGACCTACAAATGATTTGCTTGTAATTTTGTAACCTATGCTGGTTTATAAATATTGATCCTTTCGCTAGTGAGCTTGTGCAATCTTAGAATTGCCTCTTAGTGTTGTAAAAAGACAATTTATGTGTAACTGTGTAGATTAACAGTGCAGTCTGAGTCATATATTTCATAAATTAAGTTTTTTAGAATCTAGTAATGGACTTACACTTTAGTCCATGCAGTGCTGTTGCATTCCCCTTATAGAAACTTTAGCCTTTATCATGGGAGCACAATGATGTAACAAGACTGAGTTTAGTTCCACCTGTACTCTTAAGCTGCATATTAATAAAAGGACTGGGAAATTTTTAACATAATTGAAAGGTTACTGTGAATGTAAAATGGAAAAGAACCTTACTAGTACCTGTAGGGTGTTAATAATATACAATATCTCACTTGCAGTGAATGATATCTTGGCCTTCACATAAATGAACCACGATGGCAAATGCTGTGAATCCTCATGATCACTTTGATCCTGATGCCATACACTATGAAGATGAGGTAGACATGGAAGACAGTGAGGAGGAAGAGGAAGAAGCTTCCAATAAGCAAAATGGTGCATTGAAAACAGATCGTTATGGTTTCATGGGAGGAGGACAGTTTACAGACCCTGAATTGTAAGTAGTAGTGTGCCCTTATAGTTGTTATGAACAAAATGCCAAATAGAATTATTTTAAAAAAATTGTGGAAAAAAGTAAGGAAAAGTAAATTAATAATTCACATTTACAAATTTTTCTTCTCTGAAGAAAAAGTCACAGTACAGTATGCATGACAGTAGCACCCATCCCTAAATTACAAATTCGTGTCATGTGTTGATTAACTGTTGATGATTTGGTATGGATTGTTAACATTTCACAAATCTTTGCAGTTATTTACACTTGTTTTTCCCCTAATTGTAGATTTTATTACAGAATCATATTATCTAGACTGAGGTCTAAGCTCATGTTACTTTGCTCTTTTGTGAGCCTATAGACTGTTTGATGTTTTGATTCTTAGAAGTCATGACTGAAAGAAAAGCAGTCAAATATTAGCTTATCTTTCTAGTATATTGTTTATTGTGTAATATCACATTCTTTAAACATTTTTCATCTAAAAGGTATGAAAAACTAACCAAAAGGGGAAATTGAAACCAGGCATTAAGATTATGTATTAACACATATTGGTAGAATGTGAGAATTAGTTTGTTTTCTCCAGTTAACCTTGTATGACAGATGGCTCGTGATGTGATATGGCCTGGTGTGATTGACTTAATGAGTTTTGTTTAGGTAGTTTCCTATGAAGGCTTCATAGTGCTTTAAAAGATAAAGGTCAAGCTGTTGAGATTGTTTATAGTGAGATGTTTTTCAGTATATGTATGTGCGTGTGTTTATTAATTTTTAAGATTATTATTCCTATAGGTATATTACTAGTAGTTACATGTAAACAAACAAACAAAAAAAAAATGATAACAAGAAAAGCCTTGAAACCTTTCTTATCAGTACAACCATACTTTTTTTTCTGGGGATGATTTATTTCAAATTTGGAATCAAAGTTAGGAAGAAAAAGCAATGTTTGCTTTAACCCTAAGACCTGTAGTTGCCTTAATCTGCTTGTCTAATTCAGTCATAAAGGCAAAGCATTGATTTGATCCTCATAAATACACCAGCTCATATTTCAGTCTACATTGAAACTAGCTTATTGATATCTTATCTGCAAGTTGGCAGAAGTGGAGTGGCACTTCAACAATTCAAATACCAAGTTTCTGTAGAGATAGAAAAGTCAAAGGTTTATACTTGAAGTCTTACAGCCAAGTGCAGAAATTAGCCCTGTATATTTTCTTGAAAATGTTTTTTTGGCATGCTAAGAATATAATTTATGTCCAAAATTATCTTATAGTTCATAATTTGAACACTGCAGTATAAAAAGTATTTTAATAATATTTTAATCTTAAAAGATCATTTCAAGTTACCAACTGTGCAATAGGTTTCTTAAGACTTAATTTAATTAATGATAGCCGATAGAGTAAGATAAGAAAACCTAACATTAAGCAATGGTAAGGAGAGTGTTATGTAACTCCCTGGTGAAGCACTCTAGCTGGCCTCTCTATAGTTACAACTGATAAAGCCTCCTGTCACTCAATTTGTCTGAATGCAAGATACGGAGAAGATGTATCAACACACCTAATTACAATACAAATCAATAAATAACCTGCTTAATGGGCAGTCTTAGTTGGTTCAGAATGTAGTGCATTAATTATCTGTCTGCACTAGCAGGTTCGCCTCTGGAATGTGACATATGGCAGAACAAAGAGGTCACTGGTGCACTTGTTTTTATTGACATGATGAAGAATGTGCTAATTGGGTTTTTGTTAAGATGTCTGTGAAAAATCAATGTCTGATTTACTATTTACATGCATCATTACAATCTCTTTCTCTCTCTCTCTCTCTCTCTCTCTCTCTCTCTCTTTCCTCCAGAAAAACATTAAAAAATCATTATATGAAGTAAAATTTAAATATATTTAAAATTGGAAAAAGGCATCAAATTCATTTGTCATATGTTGATATGGAAAAGCAAAAACTCAACAAATCTTTCATTTATTTAAAATTCTTTAAGCATGTTATCAAGGTGTGTTTGTATTAGGTAGATAAGAACACGTGATTTATGATATTTTTTCCTGATATACATTGTTCACTGTATGTGGCAGTATCTATTTGGCAGTTTGTATTAAAGCTGACTCAGACAAACACTTCCTCTTAGCTCTTGATTCGTGAAGTCACCGTTATGTTCACTACTATCACACCTGAAATACTGGAGTGTATTTAATAATACCACAGGTTTTTATTATCCTGGCAAACATTACTCCAGCATGATCCATCCTTACACAGTAAACTGATTTATCTAGGAGGATAAATGTCAGTTGACGCTCTTATTTGTCAGAATAACATGTTTCGTGTCTGAATGTTTGCATTGACTGTAACTTATCTGAACTCTTCCCCGAGTACATGGAGACTGTGGTTACCATGGCAATAAAGAGATCCTGGAGTGTTTCTTTATAAGATCAAAATTGGGATCAGGTGTTCTTATAGCACTGGGAAAATTTACATGTCCTGTGAAGGATTCAATACCTCACATTTATTGATAAGTGATAATAAGTTGCTGGCAGAGTGTGTGTACCAGACACTTAGTGGGTTACTGAAACTCTTCATTGTTGTAGTTAATAGTGTGTGTGTGTGTGTGTGTGTGTGTGTGTGTGTGTGTGTGTGTGTAAGATTGAGAATAAAGATAATGTTTATGTTGAGCATAAATAAAAATTTGAAAAATTAATGATGGCTTATAGTGATAATCATCGCAATGAGTTTTTTCTTTCTTTTTTTTTTTTTTTTTTTTAGAAATAAAAAATAGTTATACATTCTTTTTGTACCCCTTTCTGGAAAACTTGCATCAAGAGCAGAGGACATGTTCTTTATTTTGGTCAGTAAAAATAAGTTTTGTTGTCTTTTCTGATAGTTCTTGTGAAGTTTCTTTACGTAGTTGTTGCTGCAATATATGTACATATAAGATTTTTTTCTTTTTTGTAGAGAATCACCCATTCCATTGGAAATTTTAAGGAAGCGAGAATTAAAATGGTTAGATATGTTAGAAAATTGGGAAAAATGGATGAGCAAAAGATTTAAGAAGGTAAATTTAATAAAGGCTGTCAACAAATTAATGTTTTTGAACTACAGCTTAGAAAAAATTTTGCCATGAAAATTGAAATGTACTTTGCAATTTTGGTTTCTTCTGCAATTAACTTTTAATAAAGAAATGCTAAAAAAAACTGTACTTGTTGATAACTTCTGAGAGCATGCCTAGTGCAACATTAAACCATACATACTGGTAGCAGGTGCTACATAATGAATTTCTGTGAATGTAAACTCAATTGAAAATTTATTTTTTGATACAAATTTTTTTCCTTCAGGTAAAAGAACGATGTCGTAAAGGTATCCCTCCTTCCATACGACCAAGAGCATGGCAGTATCTGTGTGGGAGCAAGTATTTAATGGAACATAACAGAGGAGTGTATGAGGTATACATATGCAAATCTCTTTTTTGTGTCAGTCAGTTAGACCTTCATGGATTTATTATAAGATTCTTATTTATTTAAAATGAGCGTATATCAATAACAGCTTAAACCAGTTGAGTCATTTAATGAAATATATTCTTTGCTACCCCTTCAGATATCACTGTGATACAAAAATATGCACACAGAAAGTTTGTTATAATAATGAATTTTCTTTCCTTCAAGATTTTATAGTCAAAATTGGTGACTTTGTTTCTAGGCTTACTTAAAGGAACAGGGGGAGCCCAGGTGGATAGATGATATTAAAAAAGATCTTCACAGACAGTTTCCCTTCCATGAAATGTTTGCTGCCAGGGGAGGACATGGGTAGGTTCAGCTTACATACTTTTTCGTGCAACGATTTTGATAAAACCTTCTTCATGTGTGACACTTTAATTGTATAGTTTCTGGTTAGTTATGATTTTTAAATTAATCTTGCATCTCAAATTCTCTAATTTGAAATTTGCTATCTTTGTTATTAATCCAGTTTACCATATTCCATTTGTCATTCTTAGGATGTATTATAGCAAATTTTGTGATGGATTTGTAATGGATATGTATTTTGCATATGACAGTTTATGCTTATTTCCCAAAAATAACAAAATGCCTGTTTCATAGCTATTAGTTCATAGCAATCTTCATGAAACAATGTTGTGATAAAACAAGCAAGTATTTAATGGAACATAACAGAGGAGTGTATGAGGTATACATATGCAAATCTCTTTTTTGTGTCAGTCAGTTAGACCTTCATGGATTTATTATAAGATTCTTATTTATTTAAAATGAGCGTATATCAATAACAGCTTAAACCAGTTGAGTCATTATTGATTTTTAAATTAATCTTGCATCTCAAATTCTCTAATTTGAAATTTGCTATCTTTGTTATTAATCCAGTTTACCATATTCCATTTGTCATTCTTAGGATGTATTATAGCAAATTTTGTGATGGATTTGTAATGGATATGTATTTTGCATATGACAGTTTATGCTTATTTCCCAAAAATAACAAAATGCCTGTTTCATAGCTATTAGTTCATAGCAATCTTCATGAAACAATGTTGTGATATGAAACAGTGTAAGTGAAAGCCACATAAAAATTATCATACATAATTGTTTTAGGCAAGAAGATTTGTTCAGAATATTAAAAGCCTACACCATTCACAACCCAAAGGATGGGTATTGTCAGGCCCAAGGGCCAATAGCTGCAGTGTTGCTGATGCACATGCCTGCAGAGCAAGCTTTTTGGTGCTTAGTCTCCATCTGTGACAAATACCTGCCTGGGTATTACAGTCCAGGACTGGTCAGTAGAAAGTGATGCCCTATTACAGAGAGTCATTAATCTGTTTTGATTCTTTACATAAATAGAATAAATTGCAAAATGGGGATGTTTTTTTGAGTTAAATATTCTTATTGTAGAAAGGCATTACCTTTTAACTGGAAGTTTTATCAAAAAATGTCATTAAGTATTTTTGTTTAACAAATATCTTAATAAATGTCATTACTTTTAGGAAGCAGTTCAGACAGATGGGGACGTTCTGTATGGTTTGCTGAAAAAAGTAGTGCCCGCAACATATAAACATTTGGTAAGTTGTCTTGATAATCTGCTCTTCATTGAGCTACTCATTTTTTTTTGCCAGATTTTGTATCATTATACAAGAAGTGTCTTATAATTGTATTCTTACTAAATTTAAGTAAGTAAAGGGCTTATTTAGAAATCAAGTTTTTTTTTAATGTCAGTGTTTGAGGATGAAATTGAGGAAGATGTATATATAATGCTGTATGAAGCATGCCAACCCACATTGGATAATGGTTGAATTCTCACTTGTGATTAACATCGTATATTAGACTATTGAAATTATGGTTACCTGAATGATTATATCTAGCTTTTGTTTGTGTATGAAACTGAACATTTCAGATTTGTGAAGATTTTTTTGTCGTTGATTTCATTGTATACTATGTTTTTTTGTTGGTTTTTTTTTTCAGAAAAAGCAAAAAGTTGATCCAATTTTATATATGACAGAATGGTTTATGTGTGTGTTCACCAGGACTCTGCCCTGGTCATCAGTATTGAGAGTGTGGGATATGTTCTTTTGTGAAGGTAAATAGTTATTAAACATGTTATTTATAAGCTGTAGTATTAATTTTTCATCTATAAAGATCTTGTTCGCTTGAAAATCTGTTGCTGTTAAATTTGGACCATAGGTGTAGTTTTCTTTCCTCTTTAGCATTGGCTATGATTCTTAAAAGAATACTGTGAGATGTATGCTGTTTGTTGAAACAAATTCAAATATGTGTTGATTTCAGGTGTAAAGGTGATGTTTAGGATTGCATTAACTTTGATCAAGTACACTCTTGGTAGACCAGAACAAATAGCAGACTGCCCTTCACTCTATGAAACTATGGAGAAAATAAGGAATTTAGCACCACAAATTCTTAGAGAGGAATTTCTAGTCAGAGAGGTATGAATTTCGCTAAGTAATAAAAATTTGTGCTCAATCAAACTTTGTTTTCAGTCTTTTTAAAATTTAAGGAAAAACTTACCCTCATGTCCTATTACAAGTCAGTCAAGTATAAACTATATCTCCAAAATAGAATATTAGGAATTATTTTAAATCAGCTTTGCAGATAACATATGTATGATCTAGTGATCACATTTTTTTCACTGTTCTCTGAATAGTCCTTAAAACTTTCCATCACTGAGCGGGACATGGAAAAGGAACATCAGTATCAACTTGCCAAAAAGAAAGCTGCAAAGGAGAAAGCAAACAAAGATTTGGGCAAGAAGAAGAAATCAAAATCACATTCACAATCCCCAGAATCTCCAAGCTGACAAAGAGTACCCAAAAGCTGAAATTAAATATGAACCTAATGTGGTCTTTTTAAGAACTTTGAGCTACCACAATGAAATGCTATTATGATGTAGGGATATATGAATGTAATGTTTTTAAATGTATGCATATCTCATGTTTTGTTCACTTGTCAGCATACTGTTAAAGTAATAAGTTGCTGAATACCTCAAGAAAGTGGTTTAAAGCTAGATAATACCAAGGAGTTATAACTCCTTGATAATACGAACAAATAACCAGTCAGTTCACTCAGTGAAGGTTCATTGAATCCTTTGAAGGAGAGTCGACTGTTATTTTATTTTATTTAAGTGTGGACTATTAGTAACTGTATATTACAGAATATAAAGAAGTGTAGTTAGGATGGTGTTCTCCTTCGCTGTTTCTGATCTTGAACATGAAATGGTGTTACTTTTGATAATTTGCACATTATGCACAGGTCTTCAAATGTCCAAGATAAATGACAAATTTATTGAGGAATATAGATTTATTTTGGAAGAATTAGTGCCAAGGTTTATCTTAGTGGGGGGGATCATAATGAGGTGCAATATTTTAATTTTTATTGGCAGTAAACAGGACATTTGATGTCTGTTTGAGTATGGTTGTATGAGAAAGTATAAAATTGTTTTAAAAAATAAAAAGAATGACCGATATGTCTGAATTTTACAAGTTTTTTTCTGTAAAGGGGCAACTCCACCAATTTACCAAGATGGAATGCATAAACTATTATATGCATTTACAGCATTGCCTAAATTTTTAATCAATTTGGTGCAGTTTTTCTCCATTTACTGGAAGCCTCACTTTTATAACTATGAGCATTTAGTCTGAAGTGTGATTCAGTAAATGTTCAGTTTTTCCATTCCATGTAGAAGTCATTTCCAGTACCTGTTTAGTGTATGTTGGCACATGGGCAGTGTATAGATTCCAGAATGTGTCACCAAACCAGAGTGTAACTGTGACACTATACAATGTATTTATGCTCATTAGGTATACCATGCACTTGTGAAATGTAATGTCAATTTTTCTCACGCTGTAATTTTGCCAAATACTATTTTGATGTTAATTATTTTGATACTGACTCTACTAAGTTATTTGTTGTTGGATTAGTCTATTACAAGATGTGTAGCTGTATTGGTGCTGGTCATTGGTTTGCATTCAGTAAATTAATTATAGAATTGAGAATGCACCATGTTTTATGTTCACGTCAGTTCATTACATGCAGGATATCATTTTAAGTCATATCAGTTATATTGAAAACATTGTTGTCAACATGCCTAAGAAATATAAACCTGGACCTTAAGTAATGTTGTTGTTTTTCTCTTTTGTACAGTGATACTTGAGTTTTGATCTATTTTTCACTTTTTATATACAGACAATGTCTGTATGTATAGTCATTGCCTGCACCTGTCTCTGGTGGCATTGTTGCTGTAACTTTTCACTATATATTTGACAAAGGGAAAACGGGTATTTTATACTCAATTTTTTGTGTAACTTGCATTTTTTTATACATTCCTATTTCCAGTCTGTCTTTGAAATCCAAAGGGATACAATCTCTTTGCTAGTTCTAAATGTCTTTGTCACCTGTAGTACCTAAGAAATTGGACATGATCCTGCATTTAAGCAGTATGCAAAATATTTTTTAAAAATATTTTGCATACTGCCACTGTTAGCAGAATAGTGAAACCATCATACTATCTTCACACTAACAAGTATGATTCTTAGGACTGAAAGACAGTTGATTAGATTTTTCTTGAAGTAATGCAATTTTTTTTTAATTCTTACATTTTTCAAACATTGGCATTTTCAATATATGACTCCAGTTCCATGGAGCTGAATTATTTATTTGAAGTTTGCATGGAAATCTTAATTTAAAATTTTGGGCTCTTATGATAACCAGTAGTTTTCTTTAAACATTCTTTGTGAAAAAAAAATGATTTTGGTGATATTAATATGCATGAATCTGGAAATTTTCAGAAAAAAAAACTTATGCACTGTAGTCAATAATGCTTATTTTCTGCTCTACATCTCTACAGGGTTGCTGCTTTGTTTGAACAACTCTTCTTTGGGAAGGGAGAAGCTTCAAATATAATGCTAACAGAAGTGTCATCAGCAGTTTTAAAAGTCAGCAGTCAGATCTCCTCAATACTAATAGAGAGTTGAGCAGTTTAAGGATCACACTTGGTTAAGTTTTTAAAAAATCCTTTAATACCCCACATGTAGCATGACAAGCTGTGATGCAAGAATAAAAAAACTCAACTTTATAACAACTGACATAGGCAAAAAGTTATTTTCTACTACACCATGGTATTCAAAATCTTAGGTCACTAATGCAGTGTTGGGATGCAACACTTCAGTCATGTAGCAAGTCTTATGATAACCTTCATTGGTCTTTGCTAAAAATATTACCCAATCTTTGCACTTCGATAAATTGATTTCAAAATGTCAAACCCTATGATAAAATGTCGAGGGGCAAACTATTGCCTAGAAGACCTAGGAAAATTCAAGACGAGGCCAAGTGCTTTTTGTGTCATGCTTATTGCATAATTTAATTTAGTGAGTTTACAGGAAGATATGTTATCATATTTTATTTGTTTAATAATATGATATGTACCATTATACAACAATGAAATGAATTTGACAAAATAGTGCTTGAAGGTAGGTGTTATAAAAAATAGTGATAATATTAAACAATAATAATCACATGGGCTGTGTACATAAACCATCTTCCTATAGCTAACAATTTAAATTGTGTAGCTTTGGATTCACAACTACTACATTTGTGGATTGTTCAGGTATATTTTGTGGATTCTTCCCAAGGATTACACAAAACTGAGCAACTACTCTTGAGCATGCTTAACAAAAAGAGAACCCATCTTTGTATTGTAATCATCACAATTTTTATGCTCAAGTATGACCTCAATCATTTGGTAATGTCAAAGGCTGAACAGTGCTGGGCCTTCATTGGTAATAATATAAACAAAATGTTATTGCAGATAATGAACAAAATGTTTCAATGTTACAACTGAGATAACATGGGGGAATGTCCACCTTTACACATTTATCATAATACATTGTTCAGTCACAATATTACTAATTAACTTGCACCACAACACTTTCCATTTCAAAATATGGAACTATAATGTCTCTTGTATTTTAATCAAGCAAGCATCAGCCATATAATGAAGAAAACTGCCATAAAAAGGAACACTTGAGAAAGAAACTGTTCATCTGCATGCTGCGGTGAACCAGCTTGTGCTGAAATGAAAAAGAAAAACATGCCATGACCACTGTGATATTTCTTATAATATTTTAGTTTTATATCGCATTGTAATACAAGAAACAGCTTTTTAATCATCTTAACCTTAATGTAAAATGGAGAAAAGAATATTTTCAATTTGTATTATACTCAAAAATGTTCCATCAATAAATACTATCACTTACGGGGTGCAGGTCTGCCATCATTTCCAAAATTAAATGTGGATGCAAAAAATGTGAAAGGAAAAGCTCCAATTCCAAAAGACATCTGAAAGCCGCCATCACCAAAGCCAAACCCGGGAAATGGCTGTTAAAGAAAAAAATATATTGATTTACATTGGAAAACAACTTTTTATAGAACTTTAGCATCAATGAAAGTGCATATTCTAAATTAGGCTTATACAAATTGTTAACACTGAAAGAAATAAAATGTTCCACTTTATTTTAGTACTTATATCTTCACTTTGGACTACCTTAACATATAATAATCAACATACCCCCGTATTTTCTGGTTCAGCTCTCTGCCCAGGCGGCCTTGGTGGTAACTTTTCTCTACAAACATAAATGAATTGCAGTTTTCTTCATTATATGGTCAGCGAAATTTAAAAAATTTAATTAGAGGTGGTTGTATGCATTTCCTATTTTTTAATATCACTATTATCAGAGATGATTCTATAATCCCACATTATTCTTACAGGTTCAGCCTTAAAAACTTAAAGATCTTACTTTTGTAGTAGAAATAACAATATTACTAAAAATAAATGTGTAGACTGATCAAAATATTAGAGCATCTCTTACACGGCTCTTTTTCCTACCTGGGGTCCTGTTGATCTGTACTTCCTCTGCCATATAAAGGAATCACTTTATCTTTACTTATTCCAGCTTTACAAACAGGGCACACTTGCCGGGTAGGTCTGGTTTCTAACCACTGATGGAGGCAAGGCCAACTGAAAACGAAGTAATACTTCCTTACAATATAAGTGTATAATATCAGTGGTTACTTCTATACACACACACACACACACACACACACACACACATCTGCAAATCTTGCCAAGTTGGTATAATTTGGCTGACTAAACTGTTGTTGTCCCATAGCCATACCTACCTAAATGACTATAATCAATGTTTTATTTGTGCTCTAATATATTTTAATTCAACCTAATATATACAAGAGAACAATTTCAACAGTTGAAAGGCACAGATGGCAAACAATCAAGCAGATAGATTCCCTGTGGAAACAATGCCACTGGATGATAAAAGTGCATACGTATTCCCCAGGAGCAATACATATAATTTAACTATTTTGACACCAACTAAATTACCTACCTAGACATTATGTTTACAGGCCTATGAAGAGGGTACTGTCATTTCCTTCACTAAACTTAGAACCCCATTCATATTCTGCCTTCAAGGAATTTTTCTTTTCAAATCTTATGTAACTTTTTCCATTCAACCCGAACCCAACTTACTTAGTATGATCTACCTCACCAGATAATAATAACTTTTTCAAATAGGAAGATGTCATAAATATCACGTATGGCCTCTCTCTTGTTAGTGCTACATCAGTTGCTTTTATAAATTATACTGAAAATGCATAATATATATATATATATATATATATATATATATATATATATATATATATATATATATATATATATATATATATATATATAGTTAGTTTTGCAGAGTATGAGACTCTCACCGAGTTTAATTTCTTTAATGGTGGGTCTTTCAAACTCCAAGAGCCTCACAAATAATTCTTTTGGGGCCCAAAGTTACGATACAATCATTTTATCAATTTTAAAGTAGTAATTGTTTTTGGGAGAAAAGGAGTAGAACCAAAAAATGAAGTTTTTTCTAGTTAAGGTCTAATTTGATGGTAAAAATGACTATAGATTTAGTACTGTCATTTCAAACATCAAGTAAATAATATCACTTCAATTTTTTTAACTCCGTCAATCTTATTCAAGTTTTCCGTATTTACACAGCATACAAGAGCCATGGCAGAAGCCATTATCATTAGGCAAAAACTATGCATGCCAGAAACTGTTTTACCAGTGGCAAGATGGATGCCATGATTTGGTAGATGTGATTAACCATGTAAAACTGAGATGGTGAGTAGGAGGAGTTTCTATCAGGTACTACTTATCTCTGTTAGGGGCAAGATTCCACGACATATGTAATGCATGGTGACAGGATCTGATTTGGCAATTAAGATCATTTCAACTTAACTTTACCAATGCTTTTCAAACCTGAGCATAACACTCAAGCATCGAATAGTTAAAAATGTAATAGTAAATCTAAAGGTAGGTGTAAAAACATTCTCTACCAGAGGCAGGGTGGGTGATGGCATCAATTCCATAAATATATTTTCACAGGACCTCTGTGATTTTGATCAGATGATATCAATTATTTTGTCAGCTATCCAACCCTTTTGTCTTTGAGCAGCCAGGATCTCCATGTAGTACCTAGGTGCTAATTTCTTAGTACATAATCTGTCTCACGTATTTGTCTGGCAAACAAGTCATGTGATTAAGAGGTGTTTCCCAAAACTTTGCACAGTAGTGCAAGCAATTAATGTCAGAATTAACTGACCTGACTGCTGTTAAAGAGACTTGCCAGAGTAGTTATGTAAACAGAGACCAACCCTATTATTAATTTGGTTATAGAAACTCACAGTACAGAATTTTATGTGTTAATTAAAATTAAGTTACGTGGTGATTTTGACCAATGTGTCTGCTATTCAAATTAATTAGTACTAATTTTATCTAGAGACAAACCAATTAGTGGCACTGGTGGTATAACCACTACAAGTACAATGTACACGACACAGCCTATAACAAATTGTCAACTACATATGTCTGGGACTTAATATCTTACATTCCCTCAGCATCTTACCAAAATAAATGTCCACACATACTGACGACTGCATCTCTTGCTGTGTCCAAACATATATTGCACTCGAAATTTTTACTGTCCTCTTTTTCATGATCTTGACTCGCCGAGCCGGAGGCATCAGAATTAGGAGAATCTGAGGTTACTCGGCTTGCCATTTTGAACCTTGAATATTCACGGGCTTCTCTAAGTGTCCAACAAGCCCAAGATTACGCTACGTGTTATTAAAGCTTCTATTATGGCAAATTCATTTCTTGTCATACGACATCTCAACGCGGAAGTTGCTTAATGTTGACGTGATGTACTCATGCGCATAGTGAGGTTTGTATAAAACAAAGAATACATCACCGATATGAATATAGCGTTTATTACATTTCAGGGTATCAAAAAATATTGTATTAAGCCGACAATTTTTTCCACTCTATTATTTCTCTCTTTAAGGGTTAGTGCAAATGCCGCACTTGAAAAACAGATAAAATGCATTTTTTGGTTTTTACTAATAGCATACAGATAAAAAAGAACCGTGTAAAACCGGATGTTTTCATTCCAGACTAAGAATGAAACATCTATTATGATTGGTCTAAAGATTGGCAGCCACTGCTGCTTTGCAGGTCGTCTGTGGCACTGCGAAGTTTTTTAATATTTGATTGTATAATGGCCGGCAGTTCACAGGACAATTCCCAGTGGCTGTCTGTCACAGAAGAAACGCTTTTTCTGCACGATGGATTAATTCGAGTGACAGATCTTGTTGAACTGCCCCATGATGTTAGTTCTGTTAGTGATCATGAAGTTGTAACTTTCGATTCAAAGAGCCCAGAAGAACTGAGTGAAAAACTAAAAACTGTCTGTGGAACGCAGAACAATGCATATACGAGACTTTTAGAATATAGACTTAACGCCCTGAGAGGTCTTTGGAATGCTCAACGCCAAATTGCGATAGAAGAACAGAATGAGAGAAATATCTCGACACACGAAGAAACCATACAACTGCTGAAAAAACAGGGGTTGTGGAAAGAACCTGAGCAAGCTTCATTCTCAACAAGAGTTAGCCTGCTTTTGGTACTGCCCTTGCTACAGTCTCAGAGTAAAGTAGATGCAGAACTTTGTGGGGTGACAGCACAGCTGCTGTTAAACTGCCTGCGTGACTGTGCACCTTTGTCTTTATCAAAGGAACCAGCTGATTGCTTAAATGGCATAGAGCAATTATTGTGTGGTTGGCTAGAAGAGGGATCAAAGGCAGGGAATGTGGAGGTTGCACAGATGGAAACAGCAGCCTCAGCACTAGTTGCTTTAGCATGTGCAAGGTCAGCTTGTGAAATAACACAAAATCATAAATGCAGATTTTGTTATTTTGGCAATGAGATATGCCAAAGCAGTTTTTCAATCCGCAAGTCAGACTTAATACATTGTACATTCAGTTACTTATGTTTTGTTTAAAGTTACATGACAAAAGCTATGAACTTTCTGTATACACTGTAACACATGAAATTTAACTAAGATGTATGTCTGTATAGAGGTATTATCTGGTATTATTGTATTAAATTTCTAATTTGTTTCCTAAGAGCATGTATTTTTAAATGCTCTCTCACAAGTACAGTAAATCGAGTTTCAGTAAATATTCTTATTTCTTTTTAAGGGGGCACCCAAAGACATTTATCCATACCATCCACTTGCTGCAGAACCTATCTCCACTGGGCTACCTCCCTGTGGCAGACATTCTCCAGAAGCTGCTCAGTGTGGAAGGAGGCCAGGCTCAACCCAGTGCTGTGCTAGGCAGCAAACATATAGTTTGTTGGGGAGTGGAGGACATGCTGGGGACATCTGACAAAGATACTCAAGAGAGAGAGAAAGATAAAGGTATATGTTTGAGAAGTATAATTACTTTTAACTTTGTAACCATATTCTTTTTAGCTTTTTTTAACAGAGCAAAAGGTAGTGGTGCCCCCCTGTACACATGTAGATGTGCACGCACACACTCATACACACACACACACACACACACACTAATGCTCTGTAAAGCATTGTTAGTAAAAGTGTATTTTCACTTGGATACACATTGTGTGACCTTCTGTAAAAGAGATGCATCAGTGACTGCTCCTTTGACTTAAATTATGTTCTCTAGAATTTATGTCCTCTGTGTTTCCTTACAGATGCAGTAGATCCATCCAGAAGTATCACCTGTGATGGAAAGTTTCTCTACACCACCAGTTCTACTGGTAAAGGTATTGCAAAGATAGGAACAGGGCTCCATGGCACTCTAAGGTTAGCTTTAAGCGGTTCCTCTTATAAAGCTTAGTAAAATTATATTGATGTTTTCAAAATGCAAATCTAGTTAGAAAGTAAGTTTATTACAAATGAAATTATGTGCAAAATAAGTATGACATAAGTACAAAACTCAGAGAAATTTCAAGGATAATAATAATAAATAATAATAATTATAATACAGTGCATTTTTCGTTAGTTTAAGCACTTCTTCATTTAGTCACATAAGTTGATCGCCAATTGTCAATTGGTTATTTTTTTTTCAGGGGTTACATATATGCACGTAACCCTGATATTGGTCCAGGTATGCTAGCTTATGGAAATGGTCAGTTACTACACAGACCTACTTCTTATGATCAAGAAAAGGAATCCAAGAACTTTGCTCAACATATTGACTCATGCACTTTATTGGTAAGTGAAAGTGATGTTTTCTGTTTCATTATTGAAATGAATTGTGTTTTAGGTAAAGAAAATTCTTTATTGTATTAAATTTCCTGCATAAAATCTCTCTCAAATAAAGATATTACAATTAATTAAATTGAATTATGTTTTTAAAAGAGATTGATGATATTTGCTTTCAACAGAAGATCCAAGTGGTCTTATTTTAAGCCGTTAAAAGTATTTGTTGCTGCTGTATAACAACAAGTTTATGCAATGATACCAATTGAAAAGTGATATATCATTTTCAGCCAATATCAGTCATCCCATTACCTGAGCAGTATGATGATCCATCTTTGTCTGGAGGTGTTACTACAACAGTTGGGTTTACCAGTGATAGTATGACCTTCTACTGGATCTGGTGTCCAGGAAGTCTCAATGACAAAAGCAGCAAGGGACAGAGTGTGAACTTAGAAGCATTTAAATATAATGTGAGTGTATGATATGTTAGGACCCCTCTTGACAGTGTGAATGAAAGGTTGAAACAGATATTGTTACCATTAAAGTAAACTTTCAGTTTGTTGATGTTAAGACAATCATAGATTGACTTTTTAGTTTATGAGAAAATAATATGGATTAATTTTGTTACCTGTAGTATTTTTTGAAAGTTTAACTTTCTAAATAGAAAATTGAATCAAATCACTTTCCTGTAAAAATGTATTCAGAAGTTCTTAAGTTATCCCTTTTAGGAAGAAAATTGTGCTTCAATATAATAATGATGAAGATTATGATGATACTTAAGAAAAAAGAAACATACAGATAAGATAAGGTAATTTATGAGAGCAAATTTTGTTTTCATAGATTTGCTCTGTAATCTCAATTTAATTTTGTTTATGAATGTGTTTGATAGATTGTGTTTGTTTTTATAGCCTGACTCAAATGAAGTACTTCCCATGAAGCCAAGTAGGTCCTTACAGCGTAAAGATGAAAACACAGGGAAAAGCATCAATGAGACTCTGCTATCCAGACTGAGGCCGTATAGGTCTGCTGCCTCAGCTCACGCAACACTGGTAGCACTGACAGGGGGTGACCCACTTCCAGGGAGGAAAGAGGAACAGAATGGTTTGTTTTGTTATTTAATTCTGTATGATGAATTTTAAGAATTATTATTTCTGATACATATAGTTTTAAGAACTTACTAGATAATGTTAAAAGATTCTCTTAAAAGATTCAGTTCCATTCTGTTTTTTATTGTTGTAGTCTTCATTCCAAACAAGAACAGCTATGCTGCATCAAGTTTATGCTTATGTCAGCTTGTTTAGCTTCTCTAGCTTGTTTTTCTTTACTGTATCTTTCATGTGTGACAAGTTTTAATGTTTTATTAATTAATTTTTGATGTGTCCAGTAAACACAAGCATTGGAGTTCCAGTAAAGACTCTGGTGCGCACTCCTGTGTACTGTGATGGGACAACCGTAGTGTGGCTGAACCCGATCCCTGGTAGTAACAACAGCAGTGCTGCCAGGTCACTGTTTGGGTCAGGAGGTGCTCTTGGGGGTCTTAGAAGTAAGTCTGGCTTGCCTTATTTCTGTCTGGTTTCAGTACATTTTAGTAAAGACAAATCATAAGCTCATCTAGTTTGGAAAAGGTTTCACTGTTCATGTATTTTTGTGCTTTTTTTTAAAGATTTTTTAAAGTGAATTCTCCATCCTATTTGTAGCCCTTGCCAACAATGTGTGTTTCAACTTGTCTGATGGCCAGTATAACACAAGATCAGACTTGATTGATGCACCAACTTGTGCTTTAGCAAGAGGAGCCTCTGTACTTGGATTAGGTATGGAACGTCTCTTTTTTCCTTTAATCTGTTATTTGATATGAATAACTTAAATTTCTAGGATTAGAGAAAATTTAACATATTATGATTGTTGTGTCTCTATATCTCAGTCTTTACCATATGATTTAAACTGATAATAGAGCAATTGAGTGTTATGTTCTTTATTCCCAGTTAAATAGTGTTTTTGGCCCAAAATACAACTGGAATATAGTTACACCATGACATCAATCAGGTTTGTGTGTCATCATCACAATATATTGCTTTACTGCAGGTATTTGCTATGATGCCTTTAACAACATGATCTGGACCTTCACCAATGACTGGGTGGACCAGTTTTACAACCCAGGCCACCAGGCTTCACATCTGGTACTCACAAGACTGGGGATAGACCCAAATGACAAGAATGAAACACCAGAAGGTAATTCTTATCGATAAGAAATTTGGAACAAAATTAACAGCCCTTCATTCTTGTTGTGATTATTTTTGTTACCTTATGTCCGTTTTCTCATGAATATATTGTTTTACAGATAATGCCCTAAGTTCAAATGATGTGATCCGGAAACTGTTGCAGCATGTAGGCTGCATGTGTATCCACCAGATCAACAATGATCTGCTCCACACTCCCCTTGGAAGTTACATACTTCAGCAAGACCACGTAGACTTGATGTACATGGAAAGGGTGTGTGATATTTTGGAAAAAGCTGTAGCAGAAGGTGACAGTGGGATAATACGATGTAGCTTGATAGTTTTTCAGGTGAGTTAAAGGTAGTGTTTTGTTTGCATTAGACCTTTGCCTACATAAGCCAAAATGAAGTGGATCATATTATGGTATTTTCAATTCTATAAAGGTTTTTTTGTTTGACTTGTTCTGAAGAAAGGTAAATTTTTGTATGTGTACTTGTATTGATATAGCTTATCTTTTTTTAAATTTTATAAAAATGTCATTCAAAGATTAAGAATTGAATTGTTATGTCTTTATTTCAGCTGATGTTTAAGCTTAACTTGTTCAAAAGGGACAGAGAGAAAGAGGTGCAGTTGGTGGAGAGGACCAGTCAGTTGGTGTGGAAAGTATTGATGAACAAAGAGATGGAGGAGTCTATACAAAAAGAGAGCTGCACTTTACTGAGTTTTGGATTGAAAGTATTTTACCCAACACCAGCTGACAGAAATAATCTTCTCTATAACCTCCTCACTGAAGGCAAGTGATCTAGCATTATTGTAATCATACATAACTCCAGCTTACAATTTTGGCTAAATATTATTTAAAAAGTTGTATCTAGATATTGAATGAGTAATTAATTATGAGCATTGAATAAGTAATGTTGTTAGTTTTGTTTTAGATAAAGGCAATGCGGGGTTAGAACACCTGAGAGATTTGATACTGGTGGATTTAGCTGACCAACTTAGAAGCCAGGCATTAGACAGTGCTGAAGTGAAAAATGCCAGGTTTGTTTTGTGACATATTTTATTTTATGGTATATAGAGTACATTAATTATATTGATGTGAATTGCGTTTTCAGTTGAATCAGTTAGAACTAATTGATTTGTATTGGAACAAAATGTATTATGAAAATATTTCTCTTTAGACTGACAGGAGAATTGATACAGCTTATTTTGAAGTTTGCTGTGAAGGAATCCTGTGTTCTTCTGAGACAGTGCCAGTCAAAAGATAGAAGCAAGTTTGATGAGATCCTTTCTGTGGTACCTGTAAGTTGTAATATTGAAAAAATATGCCTTTCAGTAATTCATAGTAATTTATAATTTATGGAGTAAACATTGTGAAAAATGAATCGGTTTAAAACTGCTAAAGTTAATAACATAACTACAGACAAGGAAAACTGGAAAGCCTTTTTGTCTGCATTATGTGTACCCATACTTGAGGACTAATGACTTGAAGGCTTATTTTGTGTTTTTTGCCCCTTTTAATTCAGTTGGCCTCCCCCAGCCTGCAGTACTTCATGGCCTTACAGTGTCACTTACTGAGGTCTGCTGTTCTCTACAAGACTGAAGATGCTGAGGAAGGCAACAAGAAGGAAGAGAAGCCAAAAGAGAAATTGGAAGAAATTCAGGTTGCATTGTTGAACTATGCCTCCATGGTGCTAGGTGGAGCATATGAGGTAAGAAGAAATTGGGATATAGAATACATCAAATTGTATGCCATTGGTTAGCAAATAAATATAACATAGTTCATGCTTAGTAGAAATTGGTCACATGCTGCCAATTATATAAAAAATGACTCTCAATCTTCAGTATTATGGGTGATCAAATATGTAATACATGTATTTTCAGTTATGTATAATGAAGCGATATCTTAAAAGTAAATAGTGTATGCTGCTGTTAGTAACATAATTTTGCTGTAATGGCTATTTTATATAAGGACAATTTGTTGTACAAATTACGTATTTTTCTTGGGCCAATAGGAATTATATTATTTTCTGTTTTCATATATGGTTACGTGTAGGATACATACCTAATATCTCTTCACAAAATGATATCTTTCAGGTGCTGGAAGTATTGTTAGAGACCTGTAACTCCATCATCAACAACAGGACTTCTGACTTAGAGTACAGACTCCAGGGTCTGGAGAGGGTGTGCAAGGCCACCATTTTGGGTCACCTGCTCCCTGTGCTCATCACTGCCATGAACCACTACAACCTCCGGTGTTTGTCCATGGCAGATTCCCTCATGTCTCAGCTGGTGCAGCTGGTAGTCTTGACTAGTCAGGTATGTCAGAAGGCATTTACTAGTTCTAGCCAAATTCTCTATGGTGTTCCTGTTTTATTATCATGTCCATTATTTATAAAACATTATTATTGGTACATTTGAATGCAAATAAATTCAAATGGTGTTCCAATGACATTGTTTTGCTGTGCAAAAAATTTCCTGTGTAATTTGGAACAAAGAAAGGAATATGACAACTGAACAAATATTTTAATGCATAAAAATCTTTTATTCAGTAGGATATCTTAGTTAATATTTGAACAAGTTTGAAATGCACATCCTTATTATTTGAAGGCTGCATTACTAATGAAGAGCCAGGTACAGGCCATTGGGCAGGAAGAGGACTTGGATGTCAGCACAGACAGTGATGGGGGAGAACTTGTACTAATAGAACCTACATTGAGTGCTGAGAGGTAGATTATTTTATCAGTTTAGACTTATTTTGTTGAGCAAAATGATTAATTATTAATCATTATTATTTATTAAGCTAAATACTTCAGTACAATCATCAATGCAGCATTTTCTACAATTTTAGTTTGGAGAACATGGAAGAGGAAGAGCAAGGCTTCCTAGCAGGACTTAAGATCCCTGCTCCGTGGGCCACTGGTAAAACATTGGAGTCCATCCATCCTGTCCGAGATAACTACAAGTACAAGGAGACAGTGACAATACCTGGGGCAAGGTGTCTGTACCTTAGATTTGACCCAAGATGCTCCTCACAGTATGACTATGACAAGGTACAGTTTGTTTATTTTTTAGATAACACAAGAGGTAGATTTGCAGGGAATTTTTTTACTTTATTTAAGCAACTTTCTAATTAATACAGATATAACCAAAGCTGCGCTTTCTACTTTGCTAACACCATAACTACAATTGTTTTTCTCAGCTGGTTTTGTATGCAGGACCAACTACAAACTCTCGTAAAGTGTCTGAGTATGGAGGAAACACAATGGGCTATGGAAGCAGGAGTGTTCTGGGGGCAGGCTGGCCAAAAGACTTGGTCAAGGTTTGTGACAACTAACTTTTGAACAAAAATTATATATTCACTATGGTATGCAAATTGAAATGTGTTTTTATCAATGAAACATATGAATACATAAAAAAGAGCCAGATTTGTCCTCATTAATGTAAACTAATCTCCCTGAACAGAAATTTCTTCTTATGTGGTATTTTATTATTGCAATCCACCAGGTTGATGGTGATACAGTTACATTGTCATTTGAGATGAGGAGTGGCAGAGAACACAATACTCCGGACAAAGCTATGTGGGGTTTCATGGTCACTGTCAGGGCTCAGGTGAGATGATATGGCTTCATTTGGACTTGAAGTAAAAATCAAAAAGCCATTTGTATGGTTAGAGGAAGAATTCACAATGTATATGAAATAGATGTCTGATATTTAGTATGTAAGGAGCAAATTTACTGGATTTAAACTGATAGAAAGGGAAACTGCATTCATTACAGTAACTGCTATAATGAAATAAAAAAATTAACCCCACAAGAATAGATGGCATATGGTGCTTGTATAACTATGATTTTTCTCTTGTGAATACAAACTTTGACATGAAGCAGTGCTCATGATTAAATGAGAAATAGAAACTGGTGGATAATAATATTGATTCCCTGTATTATTGTTGTAGGAATCTACAGAAGAAGTATCCAGTGGCCTCCCATTTCTAGCTGACCTTGCCTTGGGGCTCAGTGTACTGGGCTGTACCATGCTGCACTTACTTTATCAAGGCCCAGAGAAAACCAAAGATGAAACAGCTTGTGAACATTTGCTCAAATCAAAGCTGCTACAGAGGTAATGCAAACACATCAACATTATTAATAATATTAAATTTGTTTTTAATATATTTTCTTTGTTTGTATTCACTTACATACCAAAGAATTCATGGTATTGTGACATTTTTTGGAGAATATATTTTCATGAAATATATGGAGACATTCTGTCAACATGTACTTTGGTTATACATATAAAATTTAAAATCTCGAACAAAGTCATTTTTCTCAGGAGGAAACAGAACTGTTTCATTTTTTTTTTCTGTAAAATGGATTTAGAATTGCATGATTTTTCATTGGTTTTACAGATGTGTATGGAGGCAGGAGGGTCCTAGCAGCCCAATAAAAAGGCGTTTCCTTCCCTGTGACACCAGTATTGCTATACCAGAAGGAATAGAACTGGACATAAATGAACAACAGAAGCCAAGCAGTACCGTGTACACTTTGGCCAGAATCAAATTACCTGCTGATATTGTGACAAGACTGAGAGAGTTGTCTGGAAAATCACCCCCGCATATAAGACCAAGCATCAGGTACAAACTGGTTAATAATCATGGCAATGGATGTGATTTTTTGCTGTTATCTCCACAAGTATATGATCGATATATGAAGTGCTACTTTGTTGTATGTGAGAAAATGAGTTTTAAAGAGGATTAAGACCCCCCAAAAAAATATAATACTGAGTAAATACAGTTTGGGTGACTTAATTTCCAGACAAGTGTTACAGCCAGAAGTGTTGGAGGAGGCTATATTATCTGCCACAGTGAAACATTTGGGACTTGAGAATACCATTCACCAGCTGGTTACACTGCAAGAACAGCAGAATGATGAGTACTGGCTGCTGCAGGATATCATGTCAGAACTTTTTAAGAAAATTGACTCACTGGCAAGGCAGCTCCAGGTAGGAATTGAGTTTGGACCTTCATTGCTATATTGCTGCTTTCTTTGCAGATTATTATCTTGTGGAGGTAATATGATGTGGGTCATGCAGCGAATATGAATAATTGGTTCTTTAAATTAGTTCTTAGACCTTTAAAAATGTAATGTGTTCTTATATTAGTATTGTGTTATTTAGTTCTTTTAAGTGAATGTTGTAAGGCGCATTGAGATTTTTAATGGAATGCGCCATAGAAAAATAAATTATTATTATTATTATTATTATTATTGAAGTAAAAGAACATCATAAAGAGATGAATTCATTTAAAATGAAAACAAGCTTGAGAATGAAGTGTTACACTGCAAATTTTAATATAATCATTTCAGAGTGTGTCAGAATTGGAACAGAAGTGGGAAATGGAAGTAGAAGAAATCAGGCAAGGTCTGCAAAAACCTGAAGCTGCTTTCTTTGCAGATTATTATCTTGTGGAGGTAATATGATGTGGGTCATGCACTGATTACAATTAGAAACCTGAAAGTCTGATGATATTTATATTTTCTATTTAAAAAAGTATAAACAGTTTTAAAAGAAAGATTTGGGGAAAGTTTCCATGGATTAAATTACATAATATAGCATTTATCAGTGACGTGAATGTAAATTGCAACTTGATGAGCTGTATCTCTTAATCACACAGATGTTGATTATCATATTCATTGCCACTATCCTTTTTGTTTCAGAGCAAAACAAAAGAATTAGCCATGCTATGTTACATTAAGGACATACAGTTTGATGGGACAAATGCTGAAGCAGCTGTTAATGCCCTTAGGTATGCACACATTATATTTTTCAGATAAGTTATTATTGCTGTTGTTAAGTTCAAGAATAATTCCACTGTGGAAGGTTTTTCATTGTTAGTGCACATTTCAATTGAAATTCTCTCTTCTTTTGGTATAGGGAAAAACTAGAAGCTAGTGTTGCCAGTGACAAAAGTGAAGAGGCTCAGGAAAAGATGCCCAAGACCAAAGCACTTGTGGCAGGGTTGTTAGAGAGGTTAAGCCTTCTACTACAAGTGAATATCCCTCCTGACCCCAAAAAGCCAGCATTACTGAGGAATCTTTCTCTTGTACCTGAGACCAGCTCTCCTCAGAGTGAGTTGAGAACATTGCTTATAACAACTGTAATCTTTTTAGAGATGTCTAACAGCAATAAAAGAAAGATGTCATGGTGAAAGATATCATTTGGTGATCTGAAAACTATATTTAATAAATAAATAATGCGGTCATTATTGTAAGGATTGGATTTATAAGTACACACATACTTGAACACTTATTATTGGGTGAAAGAAAAAATTGAGTAAAAATTGATTGAATATTAGATCGTAAATTGGTTAATTACACATTTCACACTCTTAACAGTGGTAAATGCCATGATAAGATCAGACACAGACATTGTCAAGACCAGCCCTCCCTATGGCAGGTCCCACTCTGCTCCTTCAGAAGTATTGGATGACAGTGTTATTGAGATTGTTAAGTTGCAAAGGTAAGCTTTATTAAAAATGATAGATATGTAAGCTTTGTTATTGAACTCTGCAAACTTTTCTTTCATTATCAAGACAGTGTGGCACAGCTTAAGGATCTTCCTCCCATTTATCCTGGAATTAACATCGATTTTCATCAAAAATTCTACATCCAACCAAAAGAATTGTGCCATCAGAAATTACTTTTGGTTGTCCTCTCTGCAGAAGCCTCTTTATTTCCTTTTTGATAGTTTAGGACAGTTTGCCAAAATTTAAGTTAACATACAAAATTTCGAGTAAAATTTTGTTCATTCTCTTGTTCAGGAAGAGGCATGCTCACAAGAAAACTGCCAGCATTCTACAGGACTTAGTAGAGGATGACAGCAAGGATAAACCACCTTATGTTGTGTTAATTGACCTTCTCTTTTCCTTCATGGGTAGCAATCCTGAACAGGCTGTAAGTTAATTTGCTTGTGTTGCTTTGTACTAAAGATAATTCAAATTCTCGAATAGCATGAATATTAATCAGTTTTTGAAAACATGTCTAGGAAATTTGTATTTGTTCTTTTAGAGTTTAAATTTTTAATGTTGCACCATTGTACCTTCACATCTTGAGCTTAACAAATATCTAATGTGCTTTTGAATAGGTTTCTTGTGAAAGCTTCTTAGCAGCAGCCAAGGTGAGGTGGAAGAGAGGTCAGACACGCAGGCAAGCTTTAGTTCACATGAGGGAGTTGCTGACTGCAGCTTCCAGAGTAGGGGGTGCTACACATTTGGTGGCTGCTGTGACTTCTGTCTTGCAACATGGACCCAGGTTAGAGTTTGATAACCAAATCTCAAACATTGTTCTTGCAATTTTCAACTATGTTTATTAATTCAAATGTCACATTTTATTTGAAATTAAAAGGTGGTTTCTCTCTATCAGGATATCTGAACTGACATGTGGAGGCATGGTGAATCAAGTACGTGATGCCTTTGCAGAGACTATGACAGCTGTGGTTCAGCTGGCAGCCAGATATCCCATTGCATGCTGTAACAGCATTGGACTACTCTGTATCATTCCATATACAAGGTGAGGCTTAATATCTAGTCACATTTCAGCTCCTTTCAAAGTAAAACAGATCTGCTTTTGATAATGAAAGAAGAAATAAATAAAGTTGTATTTTGGGAACCTACTGTAACATTTAAAAATAACAGCATTCATCATATTACTTTTGTTTATCCGTCTAGGGCTGAGGAGAAGTGTTTGGTGCGCTGTGGTTTGGTTCATCTTTTAGATAAGTTGTGTAGTCTAAGTAACTGCCGTGGTGACACCTCCAGCACAGACAGTCAGTCCACCAGACAGAAGGTGTCTGCCATGGCCTGGGCAGGGTTCCAAGTGCTGGCTAATAGATGTGTCATGTGGGAGCAGGAAGAAGGTAAGAAGGAAGGAGACTATTCGTAGACTTCTGACTTTTTTTGGTGGTGTTGGTGTTTACGGCATTAATGGTATTTTTCCGAGTATCCAACTTATTGGGAGCCAAAAAGTCTCAACCCTGCTTCTGGTGGAAGAGAAGTATTATTTTGAAATGGATGTGTGTGAGTAAGCTGGGGTAGGGGTATTCCTATCTATATACATCTGTCTGCAAGGCAATGAACTGAAATAAATATTGCTTGTTTATTTTGAGGATGTATCATTTCAGGCATGTATCCTGATGAACTAGAGCATTCAGGGCTGGCAAGGCAGGTATCTGTGCTGCTCACTAACCACCTGGCTAGAGCCACAGAGGGCAGTGGAAATGAAGCAGCAGGGAATGAGGCTCTGCAAGAGGTTCTTAGTCTCTTAAACAATCTGTCCAGGTAACTTTCGAGGGATTTATAGAGAATTTGATACTTAATTTACATCTATCATGTTCCTCGTTTCATTTTGAATCAATACAGAAGCATGCTTAAAGATGTTTTAGATAGGAATAGGATGTACGAAATTCATCACTCAAATTATTGTGTTGTATTGCATTGTTGTTATCAAATATTACAGAAGCAGAATGGGCAGGGCCATCCTCAGTCAGCCAGCTTGTGTGTCCAAACTGCTGTCTTTATTACTGGATCAAAGGTAAAGAACATATGAAATATCTAGCTACATGTAATACTGTGGTCTTGATCTCACTGTTGAGTAATTTACTCTTTACAGAATAAGGATCTTTTTGCAAGAAATCTGAGAAATTGTGTGTAAGTGCCAGTCAAATATATTTCTTATTTGTGGTTTTGCTACTTTTTCTTTTATTACTAGAATAGTACTTTGGCAAAGTTTTGTTGTATAATTAGATGAAATACTTTTTTCAGACCATCTCCCAAACTGGTTCTAATCATCCTGCAGCTGTGCAGAGTGGCCCTCCCCTTGATGAGTGCAGATGACTGTGAAAATGTAGAACTCTCCACTTGGGGAAGAAACCTGCCTGCAGCTTTAGTTGATGATGATGATGCTTCATCTATCAAAATAACCAGTTTATTATTAGCCAAACTTGGAGATTTTATTGTACCAGGTAAAATGATGAATTTCTTACAAGTGACAGCAATTTGTTACAAGTGACAGCAAACTCCTGTCCTGTTTAAATATGAAATAAAATATGGCATGGCATTTTCCTTTCAACAAGTAAATGCCTAAATGTAGTTACATTTGATTTTGGTTTTGGTTGGTTCACTCGTGGTTGATTGTAAACCTTTTTTGTGTCTAGGAGGTAATGTGACCACATTCAGCCACCAGCCCTCTCTGGATGGCTCTGGAGCAAGAGGTGCATCTGGCCATGACAGGGACAAGAGAGATGATGCTGACATGCAGGATGGAAGACTGTCCGTATTTGTGCACAAAAGAGATGATCAGTCTTCTCATGAGGTCATTCAGCCACTACTTAGGTATTGGAAAACAGTAATATATGTATACATCGAATAAAACTCATCATCAATTCTCTTGATTCAGTTTGTTTGATTTGTAACAAAAAAAGAGTGCACCATTACTTATTCTTGTCAGATGTGAAAATAGTGCATTGCCTAATAAGACATTGGAAGTAATATTGTCATACTTTTCCTTACTTCTTTCTTTCTTTTTTTCTTTCGTAATAAATATAATTTATTTCTTTTTGTTGTAGCTCTGATAGTAGACCTTTCCGACTTGGAGGTGGTGCCAATATGGAAAGAGTTGTCAAGATGGACAGAGAAATGTCAAGGGTAGGTGACATAGCCAAGTGCAAATATATATATATATATATATGAGAAAGATATAACCCTGTAACCAGAGTCCTTTTAAATGTGGCAGGTAAAGGAACTAGATAGCGTACAAGATTTCTCTGATATACAAGTGCATTAAAATGTGGCTTGTAAAAGAACTAGATACCATACAAGATTTTGTACAAATTTAATGATTTTGATATTTCTCCAGACTGGTAAAGCTGAGATCACAACAGAGGAGGCCAGTTCAGCCCTGAGGAAGGCTGCTAAATGGGCTCAGATGGGTCTGATAGTCAGCACAGGACCTCCTGTGGACAGCCAAGCCCCAGAGACCGCTGCTGTGGACAAGAAAAAACAGGCTTTTGAAGTCACTTGTAAAGAAAAGAATTCAGAATTAGCCAGGTTTGTTAAGATTGGCTGAACTCATATTTGATATAAGAACAGAACTTAACACACTCTATTTAGAACCCTGTCAAAGTGCATTTGGTAAATGTCACAACTGTATGTTTAAATCCTGTCATTCTCAAAAAATTAGGGAAATATCAATACTTTTTGAAAGAACTTTTATGAATAAGAAAGTTTTGTTTCTCTCAACAACTCTGTTGGTCAGATTTGCAAAAAGATCATTGGCTGTCATTGAATATTTTGACTTGTTTGCAGAACTGATCCAGTGAGGCCATTCATCAGTGGACAAGTTGCCAACAGTATGGCAGCAGAAGTGATAGCTCTGTTACACTGTCTTCTCACAGCCCCAGAGACTCACACTGCTCAAGTTTGGGCAACAGCTGTCAGAAAGGCAAGATGTTCTAAATTTGATACTAATTCTGTACTGTCTCTTGATTTTGTATACCCCCTGTGATAAATACAGCTCAAGTCTGGACAAGAGTCAACAGAATGGATAGATATTGTCAAGGAATAATGGTTTGATGGTACTCCTTACAAATTACAGTTATTTACATGTTTCCTCTTATACAGGAGCTAAAGGTGTCCTTTTTATCTACATTGGATTTCATAGCTTAATAATATTTACCAAATGATATAAATAAAAGTTATTTTATTTGCTGAAGTTTAGTTTTGTTGGTAATCATTACCAATTTTTTTAACTCTCTAGGTGCTGACCAATGCCTTGGAATACCTGCCCAGCCTGATCAACTCTGTGGAGAACATAGGCTCTCCCAGGTTTAACCAGCATGAGATCATGGACATGGCCAAACAGGCCAATGCAGCTCTGGCAGCACTCGGAGGGTTCACAGAGACCATTAAGCCAGGATGTGAAGTAGAGGTACATATGATGTATGATCTCACCATTAATAAGTTAAAGTATAATAGGGTATTCTTTTCCCATAAACATGAACATTTGTGTTAAGAATTTTTTCATTTTAATTTTTTTTACAGTATCTCTGTGGCACCACCAATAGATATTTTAGAAGCAGCATATGTATTTCAGATTACTGGAGCAGGAATAGAGCACTGTACAGGGACAGTATTGAGTGTGTCAGAGGAGACCGGCCTGGCAGCTGTGACTATGGCTCCCCTTCCATCTGAGGACTCCGACAACCCAGCAAGATATGGGGACACAGTTTCTGTACCTGTTCGAAGATTAAAGCCACCTAGAAATGAGGTTTGGGGTCACTGTTTGAAATACTTTTTTTAAACAAGCCATTTTGAATTTAACAATCTATCCAAATGTATTTCATAAAGATTGGACTTTTAAAAGTAAGTGTATAAGTAGCAATTTAAGACTGAAATAATCTTCATTTCTTTCTAGACCCTAGATAATTTTCTAGTTGTTTATATGTATGTATATATTTCAACAACCTTTTTTACAGAGGTGCACAATATAGTGTCTTGTAATATATTTAGTCTTCATATAATGCAGTGGTTAAATCATCCAAGGTATTGCATTATTCTGTCTCTCTCTCTCTCTCTCCAGCCACTCCCATTACACCAGCTGTCTATGACTGATGCCATAGTGGCTGCTGTGCAGTGCTTGCTGCTGCCCCAGAACACCTCCAGCTCCCCTCTCTCTCAGGCACTGCCAATGCATGGAGATGGCAACAGCCTGGCTAACCAGTCTTGTAGGGTTGTGGCAGAAATAAGAACACGGTAAGAGATGGAAAGAACCTGGCTAACCAGTCTTGTAGTGTTTTAGCAAAAAAAAAAAAAAAAAAAGAACAGGTTAAGGGAGAACAAGAACTATGTTTATCAGTTTTGAAGGGTTATAAGAATTCAGGACTAAGTAAGAGTAAGTAATTGAGATGCTTGCTAACTGGTGATTGAAAGCTTCTAGTGCCATTTTGACTTGACCAACTCTTTTGTGGGTTCACAGGTTAGCAGGTTTGCAAAACACCTCCTAGTTTTAGCATAAAGATACTCTTTACTGCCTAATATTTTTTTTTTTTTTTTGAAAAAGAAATTATAGATATTAAAGTCAGATTATTATTGTTTGTCATTACAGAGCTTGTATGGTGTTAGCCAACTATCTGAGGGACATCACATTCACTAGCTCTTTCATCCAGCACTCCAGTGCTGCCATAGATATCCTGAAGTCCCTGTCTAAGGACTGTGGCAGTGGTGACAGGAAACAGGTCATTGAGAGTCAGTGTGACAGGCTCAGAATGCTCTATAGAGACTGTGCAAAGCCACCACTACCTCCTAACAAGGCAGAGGTTAAAAATGTAAGAATGGTCAAATTTTAAATGGTACATGCATGTAGAAAAGCATGTCATAGTTAATTGCTGCCATTTTGGTCATCTAATTTTAGAAGCTCTTATGCAGTGTTCTTTTATTGTGTCTGGTCCATTTGAAAGCTTTCATATATGCGAATGTGCATATTGTGGAGACGTGATAAAAAAGACTGTCTGTTATTTCAGAACAAGGAGATCACATGGGACACATCCAGGTCGTTCCCAACAGTGAGGTCCTGTATGTTCACTCAAGGCCAGACCACCGTTAACTTCCTGGGAGACCCAAGTGCTGGCAGTGGGCTGCCTAGAGGAGTCTTTATTTATGCCAACCAACCAGTGCCGTATCTGGTAAGTCCAAGACACTTAATGGATTCCCAAATATGTTTAATATTTACACTGTGACATTTGTTATTTGTGGACATCTCTTGGCAGTTTTACACACAGGTCTGTTCTCTATTGGACTTAACTAATATGAAAGACATTGTTGTGCCCCTGTTACCCCCTGTATAACCCACTTGCTGTATTTCTAGGCACCTTCTTTCTATTGGGAAATAGAGATATGCTGTGTAGGTGATCCACAAGAAGAGAGTGGGCCAACTATTTCTTTTGGGTTTGCTCCAGCTGCTGAGAAGAAAGATGGGGCTTGGACTAATCCTGTTGGCACCTGCCTATTTCACAAGTAAGTATTTGTAATTTGAATTAGTGTATTAGGAAACATGCTTCTGGTTTGGTTTTGTAATGTGTAATCTGTAATGTGGGTATCTGTTGATGAGTTTGGCTAGAATTTGTCCTTTCATGTCTTGCTAAGATAAAATGTTTCACATTCACCAGAGAACTTAATCAGAATCCTTACTTCTTGATGTCTTAAATTGCAGCAATGGAAGAGCAGTGCATTACAATGGCTCTAGCTTGCTACAGTGGAAAAGTGTACGCCTGGATGTAACATTGAATGCGGCAGATGTGGCAGGCTGTGGCTGGGAGAGGACAGAAGAGTCAGCACCATTACCAGGGCAACAGGTCAAGGGTCAAGTATTCTTTACTTTTAATGGAAGACGTCTGCCTGCCACAATGGATGATGTCTCGAGTGGAATGTGGCCTGTTGTACACATACAAAAACGGGTAAGAACATTGAAGTCTTTGCACTGTAGATGAGAAAATCATTGATATATGCAGATGAAAAAGGTAACTTTTCAACACTTACAGTTTTGTACATTATGATCCAATTTTAGTTACATGAAGAAACCAAAAGAATTTGTCCAGTCTTGAAATGTACATGGACATTTTGGGGAATAACTGTCATGCTCTACTTATTCAGAACACCAAGATTAAAGCCAACTTTGGAGCAAAACCATTTGCTTATGCTGAGGGTCGAGAACACAGAGATGCTGCAGATGAGTGTTCTGACATTAGCCGTGAGATACAGGAGATGTTTGAGGTCCTTCCTTTCCATATAACATCAGATAGTGACAGCGAAACCCAGACCACTACAGGCACTGCCACTCCTGACTCCAGTGCAGAGGTGGGTTCTCCTCCAGGTCCTCCTTGTAGGCTTGGGGCAGCACCCAAGGCATCAAGAGGTAAGGATTAAGTTTTCTGGGGAATTAAAAAAATTATTGTAGTACCAATTGGTATTATATTTGCATTTTTGATCACAAAGCAAATTCTCACAACTGAGTCTTGTTTATTCATTTATTTTTTTTTTTCTAGAATATAACACGGAGAGCTCTTTGAACTTCAAGCTGTTGCCAAGCTATGATAACTTCACCTTTACCGGGCCTGACTCTAGGACCCAGCAGGCTAACCATGATGATGAGTCTGATATAGAGGACAGCCAGGATGACCAGTCTACAGAGGACCACTATGCCTTGCTGGTCAAAGCCTGGGAGCAGAAAGTGTTCCCTACCATCAGGAGAAGGTTTAGGAATGAGGCGGAGAGGAAAGATGGCTTAGAACAAATAAAAGGGGCTTTACAGCTTGGTAAGCTTAGCATTATAGCCACAGTCTCTTGATCTGTTGGTACGTGTAAAATTTTTACAATTTTATCTAGTAAAAATTGTGCATTTTACATTTAATGTAATGCATGGACCATATCACCTTTTGCCTTATGTGCATAGGAATGACGGACATAGCAAGACAGACAGTGGAGTTCCTCTATGAAGAGAATGGAGGTATGCCACGAGATCTACACTTGCCTACCATAGATGACATAAAGGAAGAGCTTGCCAAGTTCTCCATAGAAAGAGTTCATAGAGGCACAACTGTGGTGATAAAGAAACCTGAAGATGGTTTATCAGGACAGATATTACCCAAGTGGGCCATACGGGGTATGCTGAAGACACTGGGGCTAACTGGAGTGGTTCTGGATGTGGATCAGGTAATGACACAATTCTGTACTAAATTGGAGAGGTTCATTTGTATTCGTTGAGTTTTTCTGGCATAACTGGTTTATTGTACCACCAGCGTAGGCGCTGGCGGTACACATGGTTTTAGTCCCGACCCGTATGTTCCGCCNTGGACCTGAAGCCTTACGCTTGTTACACATTTCACTTACATTGGTATTACCTGTTGAGCATAATTAAAATTTGATGTTGAATTTGCAGTTAAGCATAATGTACTTTTGATTGACAGTAGCCTGTTTTGTGCATTGTTATTGTCTGCTTTTTGTCTGTACATTTGACAGCTTTGCTGCCTTGTCTACATTGAATTTCACAGCTTAATAATATTTACCAAATGATATAAATAAAAGTTATTTTATTTGCTGAAGTTGCGTTGGTAATCATTACCAATTTTTTTAACTCTCTAGGTGCTGACCAATGCCTTGGAATACCTGCCCAGCCTGATCAACTCTGTGGAGAACATAGGCTCTCCCAGATTTAACCAGCATGAGATCATGGACATGGCCAAACAGGCCAATGCAGCTCTGGCAGCACTGGGAGGGTTCACAGAGACCATTAAGCCAGGATGTGAAGTAGAGGTATATATGATGTATGATCTCACCATTAATAAGTTAAAGTATAATGGGGTATCCTTTTCCCATAAACATGAACATTTGTGTTATGAATTTTTTCATTTTAATTTTTTACAGTATCTCTGTGGCACCACCAATAGATATTTTAGAAGCAGCATATGTATTTCAGATTACTGGAGCAGGTATAGAGCACTGTACAGGGACAGTATTGAGTGTGTCGGAGGAGACTGGCCTTGCAGCTGTAACTATGTCACCTCTCCCAACTGAGGACTCTGACAACCCAGCCAGATATGGGGACACAGTTTCTGTACCTGTTCGAAGATTGAAGCCACCTAGAAATGAGGTTTGGGATTACTATTTTAAATACTGTTTTGAACAAGCCATTTCGAATTTAATTTTCTATCTATTTGCCAGTTATTTATTTCTTTCAAAAGTGTGCAATATACTTGTTATATATTTAGTCATTATATAATGCAGTAGTTAAATCGTCCAAGGTATTGCAGTTTAAAAAGGTCAATATTCTGTCTCTCTCTCTCCAGCCACTCCCATTACACCAGCTGTCTATGACTGATGCCATAGTGGCTGCTGTGCAGTGCTTGCTGCTGCCCCAGAACACCTCCAGCTCTCCTCTCTCTCAGGCACTGCCAATGCATGGCGATGGCAACAGTCTGGCTAACCAGTCTTGTAGGGTTGTGGCAGAAATAAGAACACGGTAAGAGATGGAAAGAACAATCGACAAAAATAGTGAGAGCATTGGTTTTAATACACCGTAGACGAGAAATGTTTGACAATTGAATTGACGAAAATAGATGCTGAATTTATGAAAGGATCGTTTAAACTTGAAACTGAATCGATGGGAAGGCAGTGAATCAACAAAACATGACTGAATTGACGACATGAATTTTTGCCCTTTTGGCCGCCCATAATGCTGGCTTACTGGTGATTGAAAGCTTCTAGTGCCATTTTGACTCGACCAACTCTTTTGTGGGTTCACAGGTTAGCAGGTTTGCTAAAGTCCTCCAGTGTTTTAGCATTAAGATACTCTTCATTGTCTAATATTTTTATTGAAAAAGAAATTATAGATATTAAAGCCGGATTCTTATTGTTTGTCATTACAGAGCTTGTATGGTGTTAGCCAACTATCTGAGGGACATCACATTCACTAGCTCTTTCATCCAGCACTCCAGTGCTGCCATAGATATCCTGAAGTCCCTGTCTAAGGACTGCGGCAGTGGTGACAGGAGACAGGTCATTGAGAGTCAGTGTGACAGGCTCAGAATGCTCTATAGAGACTGTGCAAAGCCACCACTGCCTCCTAACAAGGCTGAGGTTAAAAATGTAAGAATGGTCAATATATTTAATGGTATATTCATGTAGAAAGAAGTAGCTTGTTTTTCATAGTTAATTGTTGCCATTTTCTCATCTAACTTGAACAGCTTGTTTGTGTTTGTTCCACTGCAACATTTGACATGCAGAAACTTTATATTTTTCGACTTTGAGACAAAAGAACTAAGCCTTCCTTTATTGTGTCTGTTCCATTTGTAAGTTGCAAATTTACATATTGTGGAGTAGTAATAAAAGCGGGCTGTCTGTTATTTCAGAACAAGGAGATAACATGGGACACATCCAGGTCGTTCCCAACAGTGAGGTCTTGTATGTTTACTCAAGGCCAGACCACTGTTAACTTCCTGGGAGACCCAAGTGCTGGTAGTGGACTGCCTAGAGGAGTCTTTATTTATGCCAATCAACCAGTGCCATATCTGGTAAGTCCTAGACCCTTAATGGATTCCCAGTAATATTTGATATTCACACTCTGACATTTGTTTTTCAAGGACATCTCTTGGCAGTGTTGCACATAGGTTCATTCTCTTTTGGATTTAACAAAAATGAATGACATTGTTGTGATCCTGTTACCCCTGTATAACCCACTTGTATTTCCAGGCACCTTCCTTCTACTGGGAAATAGAGATATGCTGTGTAGGTGATCCACAAGAAGAGAGTGGGCCAACTATTTCATTTGGGTTTGCTCCAGCTGCTGAGAAGAAAGATGGGGCTTGGACTAATCCCGTTGGCACCTGCCTCTTTCACAAGTAAGATATTTTTATTTGAATCAGTGTATTAGGAAAAATGCTTCTGATTTGGTTTTGTTGATGCTCAGTAACATGGGGGTGTCTGTTGATGAGCTTGGTTTGATACTGTCCCTCCATGTTGCAAAGATAAATTTGTTTTACATTATTTGAATTCCAGCAATGGAAGAGCAGTGCATTACAATGGCTCTAGCTTGCTACAGTGGAAAAGTGTACGCCTGGATGTAACATTGAATGCAGCAGATGTGGCAGGCTGTGGCTGGGAGAGGACAGAGGAGACTGCACCATTACCAGGGCAACAGGTCAAAGGTCAAGTGTTCTTTACTTTCAATGGAAGACGTCTGCCTGCCACAATGGATGATGTCTCGAGTGGAATGTGGCCTGTTGTACACATACAAAAACGGGTAAGAACATTTAGGTCTTTGCACTGTAGATGAGAAAATCATTGAAATATGCAGATGAAAAAGGTAACTTTTCAACACTTACAGTTTCGTACATTATGATCCAATTTTAGTTACATGAAGAAACCAAAATAATTTGTCCAGTCTTGAAATGTACATGGACATTTTGGGGAATAACTGTCATGCTCCATTTATTCAGAACACCAAGATTAAAGCCAATTTTGGAGCAAAACCATTTGCTTATGCTGAGGGTCGAGAACACAGAGATGCTGCAGATGAATGTTCTGACATTAGCCATGAGATACAAGAGATGTTTGAAGTCCTTCCTTTCCATATAACATCAGATAGTGATAGTGAAACCCAAACCACTACAGGCACTGCCACTCCTGACTCCAGTGCAGAGGTGGGCTCTCCTCCAGGTCCTCCTTGTAGGCTTGGGGCAGCACCCAAGGCATCGAGAGGTAAGGATTAAGTTTTCTGATGAATCTGTAAAAAATTATAGTACCAACTGGTATTTACATTTTTGATCACAAAACAATTTCTCACAACTGAGTTTTTTTTTTCTAGAATACAATACAGAGAGCTCTTTGAACTTCAAGCTGTTGCCAAGCTATGACAACTTTACCTTTACTGGTCCTGACTCCAGGACCCAGCAGGCTAACCATGATGATGAGTCTGACATAGAGGACAGCCAGGATGACCAGTCCACAGAGGACCACTATGCCTTGCTGGTCAAAGCCTGGGAGCAGAAAGTGTTCCCTACCATCAGGAGAAGGTTTAGGAATGAGGCGGAGAGGAAAGATGGCTTAGAACAAATAAAAGGGGCTTTACAGCTTGGTAAGCTTAGCATTATAGCCACAGTCTCTTGATCTGTTGGTAGGTGTAAAATTTTTACAATTTTATCTAGTAAAAATTGTGCATTTTACATTTAATGTAATGCATGGACCATATCACCTTTTGCCTTATGTTCATAGGAATGACGGACATAGCAAGACAGACAGTGGAGTTCCTCTATGAAGAGAATGGAGGTATGCCACGAGATCTTCACTTGCCCACCATAGATGACATAAAGGAAGAGCTTGCCAAGTTCTCCATAGAAAGAGTTCATAGAGGCACAACTGTGGTGATAAAGAAACCTGAAGATGGTTTATCAGGACAGATATTACCTAAGTGGGCCATACGGGGGATGCTGAAGACACTGGGGTTAACTGGAGTGGTTTTGGATGTGGATCAGGTAATGACTTACATTTCTGTACTATCTAAAGGGTAGATTTATGTTCACTGAGTTTTTCTGGCATAACTGGTTTATTGTAAATCAGAGAGCTGCATGATAGGGAAACGTTTATAGCACATCGTCTTAAAAGACAAACATATGAAAAAATTTATACAACAAGGCAGTTGCGTATTTGATCCAAATACATTATTCTTTAATTCTGTAAAGATACAGAATATTAAAAAAGAAGAAAACAGATTGTTTTCAACATCAGAATAATTAATGAATGCTTATAGTTAAGTCGGTGGTTATAGTATAGAGAACTTTAATTGACCTGGTTTACTGAAGATGAGCACAATCTCTTTCTGGTTCAGCCCAATGAGTTGGTGCAAGTGGAGACATATTTGAGGAGTGAGGGTGTCCTGGTCAGGTTCTGGTACCCTCTGTCCATACTGGAGAGACCTCCACAGGGGTTTAGGAAGACCAGCATTGTGGGACAACAACCTCTGGATACGTCTAATATACTCATACACAGGTAGATTGTTAAACATTGACATCATTCACAAGTATATAACATTCAAGGTACAGCATATAACATGTTCAGATACAACACACATCATGCTCATACAAAAGTACAGCTTAATTACAGTGTTGTTTACTTATATGTAGAAAAAATAACTGAAATATTGAAACATGGTTGAGTTTTGGGAGAATATGTGTTACTCTGATAATCAGTGAAAATCAAATAATTATCACTCTCTGAAAAGAGTAACTAACTTTTTTGACAACAGTAACCAAATGTTATGTTGAATGCTGATTTTTGTTAAAGCAAGGTATTCAACTTGATGTTACAGAGAACTCTTGAGAGTGGAAGCTCAGCTCACCAGAGCATACTGCCGTGCTGCACTACTGGAACTGATAAACCAGTGTAACAGCACGGCCATGGAGGCACTGTCCTGCACTACCAGTCTATCAGGCATGGCAGCCAGTGCAGCTGTGTTACAGGAACTGGATGTGGAGAACCTACAGCTGTTGTCTAATGAACTGCTCTCACCCCCTCAGGCACATGGCTGTATTGTGGCCACCTCCCTGCTGACCTCCACCTCCCCTAGGCAGTGCCTGTCAGCTAACACATGTGCTCTATCTGATATATTCTACCATAATCCAACCAAGCTGAAGGAAGAACTGAAGATTGCCATATCCAGAGCAGCAAGCCAAGGGGAAGACTACCTGATAGAATTGACTAATCAGTTGTGTGTTTGTTTACAGGTAAGGTCAGACACAAACATATCAGTTAACCTACTTACCAATTTTGTCTGGCCTAACAATAACTTAAAACTTCGTNGCCTCTCTGATCCTCTAGTTTCAAATTGTAAATCAGAGCTGCATGAGAGGGAAACGTTTATAGATTATTGTCTTAAACGACGAACATATGAAAATAATTATACAACAAGGTAACTTGTGTATTTGATTCAAGTACATTATTCTTTAAAGCTTTTGAGACAAAGAAAATTAGAAAAGAAGAAAACAGATTGTTTTCAACATCAGAATAATAAGTGAATGCTTATAGTTAAGTCAGTGGTTATAATATAGATAATGTTAATTGAACTGGTTTACTGAAGATGAGCACTATTTCTTTCTGGTTCAGCCCAATGAATTGGTGCAAGTGGAGACCTATTTAAGGAGTGAGGGTGTCCTGGTCAGGTTCTGGTACCCTCTGTCCATACTGGAGAGACCTCCACAGGGGTTTAGGAAGACCAGCATTGTGGGACAACAACCTCTGGATACATCTAATATACTCATACACAGGTACATTGTAAAACATAAACATCATTCACAAGTATATAACATTCAAAGTAAAGTATTTAGCATGCTCAGATACAACACACATCATGCTCACACAAAAATAGAGCTTAATTACGGTGTTGTTTACCTCAAATATGTAGGAAAAAATGACTGAAACATTGAAACACGATTGAGCTTTTGGGGAATATGTGTTACTCTGGCAATCGGTGAAAATCAAATAATTATTACTCTCTGAAAGGAGTAACTAACTTTTTTGACAACAGTAACCAAATGTTTAGGTGAATGCTGGTTTTTGTTAAAGCAAGGTATTCAACTTGATGTTACAGAGAACTCTTGAGAGTGGAAGCTCAGCTCACCAGAGCCTACTGCCGTGCTGCACTACTGGAACTGATAAACCAGTGTAACAGCACAGCCATGGAGGCACTGTCCTGCACTACCAGTCTATCAGGCATGGCAGCCAGTGCAGCTGTGTTACAGGAACTGGACGTGGAGAACCTACAGCTGCTGTCTAATGAACTGCTCTCACCCCCTCAGGCACATGGCTGTATTGTGGCCACCTCCCTGCTGACCTCCACCTCCCCTAGGCAGTGCCTGTCAGCTAACACATGTGCTCTGTCAGATGTATTCTACCATAATCCAATGAAGCTGAAGGAAGAACTGAAGATTGCCATATCCAGAGCAGCAAGCCAAGGGGAAGACTACCTGATAGAATTGACTAATCAGTTGTGTGTTTGTTTACAGGTAAGGTCAGACACAAACATATCAGTTAACCTACTTACCAATTTTGTCTGGCCTAACAATAACTTAAAACTTCGAGAAAGATGCAAATTTAAATATTATTTTTTCTATGATCAGATATTTCGTAAAACCACATTGTTATAACTTTGTGTCTGTCATGCATGCTCTTTAAAAGTTCAGTGTAATGTATGTTTTTCTCATATTGTTTTGCTATAGATCTCTCCAGAGATGTTTCCAGTGGAAGAGTTTTTGGTGACAGAGGTGAAGACAAGCACAGATGTCTACTTTCCAGGTGCCTCGTTCTTGGTCATATCATGCAAGAGAGATCCAAAAGTCTCTAAGAAAGAGTGAGTGTCATTTTTATATTCATTTATTAAAGTGCACCACATGTAGGAAATAAGTATGGTTATTTGTCTTTTTATGTGAAAAAGTACTTAACTATCAAACGGCCTTGAATGTGATAAAAAGAATAAATGAAAATAGAAGCTTTGCAGATATAATTTATGTGGTGGATAAAACAATCTTTTAAATTTTTTTCAGGAGTTCTCCCTACAAGTCACCATGGGCCAGAATCTTCACATACACTGGACACCGCATCAAGAAGAATGGACAGTCCATCAAGCAGGAGGTGATCTCCTACCCTAGGGACACCACCTCCACCAGTAACACCAATGACCAGTATGCTCCAGTCATTATCTCTGCAGACAGGGTCCATGTTAGAGTGGGTGTGTCTCCTCCCCCTGGCGTCATCCTCACCATCCATGCACTCCCACCACAGTTCCCACTGTCCATGGCCTACATGGAGACCCTACTGTCACAGAGGAAGACTGGAGGAGGCGGAGGATCCACTTCGAGAGGAGAAGTCAAAGACACCAGTAAAGAGACTGATGGTAGTCTCTCTAAGTGGAATTTTGAGGAAGTTAGCATCACACCGTGTGCTTTGCAAAATGTTATAGAACTTCTGGGGAGTTACTTGCTGAGGACTGACATCCCAGCTGTGATCAAAGAGAGCATTTTCCACATCCTGGCCCAGGCCTTAAGGGTGTGGAGACAGAGCCATGAAGAAGAGGTAGAACCCATATTGTTTCCAGTCAAGACAAACCTTAGTGGATCCCTGGGGGCTTTGTTACAGCTCCAGACTGAACTCAAGAAAGTGTATGAGGAGGAGAGTGCCTCCTTCCCTACTGGTACCACAGCCAGTGGTGCAGGCATGGGGTTAGGGATTGGGGACCAAGGCAGATTCACCACATATTTCCAGGCTCTTCTTGAAGCTTGCTTGGCCATAGCAGAGGTCAGTTCTCCCACAGTTGGGCCACTTGATCCTGCGGCTAGTAAAAGCCTGACTTCACCTCCAAGTAAGGCCAAGTCAGCTGCTCCTCCAAGTCCAATGTCTAGCAGTAAGAGGAAGAAGCTGAAAGCTAAACGTGACAGGGACAGAGAAAGAGCAGGAGCCCGTTTTGCAAGCAGCCCTAGGACGAGTGAGAGTGACAGTGGTTTACCTCTTTCTCCTGCTGCTAGTGAAACTCCGAGCTCCAGCGAGACCTCTGTGAGCCCAGCCTCAAGTAGCACAAGTGTGGGTACTACCACCAGCACTAGCAACAGTAGTATGAATAAACCAGAGGATATGCTTTGGTTCCACAGAGCTCTCACCATGTCACAGATCCTTAGACACCTTACAAGTGGAGAAAAGCAGGGAGAGGTGGTCACAAGTGATGCTGTGGCTGATGCCTTCAATACTCTCATCAATCCATCAGCTCACTCTCGACTCATGGTTATAGCTGGTATACCTTCCAGTCTGGACACGGGCCTAGCTTTCCAAACAATTCTCAAAATCTGCAATGTGAATGGTGGGCTGTTCAAGAATGAGATATTATTACCAGTTAAAGAGATCCTGATAAACCAGGAAACAGAGGATGGAAAAAAGAATGCAGACCAAGGTAGCAGTAAGTCAGCTGCAGCACAACCTGGTGGTGCTGGTACTGCAGGAGTTGAGGGCACTAGCACCAAAACACAGAGTGAGAAAGATGAAGTTCCAAGTACAACAGAACCCACAGAGGTGTTAAAAGCCAAAACTTTAAAGGGATATGCTGTTGTAGAATTGCGATCCAAAGCCAAATTTGAGAGTGTCAGGAAGGCTATATATAAAAACAAAGTATTCCTTCAGGTTTTGAATTTCGACCCTGATGATATGGTTGACATGCCAGAGGATTTGCTGTCTATATCTCCAGTGAATCAAAGTTTGTTTGCTGATCCCCAGGGCAATGATGCTTTGGATGAGTACTTTCAAAGCAAGTTGGTAACAGGACAGGACCTCACAGATGGTGCTATAGGGGCTCTGACAGATATCTACCACAGCTGTTATATAGCTGTACAAAAACTGAGCCCAGAAGAAACCAAGACTGAGTCAGGTTTTATTTGTTTGACCAAGGACCAGATTATGATGCAGACCCCTGGTAACCTCCTGCATCCATTTTTTACCAATGTAAGGCCTCCAAAGAAGTCACTGTCAGAGCAGGTGACATATGCATTGAGGCATTATGGGATGTTCAAAATGGTGGACAAAGAAGAGCCGTGAGTATTGCACATTTGTTTAGCAATGCTTTCTTTGCATGATGACTTTGTTTCTAATAAAGAGAATTAAAGATTCCCAGAAAATTAGAAATTATTAAATTTTACCACTTCTTTATTTCAGTACTTGAATTAAGAAAGGTTATTTGCTGATGATATTTCTAACTGTTGATTACAGTAGCATACCTCCAGAGAAAGGCAAAGGAAAAACAGGAAGAAGAAGCTCAAAGACCTCCAAAGAAAAGCTGGCAATGGGAACCACTAGCAGTGGGAAGTAAGTAATTAAAGAAACAATAGAAAATTTTTTACTTTAATATTTTCTCCAAAATATCTATAAATTTTTGTTCAGATAAAATGCTAGATATATAGCTCTTGCATTCAAGTTGTCTTAATACTTTTTAAATTTTTACCGAGCAACTGCAGGCTTTTAACTTTTAAGGGATCTAAAAGGTTTTTAAAGAGTTTTTACTCATCTGCTGTGTCTTATTTTAACAACAAAAATGGAAATTTATAATTTATTTATTTATAATTTGTAACCCGAATAGCAGTCCAATTTCCGTTTTATATGAATTTTATATTTATATATTAATGGCTGAATAAACTCTTATCTTAATTAGTATGTATGAATCAGTAATGAAATCGGTGTTTAGATGTACCATTCATAAAACAATGTATGTTGGGTTGGATTGTTTGTGACAAATGTATTATTTTCTTAGAACAAGTCCAAGAGAGAAAAAGAAAGCCAAAGAAGCTTCAGAGAAACCCAGCAAGGAGGAAGGTACTCCAGAAAGCTCATCAAAACAAACCAAGGTAAATCTGGGTTTTATGTCAGACATTTGTTCAGCACAGGATTTTTACACCAAACATAATTTTACTTAAGAATTAAGCAATTTTTTTCTACTTTCCACAACCCATCTTTTCTCTTGTTTTGCATCATTTCTAATTAGACAGATTAATCCTGAACATATCATGATTTATTAAGACTGACATGTCTTCCTGACATTTAAAATCTCAACATCGCATACTTTTAATTTAGGGGTATTATTGTTTTTAAATTGGGAAAGTTAATTACCTTTGCAGGATATTAATGTCTTTGGGACAATTTCAAATGCATTTTATATGTCTTAAACACATTTGAGTATTCCAATTTATTCTTGAAAATTAATTTGATAATCACTAAGACAAAGTATTCATTCAAATTACATGAATGCAAATTAAATTGTTTATTTTGTGACTTTGTTTGGAAACAGTAGATTATTAAAAGTAAGGAATGGTTTGTTTATACATTTTCTCTCCAGGAGGCACCCAAAGATGAAGACAAGCTGTTGACATTAAATGGATTTCTACAGTTTGTGCTGGAAAAATCTAGACAAGATGCCAGATCAGTGTGCAAATCACTCCTATCTTGTGGTTATGATCTTCACTTTGAGAGGTAATCAGTCCTTACCAAAAAAAGTAATAAATCTTGTCAGTAGGCTTCTATCAAAGAATTAGTATTTTGTATTACCAGTTAATGTATATAACTGTTAACATGTTACATTGACCTTTTATTCCTCTTTTTCAGGTGTTCTTGTATCGACCTTGTCCAGGCCGATCAGATGTCCAAGGAGTGGACTCTGGACATGGACTTTGCTTTAGTTCAACATGTGAACAATCTTTGTTGGCACTTAGCTGTGGCTCCTTCTAGGCTGCATCCACATGAAATCTATCTCTCTGAGGAAGATCTCAGCAATGCATCCTATTCATGCTTGCAAGGTTTGTGCAGTGGGTAATACGACATAGAAATATCATGGTAGGGCTTATTGTGTCATGATCATAAGACATAATAACAGCAGGGCGCTTTCACTTGAGTCAGTGCAAAGACCCCAAAACCTCACTGAGAATTTTTTAGTGCAAATTTTTAAAAAATGAAATTTTTTGTTTTTGTAGGGATACCATTAGAAAGCATCAGACTCAGATTTGCCTTGCTGCAATCCTTAAACAACAGTCTGGAAACATTTTTCCTGCCCTTGGTTGACCTTCGACCTCACAAAAGTTATAGCTGCAGCACCGCAGCACTTCTCACAAAAGCCAGAGGACTAGTATTTCATGATACCAAGATGACTTTCCTAAACAGAGTACTCAATGTAACAGCCAAGAGGAAGCCAGACCAAGCTGCTCCAGAGATTATTTTAGACCCTCTTGAAAATGTCGGGGGTTAGTTTGAGTTTTTGAAAAATTATTTATTTCCATGCACGTTGTGTTTTATTTCATTTTAAGTCCCCTTTGTTTTCATAGAAAAGTTAATTTGGAAAATTGGACAAGACTTATTTGATAATATATTAAAGAACTTGTGGATTTACAGTGAAGCATAAGAAACCATATAGGTTTAACCATCATTGTGACTATGTTTCAGGAGAGAGAAGAGATGTATACCAGTACCAGCTATGCCAAGCCTTCCGTCAGCTGTCTCAGGTACTGTCCACCCAGCTCTGTGTGAGGATAGCTGCTGGGGGAGACCCTACATATGCTTTCAATGTCAAGTTCACTGGGGAGGAAGTCCATGGCACAAGTAAGGGACATTGATTTTGTTTAAGTTGTCACTGAGGACTATTTTGAAATTATTGGAAAGGTGCTCAACTTTTCTGATCTTGGATAGTTATTTTTCATTTTCCAGGATTTATTACATCTTATTGTTCTTTTTATTTTGGGCATATCAGATTTATCATATGTTAGTCTGTGCAAGTCTTCAATGTCTGATGTTGCTGGATTTGTTTTCAGGTGGCTCATTCCGCCACTTCTTGTGTCAGGTAGCCAGAGAGTTAGAGACTCCAGCCTTGCAAATGTTGATGCTCTGTCCCAGTACAGCTGGGAGCAGGAACAAAGGCAAATACATCATGTCTCCTGGAGGCATGTCATATCCTATGGAGAAACTGCTGGAGTTTGTGGGACAGGTAAATTGTGTTTTCCCAGTGCCATACTGATAATTGGTTACTACATTGGGCCATGAATAGGGAGCATTTAAACAGAAAAAAAACACATTCTTTACGTTTTGGATTAACTGAAACCAGTACATGTATGAAATACAGTGAAGTCTATTTTAATTCTCTTCTGCACAGTCAGTTACCTTAAAACAATTGAGTGATACAAAATGTGCATAATAATATTGAAATAAATTCCATTTCAAAACGTGCACAAGGTATATTATGTCAAAATGAAAAGGTCAAAAAAATAATACATTGGGTACAAATGTATAATTGTAAATCAGTATAAGAAAGTGTCGCTGAAATACAAAAAGACTACCTTTCATGTGTGGACAAGCAAGTGAATATGACTTCCATTTTATTGTGTTGTTTTTAGTTGTTTGGCATCACTATAAGAGCAGACATCCCTCTGGGTTTGGACTTATTGTCAGTGTTTTGGAAGAACTTGGTGGCCATTCCTTTGGACCCTGCCACAGACTTGCAGGAGGCAGATATACTCACTTACAACTACATCAAGAAGTTTGACACTGTGAGTAGCATGGATTGAATAGTTAGATTATTACAGTACAAGTGACAAACTGTATTGAGAATCAGAAAAAAAAATTAGTCTCATACAAGGCTCGTAAACAGACTTATGCTAATATGTTTTTGACTTAAATGGTTTTCAAGTGCCAGTACAGGAAAAGAAGCAAAAGGAGAATGGAGAAAAAATTTATTTCATAAGTTCACACGAGGATTGATTTAATTAATGATATTTTTGCTCAAAGATATTTCACCATAATACTGATATTCTATACTGAAATTTTGGAACTATTTTAATGACACAGAAAATGTTTAGTAAAAAATCTCACTTTTTTCCAAGGTTGAAAGCGATTCTGAGCTTCAAGTTCTGTTTGCTGAGACCTATCCCAGGTTGACATATACATCTCTCAGTGGAGATGAAGAAGAATTGATTCCCAATGGAAGGAACACCTTTGTCACGTAAGTTGTCAGTATTAGGAAAACCTCTTTGGTCAATATCCTATTGGTACATTTTTTTTAGATTAAATTATCTTTAAAAGTTTTCATTTTCACTTTTTTCCTTGTAGCTGGGATAACAGACATCAGTATGTGGATGCTATCAGACAGTACAGGATGAAAGAGCTGTCCTGTGAGTCCAAAGTGACAGCCTTCACAGCAGGGTTGGCATCCATTGTCCCAGTCCAGCTGCTGTCCATCATGACACCACATGATATGGAAGTCAGAACTTGTGGGCTGCCTTTTGTGGACTTGGACTTTTTAAAGGTACCATTATGCTTCTCTTGACAATTGGATAAATGACAAGAAAACAATTTACAGAATTTGTCTCAAAAAAGTGTTTTGTTAATTGAATTTAAAAATGAAACTATTATTAGGAAAATAAGATTTTGAAATATATATATATATATCCTGATTTATCTCAACCTTTTGACTTTCAGGCACACACAATGTATCAGGTTGGTTTAATGGAGTCAGACCCACACATAGAATATTTCTGGGCAGCCCTGGAAAGTTTCAGCCAAGATGAACTGGGCAAGTTTGTAAGGTTTTCCTGCAATCAGGAACGTATTCCAATGACCTGTCCCTGCAGGGAAGGCACCAATGACTCTGTGCATGTGCCACCATACCCCATGAAAATAGCTCCACCAGATGGACCAGGTAAGCGTCACAAAGAAAGGATCAATACACTCAGTGTTAAGTTTGAAAATTAATTAAAAGCTTATTTTATGCCCCAACTTCTTTTAAAAAATGAAAGTGAACACATTACCACAAGGCTATTTGGTTTGTACATTATTGATTCTTTTTCGACTGTAAATTTGCATTTTCACCATGTTACATAAGGTATCTCCTTTTACTTGTGCATCAGGGTAAAAACCAGTTTGTTTATGTGTACTTTGTACAACATGATACAAGTGTTTCCCTTGTAATTTAGGTACACCAGATTCCAGACACATCAGGGTAGAGACCTGTATGTTCATGATAAAGCTGCCTCAGTATTCCTCTTACCAGATCACAAGACAGAGACTGCTCTATGCCATCAACTGTAGAGAAGACCCACTTAGTGGATAAGAGACCTCGACCTGGAGAGTTTACTAGTACCATAAAATGTATGAAATACATTGAAATGCACAGGGTGACATGCTTTAATGTAATCAATTCTGTTATCAGATGTATGTAAGAAAAGTGTTGTAGTATTGTAAACACAATGCTCAGTGTATGGAAGTTAATTCTCTTGTAAGGTTTATTGTTACCGTTATTAAATTTTCAAAATTATCCTTGTGATAATAGAAATTAGGCTATGCTCTCATTGTAATATGTGTGTTATTTTCTAAGTTAATCACACAAGACAAGTTGATGTAGAAATGATGCCAGAATCATGCTTATTTTTTCATATGAGACAAATATTTGTAATTGATTTAAAGAAGAAATTGCTAGGGTGATGGGATGCTCTCTTATTAACATGTATTTTCCTTTTTTCCTGCTGTTGTCTTTCTATTAGCACATCCCAGTTAGAAATGTGGCATCAATCTACAAGTTAGTATTGAGATGTGAATCTAATGCGCTGTCATAGGATACTCCAAGAATATTAAAATGCCAGATTTTAATTTATCTTTATGTACAAAAAGGAAAGGGATAAAACTCCAAAATAATTTAAGTTCCCAGGTTATTAATCAGAGCTTTTGAGCAATGTTGGACTCAAATATAACGCTTTATTACATTGTACGTCATAAAGTACTAGTAGGTGTATACATGTATGTACATGTATCTCTGCTCAAGTAGAAGAGTAGGATTTCACTTAAGTTATTTAAATTGTATGTAGTGTTAGCTAATTGCACTTGGAAATGTGGAGCTTCAAACAGCTACTGGTAGTTTTCAATGAACATTTGGTAAATGATCGTAAAGGACAAGGTTGACATGGCGTTTTGCAGCTGTATGGGCTAGTATTTTACCAAGTTGTATATTTTCAGCAAGATAATTTTAGGTATATAGTTATTTGAAAGATAGCTAATTGAGCATACCAGATGCGTATCTAAGACTTTGACCCATAAAGAGCTTAACAATGGTGTAATATTTGATTTTGTTCTGATATCTCTAGCACGTCACTTGTTATATAATGTAGTTGACAGGTCAATTAGCTGACCATTTATAACAGCTCTAAAAGGCCAGTTTGTAAGTTGTTACTAGATCCAAGTATCTAATGTATAGGTGAAATCTTGAAATATTTGCATGCGTGTAAAGGTGTGATAGTATTTAAGGTAAAGTTGCACTTTGTTGGTTACTTTGCAAATGCATTTTAGGTGAGTTATTGTTCATTGCGGTGTGAATGATATGGTGATATGAGACAATGCACAGTGTATATATAACAGATTATTGATGGTATATTTGTGTATGCTACAAGGATAGTTGACGGGTTGCCTGGATACTTTATTTGCCTCATTGTATTTGGTTGTGAATTCCACCCTAGATGCTACATTCTAAATGTATCAGATGTGGATTTAAAACGATGGAACCACATGTATTTGTAGGAGAATGAAGCATTACAGGAATAAGTGGTGACTTTGTCTTTTTGGTGAATGATAGTTGCACTTTATTTAATCAACAGTTGTTAAAAATATATTGCCCTAATACATAGAATTGAAAAAGGAGGTTGGTGGTAGCTAAAGCTGAACAATGCTGATGAATTTTATTTCACAAAATAAGTTCATGTTAGTAACACCCACCATGAGTGTCCGAAATAACTGGTCTCAACTATCAGTATATCAGCTGTTATTTCCAGCTACTGGATATGGCAGAAGCATACTGATAGCCTTAGTAAGTTAACTTCTAGTGGTCTCTGAAACTACCTCAGAGGCCTCTGAATCTGTTACCTGAAAAAGATGGCATGTTTCAGATTGAGTGTTGAGATCAAAATGATATATTGAAATATCTTGAAGAAATAAAGATTGGAATAAGTGTTGTTTGAAATTTGAGTTACTACAGAAAGACTGATTGCCATCACACATCATTAGGCATATTGCTTGAATCAATCATTTTTTTGTCATTCATGTCTGCCCATTTGACAGCTTTGCTGAACAGATTAATACTGGCATAAAAACATTAAGTATCATTGAGTCAGTGACATTTTCTGTCATTTAAATGGATTTCTCTTAACTCCATGTGCAAAAAGGCACTTCAGCTGTTATATCACACTGCATTATTCCAACAACTGTTGCAGTGTACAGAGTGAATGGTAATAAGGAATGTCTCTGTGGAGAGGTTGATTGTGCAGATACTCCAGTGAACTATATTAAGTCAATTTCCACTGGTGGACCACAGGTTTAAATTGCCAGAGGTCAGGGTGGCCTACGTGAGGGTAAATCTTCTCAAAATCAGTTTTGCTCCACTGGAAAGGTGGAAGAGAGTCAAATGTGGGACCAGATATGGCAACAAACTGCAGAGACTTGAACATCTCTGAATTTGTCAGCTAAAAAAAGGAATAATTATAGTGTTATTACATTTGTTATAATGGTAGACTAGCACATTCAACATGAACTATATGTAGGGCTGCATCTTGGCCCCGTGTGACCCATCAATAGTTTTTAAATCAGCTATTAATTAATTAATTAATCACAAAATTTGTCTTGTATTTCTTTAACTTCTAAAAATAACTCTAGATAAACTTAAACATGCTTGCAGAATTGATGCAAGTATCTAAAATAACATATCACGTACTGTGAATAATTTCAGTCATACAATTCAATCCAAGTTTTTCATCTTCATTTAGCCGATTACCTTCATATCTGTCCCTCCATGGGATCTGTGTCCTAGGGCTTTGATGGGATAGCTGCCATTAGCAGGGTTCAGGTCGCAGCGGGCAGATATGGCGTTCTCTGCACTGTATGGGGGAGTGCAATTACAGCGAGAGAGAGGATCATGCTGATAGTCATTATATCTGCAATACCAACAAAAAAAAGCTTCAACGTGGGATTTCAAGCCTTATATCATGTAACTCTTATTGGAGTACTCAAACGTTTTATTAGGGAATTTCTTGAAATATGAGAATTTTTTTTAGTCTGTTTGTATTGTCAAAACAAAATGACAGTTATATTTTGATGAGAGAAAGCCAATCTAATGTGTCTTTAAACATTATATTTCAAAGTAATATGCTATCATATAACACATTTAAACAGTCTCTATGGAGGAAAATGTTATTATATTACCTCATCAATGCTATCATTGAGTTGATGTCTTTCACTTTTACATGATCCCTCCTAAAAATGTTAGCTCGTGCAGTTTTGTTATAAGAAAACCAGTCTCCATACTTCTCCACCATTTTTATCCAGCCACTAGCTTCAAACACCTCTTGAAAATAACTGGAATATTTTGAACGATTATACATTATTTACATATAATAAATTATTGGGGAATACAAATCGGTATACTATACAACAAATTTCTCCACAAAGGGCTTATCACAGATTGAAAGTTTATCTAAAATTATAATGGTAGTTATTGAAAAAAGAGACAAAATGAACAAGTATTTAATGTCCTGGTTCCAAATAATAGGTTCACTTCTTTAACTGGGATGGATTCTCAACTTACGGTATGTTATAACTTGGCCAGTAGCTCTGTGCAGTTAAAACTCTGGTCATGTCAGCATATTTTACCATATTCCTAGAAAACCATGTTAGTATTAATGTCAGTCTACAGTACAGCAAAACCTTTTATAAGTACATCTACATTTAGATTGTGCAACAAATCTAATCTAGTTAAACATTACATAGTCAAATCATGTTCTCAATACTGACAAATGAATTTGCAAATATCAGACAGCAGAAATTTCAATTTACGGTATTTGTTCCACCACACCAAAGAGGCCAGCAGATGGAGTCTGCCCTGGTTTGAACTTGGTGTAGTCAACTATCATCCACTGGTTGTTATATCTAGAAAGATACAATATCACTAACTAAAATTATCCAGCCATCCTGGTTACAAAATGTTCATCTTTTCTATTGGTGAATGCTTATGTATTGATAAATTAAAATTAGCTTTCTGCATCTTATCTTCATTTAAAATTGTTCCAATAGTAAACATTACACTTCAATCCTTCCCCACCAAAAATGTTTAAAATGATAATATCACACATTTTATTCTAGAAAAAATTCCAATTCAATCTTGAAACAAAACAACAAATGGGGCTGATCATGTATCATAGAGCAGCCACTAGATAAATCAAAGTAAGGTCACCAATAAAGAAACTAGAAATCAAGATGTCTTCAACATACGTTCCACTGTTGTATCTTGAGAATATCTGTGCCCAAGTATCAATGCTGGTGGCCAGACGGTTAGCAACCATGGTCCGTATGCCCTCCAGGACAGAGTAGGTGGGTTTCACATACTTCCAGAGTTTATCATTATTGTTTCCAATCGTTGTCTCCTGGCTCACCTGATGATTGCCAATTCAATAAGATGTTCAATATTAGTATGAAATTCTATTTAAGGATTGTGTAAGGTTTCCTCAATAAGATAACAAAAAAAAAAACTTAAAAAGCACTAGCAAAGAATAATACTAACAAAGAACATAAAATGGTGAAAATGAAAGAATAAAACTTTTTAATGTCAAATGTATAAATAGACCCTCAATAATCTTGTTAAAGCTGATGTCATTTTTCTAATACTAAATTACCTAATTTTACACAGAAATATTGCTTTAGGTCTTTTTTGTGCCAACTGAACTTTAAATTGAACAAAAAATTGTGCACTGTTCCTACCAGTCCTGAGCTTATGAGATAGTAGTCATCCCCAGAGTAAATCACGCCGGGGTACGAGGAAAAGGTCATCACTTTGCCAGGAATCAAGGGACCACTATCTGGACAAAACAAAAAAAAAAAAAAAAATGAGAAGAGAAATTAAAATATGATATAAAGCTATCTGTTTTTTCCCCTCAAAATTCTCTCTTCAGATTGTGGATGAGATTCAGCTAATTGGGTTCATACAGATATATAAAACAGTGGTTCGGAAAGTGATCAATCAATTTTTTTTCAAATAGCTTGACACATTCATTGTTACAGGCTTGCTATATCCTTAAGATTACCTTGTTGTATTTTGTAGCCAAAGTCATATTTCTTTAGTATCCTCAGCATTGACTGAAAGCTGCTCCAAGTGTCATGGGACACATAAAGGTCTTTGTTGCCTGGTAACAGTTTAACAAGTGCTGAACAAGATCCAGATCCAAGAGCTCTCGACTTGTCAGGTTTATGTAAGGCTTCTTCTAGGTCCTCGATATCGCCAGCAATTTGAAACATGCTTAAAAATAAATTTTGCATTGTGTTTTACAACAGAATGACATACAGGGGTATAAAGACCTCAATAAAAATAAAATCCTGTTTTATCTTTAAGATGTAAATATATAAATATAATAACAAACAAAAAAATTGTTGTAAAGATACAAGTTTTTAAAGCTTGTTTACACCATGATATTGATGTACTGCATGGGTAGATTGAGAAAATGGACATCAATTTATAAGTTAAGATAAAGAAATTATCCCTACTTACAGGAACTGGAATGGGTCTAAATTTATACTTGGGTGGGCGGGCTTGTTTTCATAGCCATCTTGCAGTCCACTGACCTGCTTCAGGAATAAATCTACCTACAGAAAAGAAGAAAGATATCACAATGCTGTTTTTTTTTGTTGTAACATGGGTGATAAAATTTTTAAAAAAACAACAGTTAATAAAAAAGTTGAATGCATGTATATATCCACTTGAAATGTATAACAACACTTGATAAAGATAGGGGCCTGCTTTGTGAGGGGTCAATTTAAGAACTTCATACTTGTACTTAATGAAGTATAATTTTTACTTGATGTATGGAAGTGCAAAATGAGTGCAAATACATAGTCGCAAAACATTTTAAAGATGATTTACACCAGAATGTAAATACCCTGATCAATGTTGACCTAATCAACACTGAAATAAAGCTCAGCTACATGTATCATGGTTAAGCAACACAATATACCTGATGCCAGTACACTTTGTCTTCTGGTGAATTATCTGGTTTATTGATTTTGTCATTAACCCAAGCCAAATTCTGCTTCACATAGTCTGCAAGTCTTTTACAATAGTCAGATGGACTCTCGGGATCACAGTAACCCTGGACAGTATTGTTCCAATGCATTGCAATGAGCTGGCGAGTAATGTAGCCTTCTGCCAGGCCAGCAGAATAAGCCTGGGCAAAATCTGGATATGCTGGGTTAGTAGTTACTTCTAAGTATGACCACCTGAAAGAGAGTAAGTACTGCAAGATTAGGCTTGCATACGCTTTTTTCCATAAAAAGATGATTGACACTATTGAACTATACAATGCCTAAATCTTCTTTAAACTTATAGCCATTGCTGGGTAGGCAAATATTACTAGTAAGAGAGAGACACACAATTTTGAAATTGTACAAATTTGTGAGCTTTGGATGGATTTTTTACATTATAAATATCAATTAATTTTTTTAACATATTTAAATTTCAATCAGCTGCAGATACATACCAGGATTTTACATGTACTCTTAGTCTTTATGAGTCAATATGAAGTCGTTGAATTTTTTCCAAAGTACATGTACTGTAGAGTAATGTGAGTTTTGTAATTGTCTGTCATTACTAAACTAATTTATGGTGTGTTTAACCAGTCAAATTTTAAGCATTTTGTACAATTTATCGGAATTTTATACAGGGTACCTTTCTTCCTTAGTCATATGAAGGAATAAGATAGGAGTAATCCCTTGATTTTCTTTTAATATGATTATAAATAATATTGAATATTACTTACCCGGTCGAATTAATCTCATTTGAAAAGTTTGCATATGCAATCCAATCGGCTGGCGGTTTCTCTGTCTCTATGAAATACAGGTCTGTGTGAATATCATATTTTATGTAAATGAACTCCGTACAAAATGAAAGATGCAAAACAAACAGGAGCGATAAGCCTATATTTCCCATCGCCATTTTTACTGTGTACGCTGATCATGTGGATTTGTCACATGATGACAACTTGACCCAGTTTATGTTGGAGCCGCAACCATGCTACCCATTCATGTGGGCCGTTTCATATTCAAAACGATGATGTTATAGATGTCACTTGACTCTAGATATTTATATATTTGACACAGGTATAAGATATACCGAGATTCATTATTATTTTGCTCATATTTGGCAATAAACTTTTGAATTCAATTCATTGGTGAGGCAAGACTGGAAAGAAACATGGCAGCCAAAATTGCAGCATTGGTGGTTTTGTTAGCTGTGACATTGGTGTACATATTAAAACCAGAGCTCATTTTCATGGATGAAGTTATATTCTTAGATTTGCTCAGGTAATATCTAGTTTAAACTCTCTTTGACTTTTCCCTTTTTTTATACATGATGTTGCCATAATAGTATTCATAATAATCATACTTCAGCACTAAAATTTATATTAAAAAAATATTATTTTAAGTTTTAAAAAATAGCATGATTTGATTCCACGCCCCACAAAATCGACATTCACTTATATTAGTAAAATCATTTATTCAAAATTACAGATACATGTAGGAAGTTCAATCTTGCTTGTTGAATTACCCTGAAAGAATTAGACTAAATAAAATAAAAATAAACAAACAACTAAGAGGACATGGTTTTTTTATTTCTGTCAGGCAGCAAGAATAATGTTCATGAATTTTATTTTCAGCACTCATCCTGTTATTGGTGGTGTGGCACTCTTGGCAATTATCTGCTTGGCTTTGGTACTATTTTTTTGGAAGTAGAAAATGGCCAGCTTGGTTGACTTATCCAATGGAAAGGTACTAATTGGTATTGATTGCTGTAAATTGAGAATACTGGGGAGATGGGTAGGGATGGGGACACCCACTCCCCTTAGCAAAATCCTGAACATGTCCAATTTTTCATGCAAGCTCTGTAAACTACAGTGGATGTATTTGTGTATCATTATTTTATTTATAGATTTGATGGAGTGCTATCTGAAAACAAATAACAGTATAGTGAAAAGAAATTGAAAATCATATACATTTAGATTTTTAAATCTTAAAAGGCATTTACAGACTAATGTGTCACTGCTTGGAAAGTAATTGGTTTTCAGAATTAAATTGCTGATTATGTAATTTCAGGGCATGCTGACTTGTACACCGACTTGAGGTATGAGTAACCTGAATCAAAGATGACCACATCAGCCAGTAAAATCACTTAAAACATTCACTGCATGTTGGGAAAATATTATCTTGTAAGATATTGTCACTTCTCAGAGGGACCTTACTGTGCCTGAACTGAATTAAGTTTTACACATGGATTCATAATGTGTGCATTTGGTATTTGGTTATGCTGCAGGATGCATTATCTTTTAAGGTTGTACACTTACCAAAGCTTAGTTTCCTTTCAGTAATTGAAGATTTTTTTAAGGGTTTGCCCTCATGCAATCCAGGCATTTACTGCATTTGTCTTTCATTCTTTTGTTGTTTAATATTTTCATCACCTGAATTATGATTTTATTTATTTTTTTTTTACCTAGAACTATATTTCAGTTTGATGTATGTAAATCCAAACTGCCTGCCAGCACATCATTCTTAATATATCTGAATATAGATTTTTCATTAGAAAAAAACTTTTAAACAGAATTTATTGATTTATTTGGATTTATTGATGTGTTAGTTAAGGAAGAAAATATCTGCGTAAAGAATTAAAAATACCCAATGAATTATGGAATTTTATGTCAGTATTTAGCAATTTATTAGAAAAAACTTATTAGACTGATAAAAATTACATTTCCTTAGAAGTTAAAAATACCTTTAAATATTCTAAATACATTGTTCATATGAAGGAACAGTAGCATGTTTAATAACATTATGAAATACAAAAAGAAAAAAAAACTTCATGAAACATAGATACACTGGGTATATTGCTACCATAGCACACTAAGGATGCCAGATCAGCTAATATATTTTTTTAAAATATTGAAAGAAGACGCAGATGTTGATAGAAAATACAACATGCCTGGGTACCCTACATGGCAAGAAAACGCACTCCAGGTGTAAATGTTGAGCTACAACAGAGAATGGTGGGATAAACTATTAATAAAACGATAAATTAAAAGTAAATGGCATTGGTACAATTTTGGCGCAATGCAAGACAGTAGGGTGCACGTGTTAGTATAGCACATTAAGATCAAAAACAAATATATCAGGGACTTAATTTGAAACATATTACTGATAATAAGAATGTTTCGTTGCATTAGAAAATATACACTTGCCCTAACAAGTTTGTTGCCTCAGCAGGTTTGCCATTTATGTGTTGATTTTATTAACTTTGATACATTATGTCACGAGGAAGAGATTCAAAACATTCAGCAGCGATGTGCCCCCGCCATTCCTCCCTTCAGTTTCAGACACCGTAAATTATTGACTATAGTGCGGTGCATTTACTGTTCTTTAGGAAGAGCATTCCTCGTGGCCTGCCCTCTGGAACCGCTTGTAGCGATGCCTACGTTATCTGCTAAACCGTCTTCCCCAGGTATTCGCTATCAGATAAAAGAGCCCGCTGCAAACATTCAGGACGGTGTGGCCTGGTCAGTCTTACAGCTGTTGATGCGGCACCTTGGACACAGGATCTGAGACGGACGCCGCGGGTCTAATTCCTCGCGTTTCCGCAAGAAATTCGCACACCTGAAGCGAGGATGGAAATGATTTGAGAGCGAATAATCCTAACCGACGTGCATGTCGAAAATTAGTTTTCGCCTGTGACCTTTCGGTAAAGTAGTGTATTGCAACAACGCGTATGGCGAAACCAAAGAATCTTACCAACTTCATATTTTACATGCCTTCTGCATTGTCAAAATCGTTTCCTTTTAGATGCTGATATTTTTAGCGACCGTGTATGACTATGCAATCACTTAAACATGGAAATATGTAAACACGGGCCAACAGACAGCAAGTTTTGCGATTAACTTATGTAGATAAGCGTAGTTATTTGCGTTTCAGTCTGTACGTAATTGATACAAAGAGCCCCAATACAAAAGAGATTATTTAAAACATTTACTTTAAAGAGGCAATATTGCGCGTTGCACATTCCCGTGAAAGCTTTGTGCCAAAATCAGAATCAAATTCTATCAAATGTAACCTTGTAATACATGATACCATATGTAACTTACTTTGCATGAAAAAGGTGGTTGCATAACAGTGTATCCAGCGGTTCCGGCACGATGCCCATCATCTTTTCACACACTTCGCACCTCACCTCTAGCTCGTCTATCATCGGTGTATAGCATAACTTTTCCTGGTAGGCGGCGTCAAAGTCTCCCTGCTGTTCGTATATTCCTTCCAATACTCGATGGATGTGGTAAACCTGATACTGCATTGAAAACAGAAATCATTTTGTACCAGCTAGTACCACTGATGTGACGTTGAAAAGTCCTTTACTCTAAAACACACACACACACACACACACACACACAAACGATTGCCCCTTTCCCTATTATTCATAATTCATACACTGTTTGTGTTGTAAATGTCTGTTCGTAAAATAATGATCGAACCATAAATGTTGAAGTGTATACAATGTATTTTGGTCGCGAGTCTCACCTTGCACCTTAAAGCTTGAGCCATCTCTAATGCTTTTCCGTACAACTCTAGAGACTGAAAATAAACAATACCAATTATACATTAGAATGCTATTGACGACTCAAGAGAGAAACAGAAAGAGAGTCAAATATATTGCATTATGAACGTGTCAAAATGCTAATCAATTCAATGATCTACACATGCCATACAATGTCCAACGAACGTTAAACAGTGACGGGTTCAAGATATATAATCTAATATTAACTGTACACTTAAGCGACTGTGGCCTCTCTAGAATGCCCCCCCCCTTCCTCCCCCCTGTACAAGGATGGTTGGGGGATGTAAATGGAAAGGGATCGTGTAGGGCATGTTTTATGATCCACTATGCGATCAGTTTTCACTGGTACCTTTTTGACATTATTGCCAAGCATCATGGCGTCTGCCCTGCCGATGAGGACCTCCATCTGCCCATAGCGGTCCCCGGTCTCTACCATTATGTTCAGGGCAGCTTCGTAACGGGGATACGCTTTCTGCAAACATAATACAAAAAAACTATATACAGTTACTGTAGTTATGTGGTTGCTCAAACTGTTTGTATTGCGTGTGCTCTCTGTGTTATGGTTAATTTGCCGTTAGTACAGTTTGTTTCATATGCACCTTTTTATCAAGTTGGCAAGTTGGCGTTTAACCTTTAACAAGGCAGAATCTGGAAAAGGTTAGCTACAAAAGGCTAAGTGGTATAAACTGTACACAAGGCTGGATGTTACAAATGATCTTGACCGAACATGTTTTCTTCCTGGTTACAGACGTGGTTATTTGGGTACACGTTAGGGATAACCAATGTCCTGGGAATATATACACTTCAAGCTTCAAGGCATGGTTGTATTAGGCCTTTAAGGGCGTCTTTAAGTATTAAAGAATGTGTTCCTTGTACGTTTTCAGAGACCCACATTGGAAGTGTTGTTTTGATACGGGCACGAGGTAGCACCTATACCATAGGGTTTTTATGTGGGCAATGCCGCACACTTCCGATATTGATCGTGCAAGTTGGTACCCTCCTGCCGTGAAATGTATTCATGGCACAGGCTCGCAGCTTCTTTCAGTTCTGAAATGGCTTGTTGAAAGTGGCAAATTGCTTTCGTGTTCACTACATGGGCTCCCATTTCTCACGTCTCCTCGGCTGGTAACCATGTTATATTAGGATATTAGGATATATAGCTTTGATGAAGAGCTTGAGCTTACGAATTTTATTGAAACACACACTTTGCTTTTTAAGGAAAGGGTGTCTTCTTTTTTTATTAATATTGTAATTCTTTATTATAAGGCCCCATTTATGCCCAAAATAAAATATTATGGAATCTTCTTATATATATTATTGTTTTTTTTTTGTCTAAATTTAAGATCGATTTGTTACTTTTGTTTTTCAGTTCACCGCAGATCTTCTCAGGGCGACGGTAACAAATTTGGGGGGTGTGTATGGGGTGATGACAAGATATTTTCACAGCATGTGTGTTTTTTAGTTATTGGTATTTTGATATCCTTTTATTCACTTGCTTCAGTATTCATATTGGCAAACACGTGCACATATTAAGATATTTTGAAAGGTATTTCCAGTTTTATGATAATTATTTTGTATTAATCTGTCACTGCACCCAGCCTGCATTAATTTACTCTTAACCTACCTCAAAGTCATGTAATTTCTTGTGAATTTCTGCAAAGCTGTGCAAACATTTTGCTTGAACGGGTCTATCGTTCTTCTCCATAGCTGACTTCAAGGCATCCTGGAAATATGGATAAAATGAGTGAAGTTAAGATAACAGAGATTGTTATCGATATAGCAACTAGGAAAATGTTGGCTCCTATCAAGTTGATTCGAGAAGTCAAGTACATTATCACTTGGGCAGATAATAGGAGATACAACGATACATAGTAATGGAAATGCAAAGTTTGAATGTAGGTTTTAGTACAAATCGTGTTGATGTTAATAAATTGACCTTTTTACAGAGCTAAAACGGCGGATAACAAAATAGTCTGCGCACAAGGAGAGATACTTCCATAATTGCGTCGAGGGAACCCACTGATCAATTTGATCATGCTTTAAATGCTATCGCCTTAGACTATCAACGAAAAGGTTGTATGGGCACCACCAATGTTGATATTTTGAGAAAAATAACTGCGATGTTCAGCAGGCGATGACATTGACAAAATACATGCTTATTCCGTGATTTCCAGCCAGATCCATTTAGAGATCTTTGTTGACTCTATCTTTGGAATATATATTTTAAGTCGCTACCAAAACGTCACCAATACCGATTTAAAATAAACTTTAATATGTCTTTTTGCGTCCTGGCAAATTTCCTATCAGGAAATTTGGTTTTCAATAAGAGCAAATTAACACTGATAGAGAGTTATTTGTTCATGAACGTTCGAAAACATTAACATTGAAAGAGGGTTTGTTGTTCATGAACGCACGACAAGGTAGAACCTAACGTAGGAGGGAAGTGGAATACTCATTCCCACGGCATTGTTACACAAAAAATTACTTTATATCCCTAAGGCTATTTGTCTTTCATTACAGCTATCAATCCATCAAATGTCATCATAACTGCCTATTATTTCCGCAGCCAATAATAAAACGACCTCAACTTTCTATTTCAAATGGGAAAATCGATGTTTAACTTTGTCCGTGTAAGTTTAGAAACAGTTTTACGTTTCCTGGCAAGTGTTTGTGAGTTGGCAGTCGATCCCATAATAAGTTTGACAAATCGTCTACCATCAGACGCAAGTTTAGCACCAAGGCACGTCCTGCGTTCCTCGCTTTGTCTGTGTATCTAGATTTAATTAAAAACTTAGGATGAATTTTCATTAACTTGTAATCTCCAATAGGGCTTTTTTTAACAGGCATGTTTTCATGAAGTGTTCCATTCCTAACAAGGTTTAGCATTCTCTGAGGATTCACCAAGTAAAGGCGTCACACAAACAACTCATTTAAAAGTAGATTAAACAAAGTTTTCCCCTGACGTCAAAATAACCAAACTAAGGCATCCATCAGGACTTGAAAAAAAGAACACTTCAATCTTTTTTCTCCCAGGGAGATGCGTTTGCTGAATGTCGGAAATTAATTATTTTATTCCCTTTGCATTTCCCTTTGTTTTCGATCGATCCACGTTCTGATAGTGCCTATAAAGAAATGATCGGCTTGCAAAACCCACGTTGGGCCGACGTTACCAATGCCTTAGCGACTAACGGAAAACTGCCAACAAACTACCAGGGGGGATAAGAAAACCACCATATGATTTCCATTGGCTTTATTAGATTCAGAGTCTCTGTTGGAAGGCAAATTGATTTTAATGATAATTTTTTCCGAATTATTCTTCGATTTACAAGTTTTTTTGGCGTAAATTAATAGACGGAATGTTTTTGCTTCTGGCTGTTCTTCGGCAATATATTTGTCCGTCATTTTTGCTCCCTCCCTCTTCCATACACAATAGATTTCATATCAAGTTGGGTACATTTGAAATTTCGGATATTCACAAACACGATTATTGGTTCAACTAAGATGATGGCTGAATACTCCTGAGCTACCTTGTCAAGTTAGTCATGTAGTATCGCTAACGATAAAAAACACCGTCTGATGTCCGACTGTCCATCTGACTAGTCGTCGTCCCGGGTTTTACCTCTACAATAGGCAAATATGCCTGAATTGGAATATTATCAGTTCTAAAAGCGAATTTTTTCAAAAGAACTCTTATGGTACCATTAAAACGTAGAGCTTACACAACAACTGGCACAAAAATGAACATTTAGTCAAAACACAACAATTGAACGGAAATGGGTGGTGTTGGGGCACCTCTCACAACCTGTGGTCAACATTGCGTTGTCTTGTAAACCACTTATACCACTTAAAAGTTAGGTTAAACAAACTATTGGAGGGAGCTGAATTTGAAAAACACGAAGCAGCACTGCTGACCCTAGTTATCTTTAATTTAGATCGCACAAAGGTCTGGTTGCCGTATCCTTGTCGAAAACATTCAATTACTTTTTTGATTTCCACCTCCTTCACGTTCCAATGGCAGAAGGCAACCAACAGAGGAGCCGTTTCTCCAGGCGATTAAAACCTGCGTGTTACTGGCGGTGTAAGGCAAATATTTTCCAATGATCACATATGTACAGAGTACTGATACTCAAGTTCACGTTACCAGCATAAACAAAACTTTGGCTCTGGTGCTAAAAGGAAAATGAATTTGTTGCCAAGTGTATTCTATCTTTAGTGGTAATGAGATCGAATTGGTTGTCAGTCGAGGGTCGTAACAGTTCAAACAGAAAGGTGACTTGGTTATCGCTAACAAGCGTGTATCCTGGAAATATGATAATTCGATTTACGTGGCTGTAGAGGTGTTGATGAATGTACAAAAGGCGCATGATGACAAAAAGCCATTTCTCAAGCTGTGATCTTTATGTTTGACACGGGAACTATAATAGGAAAAGTTCAACCTAAAAAGATGGTTGCGATATTTTGGTGAAGATGGGAGATTTTGGCGATTTTAGATATATCAAAAGTAACGAAGTACACAGACATGTTCTCATCCACATACCTTCATACATGTAATCAAGCTGAAGACCATCGATACCCTTGTTCAGAGACTTGGGATGCTATGAGAATTTTCGCTTATAAGGAAATCAAAAACATGTTCATCGTCTAAAAGAAGGTTATTGATCATATACCAGTGCAGACACAAAAAACGTCTTATGCAGACACTAGTACTAGTGATATATATATGCTGTATTAGCGGCTGATGTGGCCGATTTATTTCTTTTTCAATAGTTCCTCGGCGCAATTTTTGCGGTGGAACGTTGCCTCAAATAAAGCCATTGGTTTGGGGTTGTGCATTTTTATCGTCCATTGGCTTAACTTGCAGTATATGCTTGCTTTACGGCTCATCAGAAACGATTGAAAGAAGAAATTGAAAGAAAGAAAAAATAAAAGGCCCTCTGGAATTTATTCACAAAACATATACTGGTGAAGATTACAGCTGGCAACAGCAGTTTGTCCCCCCCCCCCCCCTTTCTCCCACCTATGGTATCCTTTAGACGAAGTTTTATCGGCATTTTTCATAATTCACACCTGGAACCAATGTAACGTTTTATCACACAGCGGCGGCATTTCAGAAAAAGATATATGCGCATATCTGACATGCTTTTATACTATCTCCTCAAGATGTTGCTTAAAGCCAATTTTCTGAAAGAGAGAGAAACGCAGTTTGCGTCCTTTTGTTAATAAAGAGATATGGTAGCTCGAAACCATGGGTTTGTCTAGATATTTAAAAATCTAATACTTAAGTTGTCATAACCTATTTCAATATCAACGCCCAACAGAGATCAACGTCAAACTCCATAAGCACATGGAAATAAAAAAGAGAAAACCAACGAAATTATTAAGCCCATAGGCAATTCCTCTGCAACTTAAGATAATAATGATACATATGATTGGCAATATTTTCTCTTGATTTTTGTTAGCCAGATTGACAAATATATATCAAATGTCTTTACGTTTACGTAATTTTGTTCTGACGTGTTTTTTATAAATCGAATCAGCATGCGTCTAACATAATGAAAGGAAATTCGGAATTCGCAATACTCGGCTATTTATTTCTTCTATGAATCAATCCATTCTATGTTTAGGAGGTTTTGACTCAAGACTCAAATATGACGCAAGGGAAATTAACTTCATCCTTTTGCCAAAAGGTGTCGATCTTGAAAGAAGCGTGTGCGGTTCACAGAATAGAACGTCGTAAACATCGATGGAAATCGAAAACAATGCAATGGTTTGATTGGCATCCATTCGGTTTGATTAAACAGTTGGATATTAGTCTTCCATCATTTAATGCAAAGGACACTTTAAGTAAGTGACCCCAGACTCTCAGGGGATTCAAACGTCAATTTGACGCCACTAATACTCGCTCTTATGTTACTGTATTCGCTAGAAGTGGCACAATGTCAAAGTGAAAGCATCCATTTCAACCAATCAAAGACGCCAAAGAGACAGTGTTTCACAATTAATGCAGATCTGTGGAGATGATTCGCTCTCTAATAAGATAACAATGATAACGGTGCTTTAGTCTGGTCCTAGGACTTTTATCTAGTCTGGTCGTTGACGTCTTAGAGTTGATATCGGCATCCAATTTACTACATTTCCAAAACTTCGCTAATCGACTTGTTTTTCCTGCCAAATTTGGGCATTTTCTTTCTACCGTAGATTGCACAGACAGCAATGTTTTTTTCATTAATTGCCAGCTGTACTAAGACTACGGAATATAACAAATAAATCCCTATGCTATAGGACACATTATATTCATTTTACATCTGTAAATCTGTCACTTATCTAATAACTTTAATGTTTTAAGGGCACCAAGAAATCTCTCTCTCTCTCTCTCTCTCTCTCTCTGTGTGTGTGTGTGTGTGTGTGCGTGTGTGTGTGACCAAGCGTGGCAACCATAGCCGCAGTCTGTTCCGCTTCCCGCTTTCAGGTACACCCAACAGGTGCATCATGGGGATCAATCATCTCTAGCCCCAGGTGTCAAAGTGATAACGTTCTTTGCGCATCATGCTTCAAGACTTAAGTCTATGTACTCTCTATTTTTGTCTTTCCTTTTTTTTTTTTTTTCCCCTTTCTTTATTTAAATCCTTATACCGTTTATTGTATTATGAGCTACTTTCGGCAAGCATTTTGCAATCAAGATGAAAATATACAGTTTGTCGTCAGTCATGTAATTCAGCAGATCGGTACATTGATCTTAGATAATTACAGATTCCCGAAGTAAAGTTAACTTGTTCACGCTAGGAGTAATAAGAAGACACACACGCACATTTGATAAAACTGTGGCATCTGGACAAATAGCCTCGTAAAAATAGCGACCATTTTCCCTTTTGCTGACTAATAATATTCACAAAGCAACTGGATTAAAGTTGTATTGGGGTACTTTGATCAGGTTAAAGCTTGATTGCGAGAGCATGGAAGGCCAGAAAGTAGATCAAAGTTTCCCTGTATATTTTGATTCGTGATCAAATAAACTTGGATAATTTTGAACCTGCGCATTTTCACTAATCGCCCGCTGCTAAAGCAATACATAAAGATAAACAGCCAACACGAAGATTATTAAAAACGAAACGCGTGTGTCTTGGCATACCAGAGAAATGGGTATCACTTTGAAGTAGATATAGTTGATATCACCTGAAATAAATGCGAAACATGGCTCGCGGAGAAAACATCTAAATTTAGTTAACGAAGTCAAGGTGCATATTATAACTGAGGGGCGGGAGGCGAGATTTATTTGATCAAGTACAGTACTCATTTCTGTATCTGACAATCAAACGTTTTGATTTGGAAACCAGTAAGTACAATGTAGGTTCTACAAGTAAATATAACACATACTTATTACACAATGTTGTGTACAGGTGCATGTATTTTTTATTTCCTGTTCTTTATTCACACATTTTGAAAGTCTAGTAAACAACACAAAGTATAAAAATATATACCCTTAGTACATATACATTATGCTTTCCCTGATCATTTTTCCGGAACCCAACTCTGGGAATGTTATGGTATATATCTCATGTGTATAAACTGTCTTCGCTGTTGGTTTATTCGAGAGGGGCGATTATATCTAAAACACATATGGTTTTGTGAATCTTACTCGTACATATACATATATCTCAGTGAACAAGAGCCATAAAGCTTCTATAGAGAGCTGAAAATCATCAATATTTTGTATTGCCTAGTAAGACACCAAGAGTACTGCCCACCTAATATCATAATACTTTGAGCTGCTATTACGTAAAAAACATCAATCATGCGCTTATTTAATATTTAACACCTGGTGGATTGGATTACTCCGTTACGAATTTCATTCTGCAATGGTACCGAAAAGCACGCTCCTCAAATGTGTGTATCATTAAGTTTGAATATCTTATTTGTAAGAATTAGGAGGGAATACGGGACATACGTATTTGAATAATGTGAGAAATGGGTCGGGCATTCTGCCAGCAACCGAAATTTGACAAGAGGAATTTGTTCTATTGGGTCGCGTTATGTGCATATATAACGGACATATACCAACAAATATGTCACTATTTCATCCTGCCGCGTTTCAGGCTTCCCATTACGTCCAAAAGATATAGCAAGCTACTGTTATCTCTCTCTTCCGCGTGGCTACTGGACGGAACGCAACAGGTGCGGGGCACCTAATAAACAACGCACATGCCTACTTGAAATAAACTTACCTAGCAAATATCAGCATGGAAAAAAGAGCAGGTTTATTTATTTGATGTAATCTACCCGCAATTTGAGCATCAATGTCACTACTGGACGTATACATTCAGTTACTAATATAAGTCTATTAACCCAAAACCCCTGTATAAATTACAGTAGGATATTTTGATTGAGTGGTATAAGATGATATATGAAAATCAACGAAATGTCAAAGAAAACAATCATAATCGTAGGTTGCCTATAGAAGGAGGATGGGCATTGTAAAGTAAATTCCCGCTCAGTTATAACCAAACAAAAAGTGATAGTCTCCAGAGGAACGAAGAAAGTGAATAAATTGTTCTTAAGACGCCTTCGTAGCACTTATGAGAAAGAAAAAAATCGATAATAGGAAAAGTATTGTGTAGTACTTTAAGTCAGTATTAAATAGTGCTCTAAATTTAAGGTTCTGATAAAAACATGTTTCGGGGTGAACATGTGCATGAGAAGACAAATGTTTTGACTTGAAGTGGACAGGAGCTAGGGAACGTGCACTTCCACTTATCTCAAGGCCTATTCGCGTTACTATTGAACAGAAAACAATGACTATCATTATCTTTCCATTACAATACGTGCATATTCACCACGGGTCGATAAAAACTAATCTTTATCCTAATTACGAGCAAAGCATCCGAGTTCTCAGTGGTTGAAAGCTGCGATTATTGTGAAGATAAAAAGAACATGCGTGATATCTGAATATCTAATAACGTTGATATTAGTATTACGGTCGAGCGATGAAAGGTGTTTCGAGCGAGAGTAATCAACTCGTTTATGACGTCGACGTCGGAAGATGCTAGGTTTTTATTAAGTTAACCTTTAAACCCATTTAAGTGATGGCAGATTTTTGTCTGAAAAGAGAAATTCCGATACCTTACCTCGCATTTTTCCATTGCCTCATTGTAATGGCCCAACTCGCGGTAAGGAATGGACAGATGAACAGAGGTTAAGCGTAGATATTTCTGAACCAAGTCAGGAACCTCGATGCTGACAGAGAGCTCTTTGCATTTGTCCAAAAATTGCACAGCTTTGTTATAATCTTTCAGAGTCGTGAAGAACCTCGCTACGCTGAAATATGTCTCTATTCGTAGCACGATGTCGCCGTGCTCGTTTGCGACTCTGAGGGCATTGTCCAAATTTTCTAGACACTTGCTGAAGTTGCTAAAACCGAAGTAGGCATTGCTCATGGTAAGGTACACATGCCCGTGAGTTCGTGGATCTTTTGCTTGGTTCTGAAGGCTATGCCGAGCATACGACACTGCTTTGTGATATTCGCCAATACGTTCGTTGCCTCTAGCCAAGTTCAGATATGCCTCGGCACGCATGTAAGTGTTTTCACGCTCATTTGCTATGTCTATCTGTTGTATAGCATATACCAACATGTCCCTGTACTTGCCCAAGTCACTGGAAGCGTTAGCAAGATGCCCAAGAGTCTGGAACTTAAGCTGACAGTTCGAGGTCTTTCTTAGAACGTGGTTCCATTTCTTGACCGCCTCCTCGTGATCCTGTGCGTTGTACAGCTTCACCGCCTCGTTGATTTCCTGCTTCACAATTCTTTGGCCCATTCTTTTGCGTGTTTTTTAAGAAACCGTTAAGCCTTTCTGTGCTTTCTCCTGTCGTTTACGTCTCAGGTGGATATTTCTTCAGTTAAAACTGCTCACGGAGTGACTTGTAAGAATGCTGGTTACCAGAAGTAGGTACAGTGCACCTTCAGCAGTTCCCCCTTGCCTTCAGTGCTGCCCTCGTCTTTCACGTCGTCTGCAAAGCCATTGTTTCTCCAATCACAGTCCTGGTCGAAATCTCAGTCAATACGGCGCTTCCTGCAGCTTTTATTGGAGTTACGTCTGTGGTGATGAATATAGTGCTAAGCAAATTAGAAATATCCCTTATCAGTCATAATTAGGTCATTTCTGGATGAAAAATCAATGATAACATTGGTAACATCTTACTCTCTCTTGCACCTGCCGCATATCTGTCCTAGGCACCATGCAAGGCATCTCCCAGAAAAGAACACTGTGGCTAAGAAAACGTTTACCAAAGTTTCTATAAAAAGCGCAGCAGGTTATTTGCTCCTCTGAGCTATGGGCCCCGAGGCTGCGCCGTGAACGAAGACACTGACTGTGACGTCATGTTGACAAGAAGGAACTCATCATTTCAGACAAACCTTCACTAAATCCAATAATCTACCACGCATTGCGCTGTATGTACGTAAATGCTTGGAGCCTTAGGTGGAGTTCATATTCTGAGAATTCCCTGCAGTAATTGCACAGACATTCTCCTGGCAAGTCTACCTTCGGATGTGTTCTTCCAGCGATAGCGCTACGTGTTATTTAAATGTCACAGGAGTCCGGTGGAGGGCGCTATGATGAGCATGTTATAACAAGTGAAAGTTAGGCGAAATATTATTCATAAAAACCAAGCTAAAGACAGGAGCATTTACAGCACATTCCCGTGCATTTTTTTTTACTTAAATTACCAAATTCCATGGATAATTTTCTATCAATTTCAGACTTTACAGTATGTACGTTTGACTAACACAAACTGCGAAAACTATGGTAGAAGGCCTATTAAAACATGCCATTTCTCTTAACGTAGTTTCCAAAAGTATGTACCATGAAAATAAACTTGATTTTCTGTTGTTGTTAACACTACTTATATTGCCACTGATATATGTGCTAATTATTTAAATGCGAAGAGAGCAACACTTTAAATGAACGGCATCAATGCATAACCCACCATTGGTCAATCATACTCTGTTTTAACACATTTTAAGATATGAAAAGCAAATCATTTTAGAGATATACACATTTTGTTTCAGTTCCTTTCCTTAACTTTCCCTCATACTTTGGCACTAATTTCTTCCTTTGCTCGGCGGATATAGACTTCCTGCAAAAGGGTTTGGACAAAAATTCCTTTAACCGGCCCATATGTTTTACATATTCTATTTCTCTCGCAGTGTTAGGAGCATAAAAAGTCCTTAGGCCTTAAAACATTTTCACCTTATACTATTGAATAGAGTCAAGTCCATACCACAGTACAGAGAATATGCCACAGCCATACTTATTTAATTCTTATTTGTTAGTAAAGACAAGTGCAAATAAGTTAAAGTGCTTTCAAATATTCCAGTTTTCACTTATTTTTTGACACGCTCTAGAGCCAACTTAGGGAGGTCTCAGACCACTCGGGTATTAACATAAATTTTGAATTTGATACTTTCGAGACCACAGAATGAGCTGTGTTGACAAATTGTGTGGTGGCGATACGCTGGTTAAGGCTAAAGATACAATATATGTGCATGTATTGCCATCAAACCCACAAAGGGATTCAGACACATGACCAAGTTCCACATTGTCCCGCGGTTCTAAATCTCCATTATCCATCCAAAATACAGTTCGATATTGGATAAAGATGTGAAAATAATGCAAGTATTCCTACAGGATTGGAAGTGAAATAATGAGTAATTGATAACATGTTCTTAGCCACAGACCATGAGAATATATAAGTATATAAATATATACATACGCGGATACTAAAATCAATCAGTGGACGTAGCACTGTTATGGAAATGATAAAGTGACATGTCATGATAATTCACAATATGAATTTTACGTGTTGTTATAGGAACTACCAGTATCGTCACATAGTTTTCGTCACATAGCCAGCAACGATAGTTTGTAAACCTTGGGTCAAAATCCTTTTGAATTGTTTTACGTGGAAAATGATGCAGTATGCAATTTTACAAGATACAGCTGGCCGTTGCTGATATTTGGTAGCGCTTCCCACCGATCTTCCTTCATCAGTAGGCCTAATACTGAATAAAATGCTGTAGTTGTGAAGTAAGATTGGAGTGCTTTTGTAGTGACATAGTCATTGCGCTCGTTGGGGATTTATCACTACTTTACGACCTAGGCCAAAGTGCTTTAGTTGTGGCTTGCATTGCGCCTGGTCATCATTTGGAGTGAAAGCATGATTTTCTAAGATGAAAAAATAATATGAAAGGTAGGTTATTTGGTTATACATGTAGTATGTGGCATATCTAGTCAGACTACACAGCTCAAGTTCCTTTCTAACACAACATATTTGATTAAATGTTTTTCCTCTCACATCTGAATTTTGTTGCAAAAAACAACTTTAAAAAATCACACTAAATGGTGCAAATGATTGAAGTCATTGCCATTTTCTTTAACTTGGAAACGTATATACGACCCAGTCTTCAACTCAACTGTGAAATAATAGTTTTGCTTTCAGTTTGTAATTATCTGGAGCTCCATGGAGGCTATTTCCCGTACTCTTTTACACACACTCGTATATCACCAGAACCATTAGAACGATTGGTGGTTACATTTTACTCGACTTCAGTACAAAGAAAACACGAGGAAACCATACATTCCTATCGCACCGTGTGTTATTAAACGTACCCATGGTGTGTTCTTCCTTTTCACGTCTACCAGAAGGATTGACCTTTGACATTGCCAAGCTTCAACCAGAGCTCCACGCTCTAATTCGATACAGGCGAGTTCTACCCTCCATCAGTCTGCTGGTTACAAACGAGTTATAACACACAGACGGGTCAGCAGCCACAGTGATGGCGCTCACCAACAGAAAGGATCTGTTGGTCGTCTTGGTCCTGTTTAGTGTGTCCAATATAATACTCGGACAGTCACGTAGGACCAAGTTTGACCGGTGTGGACTTACATTCACCGTCCCTGGCATTAACTGTGAGGGTTCTCCCAAACTGTTAAAGGTACTGCAGAGGGCCGTGGATAACCAGAGTGATGTCGACAAGAAGAACACCAAACTGAAAACCAGCGTGGCTGAGCTACAAAAGTTTATAGAAAACTTTAGGGAAACTGTGAACACCGTCAAAGCTGAGGTGGGTGGGCTGAAGAGAGTGGCATTTTACCCAGCTCCCAACCCTTTGATATACGGAGCAGACGACACCACAGCAGAAGACCGGACGCTGGCTCCCCCAGACACCACAGACATCGTTATATCTGAGGAGGCGGGTGAGAAAGGGTTGGAACCGGTGCTAATCAGACGACCTGGGAGGAGACCAGGACCTGATGGTAAAGTGATAATCTTGTTTATGATGAGAATTGTAACTTACAGGATATGACATGGCTTACTGTTTTATAGCAGCCTTACCCAGCAAGGAAATGCAATACGTTCGCTTATACCCAACTAACTCGTACACTTAATTTTGGCTTTATTTTTAAACTTCACACACTCAATATACCAATATACCATAGTGCATGTATTCACAACTTGTGAGACAAAACAGTTATATGTAGTTTAAAAGCTTTGGAAGTAGGCGTAGACTACATGCGCTAAACCAGAATGTATAATATAAACAAAATCTCTCTGTTCTGAAATTTTCTCTTCTGGAAAAAAATACAAAAGTCCTGAAATCAGTTTCTTTTCCTTTATTAGTCACCCATCGTGTTATCCCCGCTATTTCCTCTACTACATTGTTTGTAACATAGACACTGGTGTTGTGATAGTGTCAATTATACTGCTACACTGGCTCTATACCCAGTCCAAACAGCTGGGGATTCTTCATTTAAATGTAAACATTCGCTCTGAGAAGGGTTTTAAAAACATGCCCTATAACTTTAATGGCCCGCCTTTAAATGCCAGCACATGTTTTAACCAGCCGTGGTTCTGTCACGTTCGATATAGTATAAGCAATTATAATGCGTTATACAACTGCTGTTTTTTAACACTATTGCTACACTCGATTACGTGAATGCTTTAATTGGATTAGCCTTTCCAAATTAAAGATTGTTATGGTAGAGTGGCAATTAGTTTTATTTTTCTTCTGTTTCAGTTTAACAAGTATGATTGAAAGAAACTACCCAACACAGATTTCAAGAGATTCGGTCTACCGTACCAAGTGATATCCCAGAGACACCAAGGACTCGTTTACCATATAAAATGTTGCATTTCTAACGTGACTTTTAACAATTGACAAATCCAATACCCAGTTGCGTCGTGTAATCTGAATTAGGCAAATACTTTGATGTAATTGCAACATTGCTCGGAAACTATCTCAAATATGAAAACAATAAAATACATCTGTAGAATAACACTCGGTCCTTGTGCATTACATTAGCCAAATACGAAGACTTCCCAGATTTTTTTAGTTACGAAAATTCGACCGACGCCCGTTAAAATTTGCAGAAGCCGGACTCATTTTCGTAGAGGCCTGCATTCTCCTTATTCTGTCTACCTGGTCATGGTGTCAGTAATTACTTCAAGTGGTGTAGTGGAGCTGCGCCGGCTTCCAGTCAATCCAAACAATTTGAAATAACATTTCTAGACGCTCGTGTGTTTTCCTCAGTGTGACCTCCGTTGCGTCTGGGAGACCAGCGCGTGCCGCTACTGCATGAGATTCACCGCGTTCCCAGCAAAGTCCAGTGTACGCTAAAAGACTTCTGTGCTCCACATGTTGGTAGGCACCCAGTGCATTTCAACTTAAAACCCATTATGTGTATTGTGTTACATACTTGAAAGAAAAAAAAAACACAGGCACTGGCTTAATGTTTCGTAGAGATAGGATCGTGGACGTTTTTAGTGCCCGTTTGCAAAATTTTCGGTCGTATTCGTGTAAGTATACACCAACTGTAGGCCCTGTATTGTTAGATAATGTCAAATGTGGAATATACCTACATACCGTGTATATAATGTTACCAATGCTTAAATTTGTCCGATATTTTAAGGAAATGTTTGTACATCACAGCCACATATTAGGAGAACGTTTTCTCTTATCCAGAAAAACGATGAATAGGAGGTCAAATGACGATGAAGTCCTGTCATTATAATAAAACGACAACTCTCTCTCTCTCTCTCTCTCTCTCTCTCTCTCTCTCTCTCTCACACACACACACACACACACACACACGGTCACAGAAACAATCAGATTACAAAGTTCACATGCAGATCGTTTTTCGAATATCATTTGGGTGTAAATTTTTGTTTTATTTTTCAATTATTTTTTATAACACTTCAGTACAAAGTCTTAAGAAGCTGTATTTCATTCGACGATGTCGTCCATATTTGCGGTTACCTGCACTGTAACCGACTATACGTGAAAGCTCAAATACCGCTTTTTCTAGTTTCTGAGAATTTCAGAGACCGCTCATTAATGGTATAGTCAAAATTTTAAGGGCCTAACGTTAATAAGTATTGTGCGTTAGTACTGACAAAAAAATAAATAAAATTTATATATATGGATAACGGCATCTCCCTTGTGGTAAACACGTGCCACCACATCAATGGCATCTCATCTAAATGACCCATCAATGTATCAATAGAATGATTTCATCTTTTATGTAACTTAAGAAATTTCATGCCCTGATACAAGTAGCACTAATCTAAAACCCCCTTAATCTTGCTGACATTTAATTACACACGATACATTACTGATACTTGGACGTTGGATGTGTTATTATATTAGAGTTGGGAAGTATAACGCGGCCGTGGTGAATAATTTACCACTTGCAAATTAACCCCTTCGATTCAGAATACAGAACTTTATTTTAGGTCTCAATTATCAAAAATTAAATGAATAGACAAAAATGGAGGCCTAAAATAGAATGAATGAATTGATTTAAAAGGAGTTTTAGAATTAAATATATACTCGCGTAAATAAACAGCAGGTCTACTTTCAAAACCAACTGCTTTGAGTTGGATTTCAAAAATCACGATAAAAAGAACATAAATCTCATAATTGAATGATGATGATGATGACTAAAATTATAACACCAGTTGCATATAGAAAAGGTACACTTCACATATGGTGGCTTGACTATCTACAATGTAAATGCCAGAAAAATGCATTTAATGCCTAACATTGGAGTCGTTTGAATCCACGCCCATTTTTAAACGGTAACTCTACCCTCATGCCCATAACCCACCCCAGTGAACCAAAATGTATTATTCCTGACCACGGGCTATTCCTGAAGGTTGCAAGGTCCGTGGCAAATACGGACGAAGAACCCGAAATGACGGTGCAAATTAAAACAAATTATGGTAGCGTGGGCAGGATCCTATCCGTCTTTCTAATTGGATTTAGAGCAATTGATACAGGAAAAATCCCTTTACCACTTAAAGTAAATGACGGAGTATGGGAAACATCTTATTAAATTATTGTATCTATTTTTATCTAGGTTGCACACCATGGTTGATTAAGAAAAATCAATTTGATCATAGATGTAGTACTTTAAAATGATTAAAGGGCATTAGCTCACTGCATTGATTATACGAACATTAGGAGAAACAAAGATATGAGACGAATACCCCGTTCACACTATGCTCAGTTATCCGGATAAATTGCGAATTAGGTCACAATTCGAATAAATGCAGTAGTGTGAACGCAAGAGGATTTTTGTAATGCGCATTTTCAAAATCCTGCAAGCGAGGTGGATTTCTAAGCGCGATCCGGATAACTTACCGGAATCGACACCTGTACAGATCTTACTGCGCATGTGTGCTGATAAGTGCGGATATCTATGAACGCTTGTTTATTACTTTAGCGATTGCACCAAACGTATTTGGAGGTCACCACTCACTACAACATGAGGAAACAAACTTATTTTGCTACCTTATACTTCTCAAGAATGCTGGAATGTCTTCTGAGTTGCATTTGTCGTCACAAATTTTTGTTGGTATTTTAAGATTTCCTGTGCGGCGCATGCGCGAGTGTTCAAAACAGGAAGTTAAACCTGAAATTTTCAACATGGGATTCGGATTCGCTTAGCGAGTGTGAACGCAATACCGCATCGGATTTCTTACGAAAAATCCGAATTATAGAAATGCGCATTTTGGCAACTGTAGTGTGAATGGGGTAGAAGGTACAGTACGTTCTTTTCCTCATTTATCCTCCTCTCTAATTTCAAACTTGGACCCATCAGGTTCAATCAATGTGAGCAGATCCGCTTAACAGCTCCATCATTTAAGCATGGATCCAGCTCAGTTACAATCAAAACAGAACGATCGATCAATCCCCAATTACACACACCATTTCGGTTTTGGTAGAGCGTTCATAGTAAATTTACCTAAGATTTAATTTGGCAGAAAAACGCAGGTTCCGCCCACTGAAAACATTTTTGAAAATCACTTATGCCGATACGTACACCGTTAATTTACTTCCGATATGTTGTATGATGTTTGCATCCCTTGTATTGAGGAAACTCGGGCATTGGATAAATGAAGGCTGATACGATCAGCGATTGCATCGATTTTCTGGCTCAGATTGTGATTTGACGAACTGGAAACCATGCAGTCCGATTGCTTTTTAGCACTCGATGTAAAAGAATTAAAACAATTGATGGATGCAGGATAACGTCTCAGATTTCGAGATACGGAGCCCTGTTTCCAGCAAAGCAGCTGCTTGAAAAACCTCGCTTACTATATAACTGTTTCAGTAAGTGTAAGATATTGTTTTAACAAAACTAGTAATATACTTACCTCGGAGGGTTGCTTTGATCCTGAGACAATCATGAAATGGCTGTTAGCGTTACTTTTCTTTTATTTCTCTTTTTAATGATAAGCACTCGAATAAAATATTTTACAACCTGATTATGTAATGGAATAATCACCTCCTCACAAACATAATAAAAAAGGAAATATAAGTGATGCAGGTAAACATTCGTTTGACCCAGCCAAATTAAAAAGTAGTCTTCAAACATGGCATCGTTGAGTTTCAAAATACGATACAGCTTAGAAAACTTGATCAAGATGTTCATTTTTTATATTTCAACGGCAAAATGGTATTTCACACATAATATTAGACCTTTCAGTAAGAACTTGGTTAGATATTGTCAAGTATTCAGCATTAACTACTGCATTTAAAGAAGGTGAATTTTGTCAATACGAAGCTGTTTTCATTAAAATGGTAATAGCACTTTTCAGACAAAAAGTAGAGCTATCGTTATATTTTATTTATCTAGATCTCAACACACATTGTTTCTATTTTGTACTGTTGGCGGCTATTTTCTTCACATTCCGCTTTACTAAAAACGTGACAAATAACAGAACAGCTTTGTATTGACAAAATTCGTGTTCTTTGTATGCAGTGGTTAATTATTGAAATACGTGAAAATCCTCAATTTCTAGGCGTATGTTCTGTTGGAGGCATCGGGTTGACCAGTGGACTAATTTGGCAGAGACGGGTTCCAAACATGTCTAGATGTTTGGTAGTTCTACATGTATCTTGAAAATTGCAATTAAAACAGACATCCGTTACAGTTGCATTAGGTTCAAGTTTCCAGGATTTTTTTGTCTGCAGGATCGATTGTCAAATTAACTTTACCGGTATCTTCTTCGCGTTGAATGTATTTAATTCCTACTGAAAGCTCTGTAACTGCTTTGCTATAAATCAAATCAATCTCAATGACTGACCCTTTAGTAACAGTAACGTAATCGCAGCGATTTTGCTACCTATATCGCAAAAAAATTATCTGAATATTGCAGGGTAGCTGAACGCAATAACCCTTTGGTAAATATATCCCCAGCGGATGACAGTCCACGTTAAATTTGTTTCTGGCGTAGCATCTGGCGATACCATAAAAACAAATGACTATTAGATTAAAACAAGTGATATATCACAAATAGACTGTAGTCTGTGGTCAATTTTATACGATTTCATCGTGCCATAGACGTCTGTTGGCGGCAGCCTTCTAGATCGGTTGGAAAAGCATTAATCTTCAATTTAAAGAAAAAAATGTATGGCTTTAAATGCATGACCTTGGTTGTGCAGTATTAAAATTATTTTTGAAATCGTGAAAATTTCACGACTTAAAATTGCGAAAGCTTGTTTGAGGTCTTTTGTTCGTTACCCATAGCCTTATTGAATTGATTCCATTTCTTTGTTTTCGTGCATTAATATTGCATATCAGTATTTGGACATTTATATTCTGTATGGAAACATATATGTCCGCACCATGAGGTACACTGGGAGCATTCAGGCGGTTAGGGGACATTTCATTGCAGGCAGATGCAAACTAACTCAACACACAATTTCCATTCACATTATTTTCTTTCGCAAAATGTTCATTGGATTTGAGGTATATATACAATTTGCATTTGCATTTGCAGAATCCCTATGCAGGGCTATTGTGTACATCACTTTTCCTTGTACATTAATAAACGGAAGCTTAATGTACATGGAAAATCGTGTACGCAATCGGATGTAACTAAAACGATAAAAATTGATTAGGTACAAGATGGTGTCAGAAGCACTTTGTAAGGATTAAGATAAATCACATTTGATAATACAATCGAAAAAACAAAGTGTTTTAATACATGTACTTTAGTTCAAAAATTCGCCTCGGCATTGCGCTCATGGCCAATAATACATACATACATACATACATGTTATAATTCCTGAAATAAATTAACTTATTCATTTAAAGTGTTCTTATGTTATTCATCTCGTTATTGTTATAATTATAGGATAAATAAACGAAAGTACATCATCTAAAGTTAATGAAAGCTACCAGCACTCTGTGACTGTTATTAGCAGGCCATCCATTGTGTTCCATTCTACTGATTACATAGAAATTCTGACACTCTTCAAATGCGACACCTCTCCTGGGAATGACGCTCCTACTTTACGCCGCTCTCACTTTATTGATGCCATTCGAGCACGGAACTTCGTTAGGTGACAGAAGAATCCTGAGCATAAAAAAGAGAGAATTAAATCTTTCTGTTCAATCCCCATTAGCTGTCAATCGAACTGCTGTGGATGCGTGACGGCATATTTAAGAGTACCATAGACAATTGGACGTCATTTTTAGTTTGTTTCGTGCTAGGCAAAGGGCAGAAGATATGGATTTTAACATCAAAATTACATGCGCAATATATTTTGTATCATTGTGGATTCAATTGGTTCCACTATATTTTGTCACAGCGAAGGTAAGTCTTTTTTATCTAAGTCTTCTTTTATTGAAAGAAAGTTCCACGGAGTAAAGAGGATGAAACATATTTCAGAGGTTATAGGTAGCAGGGGCGGATCCAGGATTATTTCAAGGGGGGTCGGCGGATGCGAAGCCACCCCCCCCCTGGAGTGAAGTTCGGTGGAGGGCCCCGAAAAATTTGGTATTTAAGTGGGCGAACGGTGCCATTTAGTACGGTTTAGAACTATGATTCAGCTAGTCAAAATTCTAATTTCAAGAGGGGACCATTGGTCTGATTTTTTCAGAAATCGAAGGGGGGGGGGGGTCAGAACTCCCTGACACCCCCCCCCTCCCCCGAATCCGCCACTGGGTAGATGATGGGAAGTGAAAGCGTGATCTTGTGCTCAGTCTTGACTACATTCCAAATAATTCTTAGCGTGACGACTTGAAATGCAATCAGAAAATTACATAATGCACACATCAGTGCGTAACACTGGCGTTTATCCACTACTTTAGATGACAGAAATATCATATTAATTTTATCGATTACAAATATATCTTATCGAAGGGTTTGAAGTGGAATTATTGGGAATACCTAGTAAATGGTTATTTCAACAATATCATGTTTTTTTTTCGGTTATTTGCATATTATTATTTACCTTACTTGTAAAGTAGAGTCTCATTTCATTTTTTTTTTTTCAAAATATGAGTCACATTATAAAAAGAAAATGTTAAGGTATATTTAATTGTCATTTTCATTGCTGGACAATACCATAAAACTGCATTGATAACTCCTCTCGCAGCCAAAACCCAAAAGCCTGCTGTTTGGTCAAGAGGGAGATTGTGAAACAGGAGTTGTGAGAAAAGAAAGACCCATATCTACAAATAATGTGTAACCATATTTCAGAAACCACTTGAACTTCGGTAACAGTGGTTTTATGATGCAGCATCTGTCCTTCTCCCGACCGTATTGGGATGAATCCCGAAATATCTAATATCACATCGCCAAGGAAACAATGCATTGTGAAAGTGTTGCGATATAGGGCGGGAACCCTTAGATAGATGTGTTTTAATAACTATTTATTCTGATGATAAAAATACTCTACTCATTTGCTAGAGGTTACACAAGTTCTGTTTTGTTTCCCTTACTTTTCATTAAATCCAACTTTCCTCTAGTACACTGTGTAAACAACATATGTGTGTTGACATACCACTTTCAGTATGGCTGTGGCATCGTCCATAAAATTGCCCACTGACGTGTGTCCAAAATAAACTCATGACGTAGGAACAATTATATATAAAGTACAATAAATAATTAAATATGCTAAATATACAAAACTACTGCCCCATAGATAAAATAATCCAGCTTATACGCGTGTTCTTTCCATTGCTTTATTAACTGCGTTGTAGCGCACCATTTACGTATGTAATGACAAAATGTGGTTGTTAACCTCGTTGACTTCATACCTCACATTTCAGTTCATCTGCACCTCGTGTCTGACACATCTATCTTTAAACCACCTGACTTCCGTGCTAAGAGTGTGTCACAAATATCTTTGTTTAATTTTGGATTATTTTGCTCATTTTAACATTTTAATTCTTATTTCACGTCTCTGTGTCTGATTTTATAAATTTGTGAAAGATATCATGGACATATAACAACTGCAAATAGTTATACATACATACATGTAATTAAATTACTCCAGTATGACAAGTTAGTAATTTAATTACAAGTTACACAAACATATAGATTTTTCAAAAGGAGAAAGTAAAAGAGAGAAACACACACGGTGAAAAGAACTGTCATGTTCCATGTATTACAGTTACTCAATAATATCGATAAATAGTGACAAATTGCCAGGTAAGCACCTCAGTAGTAATAGCAACTTCAGTCACGTTGATACCCAACCGCATCTCTAGAACTTGTGAGAGCATACACGATGTGTTAGACAAAGTATGAGAAGTCGTTCTAAATTATGCTGTCTGAATAAAATGAATTTCGTGAATGTGTGGTTATTGGTCTAAAAACATGAGCATGTACTGAACAAAACTTCAAAATGACATAGATTTAGAACATAGAAACTGAGGAGATATTTTCGACACAGACTATTTGAGCACTTTTTTCTAGACTTATACATGTATAATATGGATACAGCCTACTATACTCTTAACATTGAAAAAAATCACATTATACCAATTGGAATGGCGACATCTCACGGGCTAGAATGATTTAAAACATCTCTAATGATCAATGAAACATTTGCTCATTTTTGCCTTTGTGGAAATGAGAGTCGCTTTAAGGATATACACTCTGAAATATAGGCCAGTTTGCTTGAAATGCAGACTAATACACACAATTCAAGATTTCTCCCAATTTAGGCTTTATTATTGGGTTTACTTATTATACTGACATATGTAGAGAGACTATGCTGATCAAAATATCAATAACTACATTTCCCCTATTTTTTTCAGGGATTCACAGGGGACTCTATCTATTCCAAATGGCGATATTCTAAGTACGGTAAGTTATATACATGTATATTCGGCATCTGTGTCCATGCTACACTATTACTGACTGCTTTGTTTCTGTTCCCTCCAGTCCATCCTGAGCAACCCAAACTTTTTTCAAACTTTTTTCAATATGGTTTTCAGCGGTATTTCCATATTAAAAAATGTCATCAAAATCACACAATGTCGAATTCTATCAGAATCAAATTTAGTTTGGGTTCGAACATAGTTACCCCTAACCTAAATAATATCTGAAAATCCCCCCCTCCCGCGGCTAGTAGGTCCGATTATGTCCAGCCCATTGCCACTCGCTCTTCTCCCTTACGACTTAGGTCTCTAGCGACGCCTTAATGTTGATTACACGGTGTAATTAATTGACTGCAGTTTATCGACCTTGTCACCGGGCACCTGCTTAACGGAAAGTTACGCCCAACCGTCAGTGCACCAGATCTGGCTTCAACGACAAGCTTATATTACGCTTGAATCTGGCAAAACGAGAAGGAAGAAGAAATGCTTTCTGGCGATAGAAACCAATGTAAATGATTATCCGAATAGTTTTCTCCAATTTTTGAAATTTTGGAAGGCGATAGTTTTGATGAATTGTATTTTACATGTAGGCAATTAATGATTCAACCAACGGTGGCGCACTTGCTATAGCATATTCAAATTATTACTTGTTAAAAGACACTTTCCCACTTGTTCCTTGTTTGACTGCCCCGAACCTCCTTGGTCACTGGGTGGATTCCGTAGGTGTAAATGCTTACGAGTAAACCCCCGTGTAACGTATGGGAGAAGGCAGCGCTCGAGAAAAACACAGGACGGAAAATGGAAAAGATAATACCTAGAATCTGAGGTTCTCTAGGGACCGGAAAATACATGACCCGTGCCAGAGCTGGACAATATAAAGAGACATGAGTTGACTGATAATTGATAACCAGTGACTGATTTCATCTTTCCCTGACAATAACCATCGAAGCCCAATATCAATTACTTTTCCAGTTCATTGCCAACCTCAGGCTTCTTGATGTGACCAGATTTTTATTTGAAATGCCTTCCAATAGGTAATGTCAGGTTAATATGTTTAAAGCTCCACATTGATAAATGTATGTACAATTTACAGCATGTTTTGATAAAAGTGAAATATCTTATGTGGAGATATGTAATGAACATTGATTTTGTGTATTTAGAATTTAATTTGGTTTTCGGGTTTGTCAGTTTTGTCAGTCTCCATTAGTAGCAGCACGGGTCAGTAATTCAAGACTGCTATATACCTGTATACAGTATATCTATACCGGTACATGCATCATCCCAAAATAGGCACGTCTACTAAAATAGGTACGTTATTCGATTGAAAAGATCAAAAAGCAGCGAATTTTAGCTTGTTCGGCAAATTTTTATTTCAAAACATGTCTCAATAATATTATTGAATTAAGAAATGACCGAAATCAGGTAGTCAAAAAACGGGGGTGGCATGAGAATATATGTATGTTACTCTCGCCAAATACGCGGTATTTCCATATTAAAAAATGTCATCAAAATCACACATTCTAAGTCATCATGTCATCCTAATTATTGTTTCGAACTTCAAATAATTAATTTAGAGTTCCTTTTTGAAATGTTGAATGAAGATTCATTTTACTTGCCGGTTATCAGTAGAATACACATCTGAACCTAATTCGGCAAATGAACTATTTTTGCAGGACACATGTATCTATAAAAGCTTTACGTACAGATATCCCGTGTAGCAAAACATTAAGAGCGCAATCCGTAAGTGACAATGTTCCTAGAGTCCTTCAAGGTTATGGTCTACCTAACGTCAATATTAAGACGAGCAACAGCTTTTGTGAAACATGCAACTGCACTATTTATAACAATAATGCTTTTAGGCGTACGTCCGCGTCACACGTGTGTCACGGAATCATAAACAAATGTAATGATTCCGTATCTAATTGGACCCAAGTGAGTTCTTAATGTAGTTGAATTGGCCTTTTTAAGGGGAAATACAATGGTTTCATTGCGCTATTACTCAATATTTGACTGGTGTCCTTTACAGAGTTTTGTGATCGACTACATAAATTAATTAAGTTTTTAAGCACCGAAAAGAATATCGATTTAAAAAGTGAGATCTCTCTTTATCAGCTTATCTTAGACTTATTATGTGATAATACAGATGTAATGGTCTCTATCTTTTATAAGGTAGGTTTTTCAGCCCCGGAAAGAATATCGATGTAAAAAGTGAGAGCTCTCTTTATCAGCTCATCTAAGACTAATTGTGTGATAATTCAGATGTATTGGTCTCTTTATCGTTTATAAGGTAATGCGTTTAGCTCTTTTTCCTCCATATGTCTAAAATATTTCCAACGATATCAGCGGCGCTAAAGTAGAGGTTATTAGGACTATACTCTCAGAAATAAATCTCTGTTTTTGTCTGTTAATGCGTCTTTTATAAGCAACGGCGAGGAAGAGTGTAAAATTGAAAAAAAAAACTTGACTTAAACAAGAAGGTTGAACTCCGAAACAGGAAGAACTTCGAGTAGGTAGTCCAGTCTAGACATTTTGTCTTTTCATTCGTTTGTATACACAGGAAGTACACTCAAATGAATATGCGCATTGAGTAAAGCCCCCTTTACACTGGATGGCGTCCTTTCTGCGTCCAGCAGTACGGCCCCATTTGAGAGTCAAAAAATTATAATACTTTACGTGCCGACAACTGGCCGATCATTGAGCATTCATTCTGATACAAAATCAATGCTCGTGCCTCCTTATTAAGACCACAGCAATGCCAAATTTCATGGTCGCAGAAAGGACGCAGAAAGGACGCCGTCCAGTGTCAAGGGGGTATAACTGCATAATTTGGCTTTCTTCGTCCAACATGTACCCAGCAAGTATGACCCAGATGCTGAGCTATTGAGAGTACCGATTCCATGGTGTATTTAGGGAGCCTTCCTATGAATGCTAAAATCTGTACAATCAATAATTCAGCACCTGGGCATTATTTTTTCTTTGGGCAATATGGGGACAAAGAAAGCCAAGATATGAAGTTACGGTGTCAGCATATCATTTTGAGCGCACTGATTGTAGAAGAGACAAATCTTTAGAATTACATACCTACTGATTTTATTTTGGCTTGGAAGTTCAAACCCTTTGTTGAACATCAAATGGATTTTAACTAAAGATCTATTGTCTACATACTTAGATACTGCTCCAAAACAATTACATATACTGAAACGTATATATACAAATATCCATCCATCCATCTATCCACCCACCCCCACCCCACCCACCTACCCATCCATCCATCTATCTATCTATGTATCTATCTACTCCCGCGTATCTACATGTATTTAGCTATTCTTTTTATCTATCCCCAGACCTACGAGAGCACTGTGGTCGGTCTATGGACTCCTTACAAGCCCTGTTAGAGAGGTACTTGAGCGACAAAAATTCACGGAAGAGTAAACGGATTGTGGGTGGACAGATCTCCACCCATGGCGAGTGGCCGTGGTTGGTCAGTTTAAGGGTGAAGAAGGGGGATGCCAGTTCCTACAGTCACATTTGTGGAGGGTCGCTGATCCATCCCCAGTGGGTTGTCACTGCAGCTCATTGTTTTGAGTAAGTATTCCCATAGGAGCCGCCAGCTGTTCAGCCTACATCCCATAGTCCAACAGTACCAAAATGTTTAATTGACAAGGATTTTAAAAAAAGAAAGAAATGACTATAAGCGTAATGTGTAGGTTCTCGAAATGACTATAAGCGCAATGTGTATGTGTAGGTTCTCGTATGTTCTCAATAGACCGATCGATGTCTTAGAGAGGGAGATGGGCTTTAATCTTTTTTTTATTATGACAGGGTCCCTAATAAGGACCGTAGCGGTATTTATATTGGCAGAGTAGTGTGGTGGGTCAAAATTGACACTTTGGAACCCACACATTTAAGCTGAAACCAACTGACGAGTGGTAATAAAATGATAAAGGCGTTAAGTCTGAAAAAAACTTACAGTGCTGTTTGATTTCAGAGAATACTGGAGCAATAAGACCTCAAGTCGAGTAAGCGACTGGCTGGCGAGGGTTGGGGAACACAACCTGTATGTTGAAGAGGGCACGCATACCGATGTACCCTTGGAAAAGATCGTTTATACTCCACAAAGAAAACGTAAGACCAATACACAACCAGTCGCTCATTATGTACCATCAAATGGGCGAATAGAAAATTACATGACAATTGTATAGCGTCGATACTACTTCCAAGAGAAAAAAATTGATATAATTGGGTAACGACAGACCAACCATTTATGTCAAATTGTAAAATTTTGTTAGAGATACATTTTCTTAATAGTCATTCCATGAAGTATTTAACAAAGTCATTTTGTTAAACACTAGCAAGAAATATACAACACCCCTGTCTTTTCTTCTATAACATAAAATATGTAGCAGAGAAATGTCACTGGGTATGTTTAACTTTTGTGGAATTCTCAACCAACTCTTTTTACTTCACAATTGAAATAATTTAAACGATTATTGAAGCAACTGGGGTACAATGCAAGTTTAGATTTGTGAAGTAAATTACATTATATTAAACTGCGAGATATTCATCAACTCATGCTTTCATAACAATTACATATATCATAGCGGTTTCGCTGAACACGGACAAATGATTTTCTCCGCACAATGGCAATTCATAATTGTAATCATGCTCACCCCTTATCTTTTGTCTTTCAGACAACGGCATGTTTGACTACGACATCGCTCTCCTGAAGCTAAAGAAACCTGTGAAACTTACCTATTACGTAAATGTGGCGTGTCTACCATCAAAATTAGACGTGTTCCCCCCGGGAATGATGTGCTCTGCGGCAGGATGGGGGTTCATCAAAGAAAGTGAGTTCAGTACACAGAGTCACTCTCTCGCCTATAGATGTACTGTAATCCAAGCGCAATATTTAACATGTGTTCATCAACGAGCGTCGAAATTGATATTGCATGCGCAGATCTTGCTTATTACAGATATTGATGATTGGACAATTGAATTATAGGTACATGTAAGGAGCACACATTTAACATTGTTTTAGGTGACGAAAAGATCTCAGCCGTTGTCCGTCATGTGCAGCTCCCGGTGTGGCCCCGTGCCTCGTGCAGTCAGATATATGACGCCATATATGGGAATTACAATATCTCCATCACGTCGAGAATGATGTGTGCTGGGTATGATATAGGCGGGAAGGATGCTTGCAATGTAAGTCTACAATACATGCACACGCGCCCGCGCGCGCGCACACACACACACACACACACCTACGTGTTTCGTAATGTCGTATAAGCGAGCGAGAAACTAACAAGAAAGCAAAAGTGTACGCTATAAAGGTGTAAGATTATTCATTAGCACAAACCTACGTAAGTATTGTGATATTTGTCTTTTGAACAAGCTTATGGTCCCGCAAACAATCGATCATATATTTGCTACAAGAGAGCTGATAAATACATGTAGCCTACAATGATAAGTCACACGGATGTTTGACTGAATAAGTTGCGTAAAGTTGCCGGTAAATACCCTTCTTGTAGACCTAGGCAAAAATAGAGCGAAATTAAGATTCCGTGTCCATAGTCAACGAAAATGCATCCGCTCTGAAATATGGAAGTGGGTAGATATATAGATAGAACCGATAAAACGGTTGCTATATTCATTATTTTATCAATCTTAAGTTGTATAAGTACCACATATGCGATAAAAGAATACTGAATAATTCCCTGCATTATGCATTGTATTAGGAGACTCGCACCTCCATCTTGTGATAGATTTACAACATTTATCTGACTCAAGGTTTGAATAAAAAATAATGCAACCACATGCCTCACTTTCCAGTACGACTCCGGAGGTCCGTTCGTTTGTAAGCAGAACGGCCAGTGGCTCTTGGTGGGCATCGTGTCCTTTGGCAACGGGTGTGCCCAGTCGGGCTTCCCAGGAGTGTACACGCGGACCGCCGCCTTCGTGGACTGGATCAGGGCTACAGTGGAAAATGACCAGAACAGCCAAAACAGCATGTAAACAGGGAAATACCTCATACCTCATAACCCAGACTGTGGTGAATTTGTGTAATTAATCCATGTACAAAGCTTATGAACATATGTAACTGAATATAAAGAAATGGGGCTTTTGTGTATAAGATTTTAATAATAACCCAATCGTCACTGCCCCCCTCTTTCAAGATGTTTCAAATTGCAGTGGATTTCACGTCAACTGTCACTTCATATTGCTACATGTACAGTAAGCATTTTGCCTAACAAAAATAGCAACAAATTGCGTTAAAAGATATAAACCGACGGTTGGTACGCTGACTATATCTGGAATTTCCTTAGTAATATATCGAGTCACTTAAAATATTGCACCAATTTTTAATGTCTTCAAAATTATCCACTATATAAGATAGCGGAATTTCACTTAATTCAACCACATGTCACTGTCTCTGTCACATCAGAGTTACTGTATAAGCCATCTCGGTAGTTATAGTTTGTTATGCCAATAATAATAGAAAATATAATAGAAAAAGAAAAGAATAAAGAATGAAGACAACGCCTTTTAGCAAAATACAAGTGTTGTCAATACTTCTTCTCATGCAAAAGATCTTGGTGTATACATGGACACCTCTCTGTCTGTGGACAAACAAATATTGCAAATTTCTAAGTCATGGATGTTTCACATCAGAAACATAGCTTCATTGAGAAATCATCCAAGTGACTCTACAGAAACTATTCTAAATGTTTATTAAATCTTGACCAGACTATTGCTATTCTCTTCTTTATGGATGTCCACAAGAAAAACTAAAACGTCTGCAACGTATTCAAAATGTTTTTGCCCCCAAAAATCCCAATGTTACGTCACACGATGAACTTGGAGCTGTGTTTCAAACATAATTAGATGTCCTGAAGATACATTAAATAAATGCAACAGGAATAAAAGAGATAAGACCTTTAATTTAACATAAAATATCCAACCTGCAGTCCTCCCTCAAGGGCAAATGTACTATTTTCATTGGAGATTATTTGAAGATTGAATCACATTCCTTCTTTGTGATCTATTCATTGTTACTGGTACAACTCAGACAATGCACCAAATGACAATATCAAAATTGAAATCCGTGAGCGCGTTGCACCTGTAGTATATATTACCTAATAATCCATACGTTCCACGGTCGGAACTACCGGTTTTCAACATTATAGTATTTTAATTTATGTCTGTTTGCTTAGATCCACAGCGATTACAGCTGTTCATTGTTTAAATTCTAACGCTGTATTATATTATAATGGCAAGGAATTCATTGTCTCATTATTTTCTGGTAAAGACGCGTTGGAAAGAATTCAAGCATTAAATGATGTCCACCTTCAATGAACAAAAACGTACCAGCCATTCGAAATTGCGGATGAAGAAGGGTAATCCATCTCATTATGTTTTCAACGCTGTAAGGAGCCCTGGTACATGTTTATTGTGCGTGCACTGGTCTTAACTATTTTCATCAGATAGATGATACTTAATGAAAGACACAAGCTAGGCAGAGTAAAATGTTTATAACATTGTAACCACAGGTGAAAACTAAAGCTGCTGGACACCTTCGGATCGACAGAAGAGTCAGTTTTGTGGCGATCATTTCCACCCCCCCCCCCCTCGTGTCCTCTAACGGGAAGGCGACAGGTTGCAGGTATCCCACATTGATTTCAATTTGTTACAGTTAATAAAATTACTCGAGAAGCACATTTGGATCGGGATTTGACACAAAGAAAGCCGTCAATTTACATAAATCATTTAATAAGTTTGGAAATTTTAATTTGCTTTTTTTCCTTAAACTTGCTTTGGTCTGCTGGGTACGTGTCTGGATACAGCGCGACATCGGTGCGTTACGCAACAAAATATTCATTCAGTGCAATCCATAGCCTTTGACAGATAAAAGAATGGTACAATTTTATAGTGAAATACGTTGTCTTTCAAGTGTGAAAATAGTTTCATTGGATTTCAGTTTTGTAATTGAACAGGTAATTCAGTTGTGACCAAGTCTGTCAGAGTGAACAGACGAAACAATCACCAGGCAAATCAAATATTGTGGATCTATCATAAACTACGTTGTCTTTCGCTTGGAACAATTACAATATAGAGAAGACATTCGATCGGCAACACTGACATGATGAGGCAACTTGTAGTCTGGTTGGTAGGATTTCGACTCAGAAACCGGTGTTATTGTGCAGGCATTGTTTTACTTGTCTCCATACTTTCCGTAACTATTCTAACATCAGGACAGAAAGAGGATCAAGCAAACTTTGTCAGAGAAAAAACTGCTGCTGATGCGTGCGCTCCAAATGAAGTACGAGAACCAACAGTTCAAAGATGTGACTCAACCACGCTAGTACCTCCGGCAAACACTGAAATTTCCCCTGATTTTTCACTTGATTCGGAAATGAACGCCGAGTTTAGCATTCCAGCTATTCGTTTAAAATATACTGACCAACAAACAAAAATGAAAGTGCTTCAACAGGTTGCTGATGAAACTAATATCAATGTAAGCGTGCTTGAAAATTATAGGTCGGAATGTGACATGATGCTTTTTCACGACCACAGCGATACGTTTGGGAACCCAGGCACTTTCTCTTGCTATGTGGAGAATACCCTGTCTGACTGCGACGGGCCAGGCTTCGGGTCGACAGTGTTGTACTCGGTGGAAATCCTGACGTCTTGTCTAATACTGGGCGCTTCGCCGGTGGTCAAATGGTATAACTGCGATTTTTGTGGGGCGGAGTCAAAGCAGCAGGCCAATCACTTCTTAGCATTCTTTCAGGATCTCGAAACAAAGACAGAAACTGAAGCAGAACACAAACTTTGTATTGCATCAGGAATTCCACTAGTGCAGGCATTTGGTAAAGACAATTTGGTAGATCTAAGTTTTAACGCCAAAGTAAGAAATAAAGTATTGAATGAGTATAGGTCCGAGGCAGAGATAACCGACAGAACAAGGCTCTTGGCGCACTTTGTGCTGACAGAATACTTTAAACCAGTGGAATCTATCGGGAATTATGTTGAAGAGGCATACAACAGTAAAATGAAGGGATATTTCAATATCGGAGTCCACGTTAGAGCCACCGATAGGTGGACTGAAATGGACAAGGTTAGTTCACTAGAACACTGGATTTCTGAAACTAAAGAAGTGATTAAGACAGTGTTAAGATCAGATGATGCAATCCTGCCAATTTTGAAAAGAAAAGGTTCGGCTAGGGAACCGTCTCCTGTCAGTTACGAGTCTATACGGATATTTTTGGCAGCAGACAATGAAGAGGCTATTCTACGGTTTAAGAAAGAGTTTGGCCATTTAGTGTTCTGGAATAACGGTGACAAGGTTGCAGGTTTTTGGGCAGATTACCGCCTTAGCTACAAGAACCAACAGCTCGAAATTGCTAATGCCCAAGTGGTTCTTCAGGACATTCTAATGTTAGCTAAGTGTGATCTGTTTCTGCACGCAGAATCCAGCATATCCGCTCTAGCTCACTATCTAAACCTCGATTTGGTAAGTTATTATGTTAAGGCTGAGGAACCAGGGGTGTGGATGCCAACAACAGCCCCGCCCAAGACGCGGGCCGAACTGAAAGCCGAGGTAGAAAAAACGTTAAACTCTGCTAGTGAACGCCTGCGGTCCCAATTTATAGAAAACGACGTAACAACCACCATGGACAGTTGCGAATTGAATAGGGGGGCTAACACGTACAATGACATAGATGCTGCGATTTGTTTTGGTAGACATCGTTTTAAATCCCAATGCCTGAGCACACGAAACTTCATGCTGTCTTCTGTGAAAGAGGTCATTAATTTAAGTAGAAAACCACTGGTTTAGTATGTGCATGCAAATTGTCCGCATTACATTTTCATAAAGTAAAACTGTGTCGGATGCTAACATGTTTGTGTTCTTGGGCGATTAAAGTTTTTCATTCGTCCAAGATATGTTGCAGGCAAGATCTGAAGTGGCCCAGGCCGAGATTCTGATCTTGCTTGCGCCATATAGGCCTAAACAACGCTTAAAAGACACATTTCTTGATATTTGCAAATTTATACTTTATTTCCCGTTTGTTTGATTTAAATAATAAATAATGTGTCATTTTGCCTTAAACTAATAGCAAATATTGTCTTTTGACCCGAATAATGTAGAATATGTTGGATGTAGTTATTAGCATTGTATGATTGTGTTATTGTTAAAACACCTGAAACACACGTTTTCCTTGGGCGGGTTTTTAACTATATGAATTTTAATTTGCCTGACTTTGAATAAATATGGAATTGCGTACATGCCTGAATGCATGGAATCATGGAACGACACTTAGGCCTACAAGTGACAATGCGAACAACATTAACACAAATTACACACACACACACACACACACACAGAGAGAGAGAGAGAGAGAGAGAGAGCTTCACTGGTTTAAGATTTTACCCTATTATTGTTATGGCCAGTATAGTTTGCGCTCAGTACATGCATAACTTCTTGATATAGTGTGGTTTAGTATAATTATCACAGATGTTATTTATTCTTATCCTTATAAGGTCACACAACTTTTAGATGAACTTTGTTCGTAAATAATATGCACAACTTATAACCTAAAACAAGCACGAACATAATAGGATAATAGGAAGGTCTGTAATGTGTATTTCAATAGTTCAATATGATAGGAATGAAATATCTTTGAACAGCCGGGCATGACTAGTTGAATTCCTTGCATTGTCTTCGGCTCTATTTATAAATGAATAACAGCCACGCTTTTCACATTGCGAGTTGGAACAAAAGTAAGTCTTTAGGTGCGTACTGTCAGTGCATTTCTGTAGAAGTAGCATAGAACGAAATGCATCAGCTTGGCTTATTTATTGGCTAGTGTGCAACAAGTAGACATATTATACATCAAGAACACTCTTGTATACATGTATAAACAGACAATCTATTTATGCATATGTTTTAGACACTATATAGAAGGAAAATAAGCCAACAAAATATTAAGTTTTCTTTACTGAATAAATACAAATTGCTCATTCATTTATTCCAGGAATAACACACGTACAAAACAATGGGATCATAAGTATAGGGCCTTCACTAAATATTACTCTATTTTCTAATAAAGATATGATAATAAACTGAGATGTATTTTTTTCATCAGAAATAGGAGAGGAGGGTGCAAATGTTTGAAGTAAGCAACTTTCACATCTAATTCTACTTTATTTTTAAATAAAAGATCTTTAGTCTAATGCTTTTGTTATTTTCAAGTTTTCCAATAGTTATGTGTGTCATATGCTCATATATATATATATATATATATATATATATATATATATATATATATATATATATATATATATATATATATATATAATGCAACTAGAAATAAGAATAAAAACAGTTCGAGCAGCAAGAAGGGAATTCTGTCACCCCAAATTTATGAAACTATTCGGAATAAATATTCGCACTGTTTACAAACTCAAAAGCAACAAAAACACACGAG